GTACTCGGGGTGCTCCCGTTCAAGCCACTTCACAAGCCTGGTTATGATGGAGTCGTACTGTAGTCTCGTGTCTGCAACTATGCGCAGGGCTATCACATCGTCTGCCGTCTCATCCGTGGAGCTGGCGTTCCTTGCGGTGCGCTTAGAGCGACCCATTTCAGTTTTCGGACTGATCGATAAATCTTCCGGTTAATACTACTACTAGTATGCTTGTTTCGCGATTGTTTCGTAAATCACCATGTATCTACAGTCCGCGCCAAGTGAATACGAAAGACGTGGGTTTAGAATAGTGCCGATGGTTTTAATTTGATTCAAGTCAGGATACCCCTGTTGCATGCCTTGTAATCATAATATACAAGCTATATCGATGCAGTGTGTGATCTGGGTGAATATTTCGTTATGATATCAAGTTTTGCACGTTTTTTAGCGCGCCAAGTGTATACGAAAGGGTTACAAAAATCTGAATTTAGCAAATTTACTCATGCAAAAGCATACCATAAAGTGTTCCTAATACTTAGTCTTACAACCCTTTGCCTTCAGAACGTCAACACAGCGCTTTGGCATCGATTTCACCAACGATGTCAGCAGTGGCTGTGGGATGTCGTCCCATGTCGACTGGATGGCGGCAACGAGTGACCCAACATCACGAAATTGTCTCCCGTTGGCATACACCACTTGGGCCATTCTCCCTCACAAGTTTTCGATCGGATTGAGATCGGGGGAGTAGGCGGGATGGTCGAAAACGGTGACATTTTCTTCACTCAAAATGTCCATGACAATTTTAGCACGGTGGATCGAAGCGCCATCTTGCATGAACACAAACGAGGGACTATAGTGCTCGTGGGCAAACGGAAACAGGTAGTTTTGGAGTGTGTCGAGGTACGCCAATGCATTTTGCTTGCCCGACAAAAACGCCAACTCACTCCGGCCGGCCAGCGAAAACGCCCCCATACCATGACGCTCTTCCCGCCCATAGCGCGCGTCAAATAGTGCTGTTTGGGGAGCCTCTTGTCGTGCCAGTACTTCTGCAAGCCATCGGGACCATCCAAGTTGAACTTTTTCTCGTCGGACCAAATGATTGGATCCCAATCCGTGTTGGCAGCAAGGTGTCGTTCGGCGTACTCCATACGGTACGACTTGTGGGCTTGCGTCAAGCACGGCGTGTGCAATCGCTTGGCGTACTCAAACCTTTCGTTCTCGTTGAGACGTCGTTGGATTGTGCGCAGGGACGCGTCGAGTTGGAGGTCCGTTTTGCATGCTCGGGCCGACAAACCAGTCGTCGAAGCGTAGCGGAAGAGTTGACGAGCCTCGGCTCCCACTACCTTGTCGCACTTCATGGGCTTGTATCGCTTCCCGTACGACGTTGGGTCCTTGAGGAAGTTGTAGACAGCAATTTGGCTTCGTCCAAGCTCACCAGAGATGGAAGGATAGCTCATGTCATGGCTGCGAAGCGCCAACATCATGCCACGTTCTTCTTCGGTGAACTGTTCACCTCGAGGCATGTTCCAGTTGCGGTGGTGGGATGTAGTGAAGTGGTATGCTCGTGGGTCAGTCGATGCCGAATAACAAGCTGTGAAACCTCTTATTTGGATGTGTGTGCGTTGAAATTCATGCCTTTCGTATACACATGGCGCGCTCTAAAATCTGATTCCGCGCCATATCGCATCCAATGATACTTCGTCTCTTGCTGTATTTCACAGGGTATTTTATCCAATCATCCTTCGTCATATGGAATTGATTTACAGAGGAAAACACCTGCGTAGTTCTATATTTGGTCAAAATTTTGTCCTTTCGTATTCACTTGGCGCGGACTGTAAGATACAAGTAATCGCATACAAATCTCAAGGTAGCGTGAATTAGATATATTGGATTTACGAAACAAAAACGTTTCGTGATTGCTAGTAGTCTGGTGTATTTTGTGTCGTATTTGTTTCGTAAATCGTGTATACTTACTTACCTCTAGTACTCCGGAATACTGAAAATGAAACAGCATTCAGATAACGTTAGCAAAAGTATCCGGATTTTGCCCTGTTGAAAATAGAAGGAAAAATATACGTATACGATTTGATTGGTTGAATCAGGCTTCCGAAATACTTCGTGGTATATATTTATTGCGAATATCTAAAATGGTGCCTCGGTCAATAGATTTCACGATATTCGACGACCTCGATAATAAATAATTGTTTGCTAATGCAAAATATCGATAATTGTTCAAATATATGATTACACAAGGAAGGGAGTAAACATTCCAATCCGATGCATTCGCGCGAAGGAGAATATGATCATCTCGAAATTCACCGGATACATGTGCTTTCTATGGTCTGTCATGAGAGAACGACGGAATGGTACGCCAATCGAAGTTTGTGAAACAGCTGCCATTTTTGTCCAATAGAAGTCGAGATTGAGAATCCTAACATTTGATTGGCAAGCAATAATATTTTCCCACCTGCACTATTTCTTTTTGAATTTCCCCCGTACCTCAGGTCTTCATTTGATATGCAGTCAACAATGCGCATTCCAAAGCGTAACTACACCATCGCAACGAAGCTGAAGGTGCTAGGTCTTTTGGAAACAAGCACCGACCAACAAGTATCTGACATGCTAAGCATTCCACGTTGCACCATCCGTACGTGGGTCAACCAAAAACGCGACATCCTTGCTTACAACGGGAACAAAAAACGAATGAAAGTCGATCCAGCTGGGCGGCCTGGAGTATTTCCCGATCCCGAGGGTCTCGTTGACTATATTAACCAAATGCGAGCCCAAGAACGGGCGCTAACAACGTCGCATATCATCAACTGGATCAAGAGGCACCAGGCGGCTTGGCTGCGTTCCTACATCGCACGCAAGAAGCCCTGTACCGGGTACCAAGGGCTCCTACGACTGCTGCAGCGCTTTTGTCACCGCCATGGATTTACGCGTCAACGACCCGGCAAACAGAAGCACAAACAATCCGTCCTGATCGAAGTGCGTGATGATTTCGCTGCTGAGTTCCACCGGCAGTACCACGGCTTTGGTCCCGATTGCGTCTACAATGTCGATGAGACCGGGTTCTACTATGACATGCCGCCCAAGTACATATGGTCTGCTCGCGGTGGCGACGCGAAGATATCAACTGGCGAGAAACACTCCATGCGTATGACAGCTGTACTCACCGTCCGCTCGAACGGAGACAAGCTCCCGATCCTTTTCATCATCCGCTGCACCCCCGGCGGTCGCATCGAAATGTCGGAGCTACCAACGTACCCAAGCGGCCACTTCTATGCTGTTCAGGGTAAGGCATGGATGGATAACACCGTGTGGAAGTCGTACCTGCGTGACCTGTTACACCGAAGTCTTGTCGAGCCGTCGGTAATCTTGCTCGACAACTTTGAGTCGCATGTGAGCGATGCCTCGTACCACATTGTCGAAGAAGAGCTCGGCAGCTTCCTGTGCGCGATTCCCCCCAATGCTACGTCCATCTGTCAGCCACTGGATGTTGGTGTGATGGCTCCATTCAAGCGTTACCTTCGGGACGAGTGGCTCACCGAGGAGATGATCGATGGGGAGGACGGCGACGATTTCGACACCCCGACAGCCGCTGAGAAGAGGAAAGCGATGGTGAAGCGTACCATCGCCGCGTGGGACCGAGTGACGGTTACCGAGATTCGCAACAGCTTTGTGAAAGCTCTACCATCTATAGAGGAGTAAATGAACAGAAAATGATTTACTCTTGTTGGCGATGTCACAACCAACAATCTTGATCGAATATAATTGTGAGTATTATATAATTTTACTAAACTTGATTTTAGTAATGCAATACTCAAATTAATATAGTTTTGGAAAAAAGCTTGACACTGCCCGGGAATTGAACCCGGGCCCCATCCTCTATCCACTTGGATGCCGTCACACTAAACCGTTGCGCCACTACTGTATTACTGGTACAGTTATTCGAAGTAAACTTACTAGTAATATGTACTACGTAGTAGTAACCAATAATGGTCCGGATATCAGACACCCTTCCGGATACGGAGGTCTGCCAAACCAAACGGGCACATCGATTGCGTCGTAGGAACGCGCGCGGCGCTACGTGTATGAGTCAGAAGTGCCATCATCTGGACCAAGTGGATCGTTCCCTGCGCCAATTGTATGACATTGCATCGTCGAGGGATGTGGAAGTTGACAAAGACACCATCGAGAGCTTCGTCGCGGCGCTATTTCGCCGCTCGGTGCGGTGTCTGCTGGAATCGCGCGCGGCGGCCGAACTGTGCTGCTTCCGCTTGTTTCAAACGACTCCAGGCCAACAGCACGCCCCGAGTTTGCTAAGTATCATGCAGCTTCAGGACTATGGGACGAAGAAGTCTACACTCGGCGTGGTGCTTGGGATTGCGTTGGAGCACCTTCTCACGTTCATCAAGGACATGCAGGACACGACGCTGCGCCACGCGGTCGCTGGACATGTGGGGTCTATTACCCAAGCTTGTTGCATTCTGCTACTCTCTTCGCAATTGCCATCCAAGACGCGAAGTGCCGCTGGCGAACTCGTCACGTACTTCATCAAGCACCACAAACACGTGTCCGCGTCTGCGCACTTTGACGTGGCATCGCTGCCGGATCGATTCCTGAACGAGTTAAACTCGTCCAAGTGCACCCAGACGGTCAAAGGCGTGATCCTGGATGTGCTGGGGGGACTCTTCAACAAGTACCCCGACGCCATGGCCGTCCATCGTGCCGCCGTTGGTCGGTGGATCGACCAAGCATTGGACAAGCAATTCTCGTCCAATGCACCAGGTCTACCCGCTACTCTTCTCTCCCGTTAACTAGTATATTCCCATTGTAGAAATGCAAATCATCCACGGATGCTTTGTCTGCCTCAGTGAAATCCTGGACGAAGCCACATACGACCAATCGAAGCGCGACACGTTGTTCCAGTACGTTATTCGTTGCGCTACTCGTTAATGACTGGAATGACCTGGTAGATTTATCCACGTGACGTTGGCCACGGCCGCGTCTGGCAACCTCTCCCGCCTCGCAATCGTCAAAGCGTGCTTGGGATTGCTGGGAAAACACATGCATCTGTTTGCCGCTAATTTGGTGGAGGCAGATCCGTACCAATTTTACTTGCTTATGCTGCATTGCTGCGCGAGCTCCAACAAGAAGGTATTATTATTATTGTGGATTCGATACGAATTTCCAGACCCCGTCGAATCGAATCTCGCCGCCGAATCGAATCACGAATCAACGCTATTGGCTAATCCAATTTTGAGTGGATTTGATTGGCTCTTACAGAAAGGACAAGTATATTCAACCAATCAGAAATCGAGCGTGATTCAAAATTGATTGAACAAATCGCGCGACTTTTGGAAGTTTATAGCGAATTCACAATATTATTGTGAGTATTATTCTAAGCTGGAGCGCCGTGAAGAATGAATTGAATCGACACTCAACCACAGATGAATCATCGGCAGAAGAATTGAGCGAATCCGATTGCAGGAAATAACCATCATCAACGTCAAATTAGTGTGTGACTGAAATCAGTGTGATACCAATTAATCTCCACATGGTACCTTTTACATATACAAAATTCAGTGCAAAGAATCGATATCGATAGATTTGGCGACGAATCAGCACAAAAGTCCTAGTTTTGGGGAAAAAGAAAGACAATATCACGGATATATAGTCATGATATGGCACGAATTTCCGGACCCATTTGGTGTAAATCCAAGCACGCCGACCAAACCGATCACGAATCGCTCCCATTGGTCAATCTGAAATTACTCTTCGCTGATTGGCGGCTGCATTCTTTTATCTTTTTTCAATAATGATTACAAAACCATCCGAATTTCGGAAATTTATATCTTTGTGCTTTGTGCGGAATCGGGAAAGCCAATGAAGTTTTTCACGGCGAGATTTGGGATTTGTTTTACGAATCGCGCAGAAGTTGGAAGGTCATTTGTAGCAAACCAATGATATATATATATATATATATAATGCTTTGTCAAAGCTAGTTGTGGATTTCTAGAACCATGTATCAAGTGAACGATCGACTCATGTACTTCGTAGATTCGAAAACCAGCATTTGCATGCCTCGACAGCATGTTTGCTATCATTGCCGACGGATTCGCTGCGGACATTCCCAAACACAAGAAGCAGTTCAATCGCTTTCTCAAGGAATTCCTCACGTGCTTGACGGACAAGCTCAGTGACGACAAGGCGTCGATTGCACTAGCGGGCCTGGGTAACTTTGCCGCCATCGTACCAATGTTTATGGGCGCCGACGCGTTGCCAAAGATCCATGCTCGATTGATCAAGTATGGCGAAGACTTGGTGGCCATTCGGGAAGGTATCAAGCTCAAGTGGATGCTCCTCTGTCGATACACTACGTGCTACGGGCGGTTCGTTCAAAAGGTGTGAGTCAATCCTTGGTATCTTGTGGAATGCATGCTTTAATTGCTCTCTGGATATATATATATACATCTTTCAATATGCAGTCACATCTCTTTTGGTATTTTTATTGTATTTTTACAAACTGTCTTTCGAAGGAAGGAAGGAATACTCAATTATTCGATCAATCATACTTCTTGTTTCATGTTTTGTCAAGTCGATTATTCGAAATTGGAGTGTTTGGGTGCTCAATCGAATGAGCAGAATAACCAAATCGACAGACAATCGATATATCGACCAATCAAAACACAAAACATGAATCAACTAGCCAATCAAATCCACTCTTCGAATAAATTAACATCGAATTGGTGTGTGACTGAGATTAGTACGATCTTTACATAGAAAAGTCAGGACAAAGAATTGATCGATAGATTTGGCAAAGAATCAAAAGTGAACCAAATTTTGGGTAAAAGGACAACATTGAGCATGGGTTATATATACTCTTACTGTTTCGCATTCGCTTGGCTCAGTAGGCTAGTATATATGCATATATATGTCTGCGTATTGTGGATTCGGTACAAATTTGCAGATCCGATTCGATTCACGAATCGACGCTATTGGCTAATCAAATTTTGAACGGACCTGATTCGCTCGTACAGACAGGACAAGTATACTCAGCCAATCAGAATTTCCAGCAGGATTCTATATTGAATAGAACCCACCACGCAGATATTGGGGATCTCGTGATTTATTTCGTTTCGTCCTCGGTTTGGTTCGAGGACTATAATTAACCATCTATTGTACCCAAGAGAAACGATCTAATTAAATCACCATATATGTCAGTTTGGCTAATATGACATACTTTATCGTTGTTTGTAGATGCAATGCCAAAGCGATATTGTCGTGCAAAACTTCTCGGTGGAGCTCGTGTGCCGACTCTTGGATGCGTACCCGTCCAGCGCCATTTACGTTAAATACCAAGCAGAACTAGCGATCGTGTCGATGGCGGACGCATTTTCATCCACGGATGTGATGAAGCGCATTCTGCAACATGGGATGGTCTTGACGGTGTCCAACCGTATCGACACACCCGACGGGGTACATGAATTCAACAAATCTGTTTGCATCCTGTTGAAATCATCTATGGGTACGACGTAGGAGATGCTGTATCATCCAGACACGGGGCTGCCCGAGTCGCGCCTCCTCTTCGAGTACGAAGGATTGTGGCGGGGCTGCTTGAAGCGCATGCAAGGGGAAGAGCTGCAGCAAGCGATGGTGAATGCGATGGCGGACACCATGCTGACGATCTTGCAGCGATTGGATCTGCGGTACCAACTCGAGGCTGACACTGCCGAAACGTCGACATCGTCTCAATATACCGTACGTTCTGTGTACTATTTATCTACATTTCTCAGCCTGGATGGTTCATTTGGTGCTGCTATATCTAGCCAACAGTCGCACGAGACCACACGATTGTATTGAACGCGACTGAGTTCTTCGAGCGGTGGGTGCCAACTGTAACGAGTCAATTCCAGTCGTGGGTACGACAAAATCATCTCTCTACATCATATCATACCTCCCACAATCATAAAATTAGGTGGCGTTGTACGTACAATGGCTGCTCCCCAGCGCCCGACAACTACCGCTCGTGTCGGCGTTTTACCGTTTGGCGACAGTCATCTCACACCTACTCGCTGCCAACTCCGCCGCCTCCCGTAGCCCATTGTTGTCTGACGCACTCGCCTCCGACTACGCTGCGTTTGTAGTCCAAGTGTCCAAGGCAATGCCCCAATATCACGACGAGTTGCTAATCGCGACGTCTGTGTTTGTGGTGGCGACGCCAGTGTCGATGGTCGACCTGGCGATTCTCGTGCCCGCACTCAAACAAGCGCTGGCGCTAGGCGTATTTCACTTTGACACGGCCGTGGCCGCCGTGGAAGCGCTGGAGCGTTGGCGATCAGACACGGTCGTGCCGTTTTACCCCGAGGTGCTGCCGCTGCTCGCTCCGTACTTGGACGAAGCGGCCAATCAAAGCGCGTCGTTTCAAATTTCAGTGCTGCGGCTGCTGGGGTCATTGGGAGGGTACAGTCGGTTTGTCGTGCAGGAACACCACGCGGCCCGGGACGACGTGGACAAGATGGCGGCGGCGCTGACGTTTCCCGTGGCACTGGACCGAGTTCATGCCGACATGTCTATCGAGTTGTTGCTGCGACAGATGCGAGACCTGGCCGTCACGAGCATCGACCGACCCGTCAAAGCTGCGGCGGGGGAAGCCTATCACGCGATGGTGCTCTACTTGTGCGGGATGACGGCCACGCTGCCGACGGCCAAGACCCACGCGAGTGAAAAGTCCGTGTACTTTGACCACTGGCATGGCATATTTCCGTCGCTGGTGCAGCTCGCCGCCGACGCCGACACGATCACGCGGTCACTTTTTGCGCCGCTGCTGGCCCAACTGCTGCGGTGGTTCAGTGGCATCGCGGCGCTGTATCCGTTTGAAGCCCACGCATTCCTCGATGCCATCATGCACGGCTTGTCTTGTGTCGACGACGGCAGCGGCGGCGTGCGCGACGTAGCGGCGCAGTCCGTCGCCACGTTTCTCAAATACGCCTCCAAGCAACCACCTACTAGTCGTGCTAACACCGTGTTCTCGGCGCATGCGCTCATGGAGCGACTGTTTGCGCTCTGTGGCCATCCGCTGCTATCTTGCCGCGTCGGGGCCGCCTTGGCGATCAACCACATGTACAGGGACTTTCGGGAAGACGACGACTTGGTACGGACGTATGCTCTGTCCATGGCCAAGAATGTGCTCGTGGCACTCAAACCCCCCGACGACCCGAACGCCGTCCTTCCGCTCGTGCACGCGTTGGCGCATATGGAGAAGATCCTCGTGAGGCGGGCGGCGGATCTGCAGCACGACGACGACACCCGCGTCGTGCTGGGCGGGACCGACTGCTTGAACTTGAACGCGTTCACGACGTGGCTGTTTTCCAACGTTGCGAGCTCCGCGCCCACGTTTCGCAGCAACTGTCTCCGCTTGTTTGAGCAACTGGCGCGTATGGTCAACATGACAGGGTCGTGCAAGGCGTGGCTCACGCAGTTCCAAAAAAATCACTCGGCGGCGCAATTGCAGTACATTTTGGCGCCCCCGGCCTTGACAGATATTAGTGTGCGAACGACAGGGGTTCGACACACTGACGTCGTCTGGTACGAAACTCTCGCGGCGTCGACGGAGAGCTATGTGTGGGCGTGTGCCCCCACGCTCGGCAACGCGAGTCTGATCGCCGACGCCGTGCTCTTGGACCCCGTGGTGGCCAAACGAACACACGACGACGAGGCGGTCGAGGGGCCCCATCGCCTCTTTGTCGCCATCGCCGAGTTTGTTGAAAGCGGCAGCCGCGAGGCACCGCCGTCGATGGCGCGGAACCGCGCGTTTCTCGGCGTGTGCAACTTGGTGGCATTGGCGCTCGAGCACCCAACCGTAGTGCCCGAACTCCACCGCCACGTGATGAATGTGCTGACTGGCACCGGCGATCGGTGGTGGGATCTTGTGGTGCTGGCTGCTGTGGACCCTAAAGCTGCGACACTGTTCGAACTCTCCACCCCCGAGGCGGTCGACAGCTGGGTCCGCATGTGTAAAGCGTCACTTGAGCATCAGTTGCCATTTCGGCGGGTGGTGGCCAAACACTTGGAGAGCTCCACATATGACCGCACGCTGTTGTTCAATATGGAGTCGGACCTGGCGCAACGCCTTTGCATGACGTACAAGCAGGTATGTTTGTATCTAGAAGTCTTACTTGTGGGTGGTGTATTTGATATATGACTGCGTTTGTGTTGCTGTAGCTGGACCAGATCAAGTATTGGGACGGCGAGTCGTCGAGTCGACGACGGGACATCGCGTGTGACTTCGCGCGTCTCGCAATCGACAAGAAAGCCAGCGGGTTGTTGACTCCCATGCAAGATCAACTTACGCACCGTGCAATGGAGGTGTGATATGATATCGTTATTTTTGTTCTATCATATATATATATATATTGATGTACTGTACATGTACACGTTGTGGTTGTGTGAGTAGACGGCGATGGATATGGGTTGGGACGTGGCCACGTTTATATTGCAGCCCACACCGGCCAACTACACGTTGTTTTCAGCTGCGTTCGACAAGGTCTTTTGTGATCGCGACGACGTTTGGCTGCAAGTCGTTCGTGGGTTGCTAAGCCACGTGCAGACACACCCGTCGTTTATCCATACATTGCACCACGTGCTCGAACTGACCTCGTCCAACAACAAAAATCTGTCGAAACGAACCGAGCTGGCGCCGCTGGTCGCGCCGTTTGCCAAGTTTGTCCTGCACGCGACGACAGAGAAAGAGCAGCCGCTGCTCATGTCAACACTTCTCCTTTTTGTACGCTCCATTCTCGACAAGTCGACGTTGCCGTTGGTAGACTGTACAGCGGGCGTCAACCAACTGCTCTGCGATCCGTCGACTTCTGTGGGCGTCAAAGTGGCCGCGCTGCAGCTGATTCCAGTGTTGATTCAAGCCAACGCCACCGAGTTTGGTCCCCCACTGGTCGACGCCGTGGGCCACCTCGTCGTGCATGGCTTTCCCGTGCATTCCACAGACGTCGCGCGCGGGTCGCTCGATTTCGAGTCGTTTGAGCTGCTATTTCACACGTACTTGTCCATGCTCGTGCAAAGCGGCCACGTTGGCTTATTGAAAACCGTGTTTCGAAGTCTGAACGAGAAGAATCAGCACGTGTTCTCCAACGACATGTACGACATGTTGACTGGGTTCTGCGACGACCTGCCCGGCCCCCGCATCCCGTCTGTGTGTCTGGAAGTGCTGCCGCTGGTGTTTTCCCCTTCCCTGACGGATCACATCCGGACGACGCTGCTTCGGCAAGTGTTTGTGCCGTTGATGCATCGGCTGGACGAAGCTGCCATTGTGGCCGTGTACACGTCGACGTTTTCCGGCGCTCCTGTTGTCCAGTACTTGATGACTGTCGTAACGTCAGACACATCGCCCAGTCTGGCGGTGGTCGTCACGTTCGGACTGTTGGAACTGCTCTACACGTGTCTATCGGGGGACGCTGTCCGGCGGTTGGTGAACCCCATCTACGCGGCCACCGCTGGCGCCAAAGGCAACGAGCTGACCATGCGACTGTGCAAAACGGCCAGTCAGAAGAGTGCCAGCGCCGACCGTCCTGTGGCCATCGCGGCGTTTCGATGTCTGCTTAGCACAGTGCGCACGACGCAAACACAAGAGAAATTCTACACACAGCTGCTGTTTGCCGACGCGATATGGCCCAACATCATGGCCAAAACCGAAGATGAAGGAGGGGGGGACGAGTACTCGTTTGAGACCCAGACGGCTGCGTTTCCAACAAAGTACCTATCACGACGACAAGGAGGTCGATCTAGGACCACCCATCGAGGGAACAGCCGCTTGATGGACATTTCTACGCAGTTCCTTCAAGGCAGTAGTTTGAGTCAGAGCGCGGCGCCGATCGAAGACACGAATGACGACGAGCCCATGGCTAACGACGACGAAGAGGACGAGGATGTGCTGGAGATGGACGCGTTGAATTCACATCCGTGCATGCTGCCACTTCTGAAGACGATCAAGCACATGGAGCGGCTGTTTCAAAGCCAATGGACTGACGCCATGATGCCTGGCTGGATGGACAAGGTCTGGTTCAACCTGTCGACCAACTCGTCCACGTCTGTCCGACTCTTTCTGTGCAAAGTGGTACTGAATCGTCCCATGTTGTTTGCCCCGTACGCGGCCAAGTTTGTCGGCCCGCTGGTCGAGTTGATGCTCCTCGTGCCCAAACGCGACGAGTTCCACTACTTGCTGCGCGACGTGTGCCATGTAGTTGTGGACACGTGGCAGGTCGACACAATCTCAGACGACTTGTCTCGGTTTGTGAACCATCTCATGGCGGTATCCCCCCATCCGTCGACATTTATCTTGCGCGACAACTTGTACTTGATCGAAGCGTTCGTGACCAAGTTTCCGACGCAGTGCCGGTTTCTCAACCTGGACATCCTCTTGGACATGATTAACGCAGATGATGCCGAGAACGCGTCGCGACATGTCGCGGGGATGCAGCTCGCCGCCGTGTTGATCAACCTTGCATTCGACGCTTCGTCCCCCGTTCTTTGGTTCGAGACGTCGCTCCGAGCTTGCAGCTCCCGCTTGGAAACTGCCTTGCTGGCCCGCCTGGCGTCCACCACCCACAAGACGACACCTCAGTTGGCGGCGGACGTCTCTGGGTTGGTGTTGCAGCACATGCCGGCGTCGACGGCGTTCGAGTCTGGTATTGACAACTGCTTGCAGTCGTTTTTTCAACTGGACAAACCCGATCGGTTCCTCACGTGCTTGAAGCAACTGGCGACACATTTCCCAGCGATCGTGTCGGGCTCAGTGCTGAATCGACTGGCGTCCATCCTTCCTCGCATCCTAATCCAAGACACGTTGTCGCTGCATCTATTGGACATTGTGCACGCGTGCCACGTCGATGCCACGACGTTGTTTCGAGTGGTACGACCGCATTTACCCCGCCTCCTGAGCCACCACAACCCGGCGGTGACGCTCCGGCTGCTCGATGTACTCCAAAAGTGGTGGCCACACTTGACGGCCGATATGCACCAGGTCCTCCTCGACGGGGACGCCGCCGTGACGATCGCGTTCGAGTCGTCGGAACCGTGTCGCATGAAAGTGCTCGACTTTCTCCTCGCCACAACTAAGGGGGGCGTGCCAAATGTACAGCGCATTCTTCTCAAGGCTCTGACCGACGCGAATGCCGACGTGCGAGGAAAAGTGGCCTCGTTTTGGGAAGCCCACTTGCCATCGTCGTGCGACGATCGTCTGCTGGCATTGTTTGGACAGTTGTACCACCAAGAGACGACGGATGAGTGGGTGCGCTACGCCCCGACGTTGTGGCTGTCTCTGAGTACGTCGACTCCTGACAACGCGAACATGCTCTTTCCTACCCCCCTGTCGTCCACGTGTCAGTTTGAACCCCTTGAAATCGACACGGCGTGGGCTCGCCGCACCCAGAGCATCCTCACGCCTCTGTTTTCGCAAGACGCCATCGCATTGCAGAGCCAACAACCGTTGGACCAGCCGCTGGAACGTGCTGGCCTGGTCAAAGCTACACAAGATCGCGTATGGTCGCAAACCCAATCGCAGCAGTTTCAGTCGAGTCAGGGGGCAGCTACGACTGGTTCCATACAAACGACTTCTGCCGGTACGTCCAGTGATCCGTTACTGTATGTTAAGGATATGATTGCTCAAGTATGTATATGCTTGATTGTATGTTGGTTGTATCGATCATGTTGGATAGGACTAGCCCCACGGACAGTTCGCTTTTACAAATCGACTTCGAACGCCCGCATTAGCGATGAAAGCAGTCGCACGAAAACGTTCTTTCAAGAACGTGCAAGTCGATCCAAACGCCAAGAGCTGGCGCGGCTCAACCAAGAAAAGGCCAAGGGCACGGCCGTGAGCTTGTTTCGAGCGTACCGCGTAGGCGAGTTCCCCGACATTCAGATCCCGCGGATGGACGTGCTGCGGCCGCTGCTGGTCGTCGCGTCGTTACATGCCGCCACATCATCCGCGTTGTTCTCTGCCTTGCTAGTGGCGGTGCTCCCGACGCTGCCGTCGTCGATCCAAACGCAAGTGTTTGGTTACTTTGAGACTCTTTTGGAGTCGGCGCAACACAACACGCTGGTCGTGGCGGCGCTCCATCAAGCGTACATTGGTCTGCTGTGCCAGTCCAAGTCATCTGTGACGCTGTTGTCCCCAGATATCATTGGCACGTCCAGCATTTCCAGTCGAAACTTGGTCACGGGCCAGCGCATCCTCGAGGAGCTGTTGATCCACTCGACGGACGAAAATGTATCGACACACGCGTGGAACCAACTGCATCATGTGCTCCAAATGGTCGAGAACGAGCCGTACTTGCTGGCGCTGGCGACGCACGAGTCTACTGTGCCCGAGACGACATTGGCGGTGGAAGCGCAGTTGAAGGGGGACCTCGTTGCGGCGCTGCAGCATTACAAGGACGCAGAAGCCAAATATGCTTCGATGGACAACGCAAACGTGACGATTTTAGAACGCCAACGATGGAAATCCGAGCAGTTCCACTGCTTGGCCACTCTGAATCGCTGGGACACCCTGCTGGACGACGTGCATCCCGACCGCTTGTGGGATCAGCACGAACCGTTCTTGGAAAAACACACAAAGTGCTTCCTCGAAGCATCCATCGCCATACAAGACACGTCGTTGCTGCGCGAATTCATCGACCCCATCCTGCAGCCCACACGCCAACAAGACACAAAGCTGCAGTACCTTGTCACACGGTTCCCAGACCTTATCGCATGCGCCAACATGCAGCTTCTCCAGTGGAGCCATGCCCAAGCCGCCGTGGACGAGTTCTACGCCACTTGTCTGCATCAGTGGAGCAGCATGCCGGCGTCGCATCGACTGCGCCAGCTCCAGCGGCTACCCAATATGGTATTTCTAGACGACGTGTTGGACGTGATCAAGACGCATGGTGGTGGCGCCATGTCACCATGCGTCGAGAAATGGAAGCCGATTGTTCCGTTGGTGCACCAAGACTCGCTCGACGCGTGGTCGACATACCATTTGATTCGGAATGTCGGGTACGAATCCTTGGTCGCTGCGACCGACGAGTCGAAATACGGCGGCCGATCCATTGCGCAAGACATGGCGTCTATTCGAGTGCATGTACGTGGCACTTGTTTCTGTGACTTGTTTCCATATTCGGGGATATTGGGATTTGATGTATGGTGTGGTGGGGGGTTGGCTTGATGGTGTCGTGAACTGGGTTGTTTAACGTAGACCATGCTGTCGTACGCAGAGGCCGCGGTGGCATCGAATGTGTTGGCGCTGGCAGGGCGACTCTTGGCAGACTACCGGACGTTGTGCAATCAAGCCAATTTGCCCAAGCTGACATTGCACATGGTGCCTTGAAATCTTCAATACAGTGGTCGAGGCTAATCTATCATAGGTGCAAGTGTACTCTGCCCAAGTGTCGAAACTCGCCAGCAGGCAACTCCAAGCCGCGATCAACTTGACCGACGACCACAAGCAACGCGTGCTGGCGCAAGTGGCCAACTACTACGCGGCGCTAACTCGCCTATTTGACAACGATGAAGTTCTCGTGTTCATTCCGACCCTCCCAGCCACGACCCAGGCCGATATTTACGGCTGGCAGGCGCGCGCACTCACGGAAGCCGCCGCGTTCCACCGCGAATACGGCGATGCGTCACTCGGAACGACTCTCGAACGCGGCGCGATGGAAATCTTCCAGTACCAGACGGCCAAAGCCACCACCATGACCAGCATGCACGTCATGTACATTGAGTACCTCGACAAGTGCCTGGAGCGGTCGACGGCCGGTACATTCGGGTCGTTGGCCAAAGCGATGGTGGAGACTGTGCTGTTTGGGATGGCTTTGGCGGACAAGACGTGCGCGGCGTACTTCCCGCGGGTGTTGGGGCTCGTCCGAGATCACCCGGCCGACCTGTTGCCGATTTTGACTAGCAAAATGCAACCAGTGCCGCTATGGACGTGTTTGCATTGGTCAGCGCAGATCATGGCGATGTTGGATGTGCATGCGACGCCGTTCAACGACTGGATCCTGTCCTTGTTGGAAACGGTGCGACAGGGTTATATATTTGTCTATAAGGATATTGGTGTCTTCTTGCCCGTGATTGTGAAATATGCACGTCAACGACATATTTCGATGGCTCGTGGTTTGGTTGAACGTTTTACGTAGATGGCGAAGGAGTACCCGAAAGCATTGTACTATGACTTTCGACTATCGAGTGCGTCGATACCAGACATGGCGGCTAACGCGAGGTTTCATCGACTGGCGGCATTGCTGCAAGATCATACTCTAAACCAATTCGTGGCGGCACTCGAAGGGTCAGTCACTATTTTCACTGTTTTTTTATCACTATATTTGGTACGGCTATATCGATAATGTGAACATGTAGACTCCACCATCCGGAAATCCGCCTCAAGGAAGCGCTGCGGTACTTGTCGGATGTAGTCGATGACAAGAAACCCAAGGCGCAACTCGCGTCGATTGTCAGCACGACGTTGTCCGCAGTATTTGACGACCGAACCAGAGTGCTCGGCAACCAGGTTGGGGCTTACAATCGTCAGTGGATGGCCCAACATCGCAAACATATTGAGGCGATGCTGGGCAAAGACGTGACCAAAGCCGCGCTTCAGTCGGCCCGCGGCTGGCTCAGCCAAACGTTCCAGGTCATGCCGGGCAAGTACGGCATCGACCGCCACTGGAAGGCGAAATTGGCAGACTTTTCCGACTGGTTGGCGCAGCTGGATCCTGTCAAGATGCGCATCGAACTGCCTGGGCAATACACCAAACGTAAGCCGAGCTTTCCTCGTGTTTGAAATGTCGACTTAGTAGAGTTGTTTGTGGGGTAGATTGGGGCAAACCAGAGCCTGCCACCCACACGTACATTTTGAGCTGCGAGCCGCAATTGATGGTGTTGCCGTCGAAACAATTGCCCAAGCGCCTCGTGTTGCATGCATCGGATGAGCGAACGTACATGTACCTAGTCAAGGTATATAGTACTAAATATACCCACTACCCCCACATTCGTACTATCTGTTTGTACATCCTAACCGATGATGTGTGATTTATATAGGGCGGCGAAGATTTGCGACTGGACCAGCGCATCGAGCAGCTCTTTGGTGTCATGAATGGCATTTTGCATCAACATACAACGTGCAGTCGTCGCCAGTTGTCCACGCGGACTTATAACGTTCGGCCTCCTATTCTATCTCGTCAAAAGCGACTCCCACCCTCATGTACATTCGTATGTAGGTGGTGCCCATGACCACAACTATCGGGCTCGTCGAGTGGCTCGGCAACACTACAACCCTGAAAACGATTGTCGAAGAGGAATGGGATGATGGTACCTCTTCCAAGAAGAAAACCAACCTGCTGCAGCGACCCCCCGGCGTCCAGTACGAAGCCTTTTGGGCCAAACAACGCGGGAAAACGTACGGCCAGAAGGTCGCCACCTCGGCCACGTCCGCCGTGGTGTCGTCGTTTGTCCAAGCGGAAGCGGCGGTGCCGTGCGACTTGTTGCGACGACGGCTGGTGCACATGGCCAACACGAGCGACACATTTTTTCAACTCCGCGAGAGCTTTGCGACGTCGCTGGCTGCGTTCAACGGGTGCTCGTACGTGTTGGGGATCGGCGACCGGCACTTGGACAACTTTTTACTGGATGAACGGACGGGGGCCGTGGTTGGTATTGACTTTGGCATCAGTTTCGGCGCCGGGGCGAGTCTCCTGCCCGTGCCCGAGCTCGTGCCGTTTCGATACACCAAGCAACTGCGAGGGGTCCTGCAGCCCCATGATGCGTCGCTGCTGCTCCAGCAGGATCTGGCAGCGGTGCTGGACGCGCTGCGAGGCCAGCAGCAGCGCATCGACAGTGTCATGCGGGTGTTTCTAAACGAGCCGCTGCTCGAGTGGCAGACACAGTCGAAAACCAAGTCGAAAGCGCAGCAGAAAGAAACGCCCGACGGCGACGAGGCTGCGGCGGCGGCGACGTGGATGCCCCAAGTGAAGATGGACCTGGCACGGCGAAAGCTCCGAGGCGAGCACGTGGTGCACATTTTGTGTGACGAACTGGCCTTGAATCCGAATGTCGCGGCCGTGCTGAAGCCGTTACAAGCGACGCTGCCGCCGCCAGCCGCGCCAAAACACAGCGTGCTGTCGCCCGTTGACCAGGCCAAGGCGTTGATTCACGTTGCGACGGCCCCAAACGTCCTTGGCCGCATGTTCCATGGGTGGAGTCCGTGGGCGTAATTATATGCAGAATATGCACCTTTGGTCATACTTCTGTACAAGCACTTCATCGACATTTGGAGCCATTTACTGATTAGCTGTCTTCCATGGAGATGTCGATACAGCGTATAACTACAGTAAGCGTACTGGAACTGAATACAAACGACCGATACTGTAACCAAAGCATGTAACCGTCCAGGACACGACTTGAAACTGCTGTAACTGCCCCATTCAACGGTAGTTGAAACAATGCACCTACGTGTACGACTAAGCTCTAGTACCGATCGCCGTGGACCTGTCCTACATTGGAGGTCGCTGTCCTCTTGCCTCGAGTATGTACTCAGCCAACAGCGTCAAACTACCTTTTTGGGCACTTCAACATAACACGAAACCGTCCTTGCAACGACCTGTAAAACCTCTGTAACCGGCCCAGTCGACATCCCCATAGTTGAATCCATGCGCGTGGGTATTCGTGAAACGAAAACGAGTAGTCGCGTTCAGTCCATATGGCGGCTCAAGTACCGACGTGTAGGCGTCGCCCTCGGCCTGACCTACATTGTAATGTCGCTGACGTGCTCCATCTATTACCTTGGGCTGCTCAAGCCAGCGTTCTTGAACGACATTTGGTGGGCGAACTACACGCCAAGCGGGTATCAAGCGCTGCTCATCGATATCTTCAACGACGCTCTAACGACTCGGGCGTCCGGGGAGCTCGATCTGTTGAGCGCAGTCATGGACAAACGGTACATGACGCCGTCGTCGACAACCAACGTGTGGCCAACTTATGTGCGTCGGCTGGTATTCAACGAGCTCACGTCCGTCGAATACGCTGTCGAGAGCTTGCGCAAAGTCAATTCGTTTTGGAGCATGTGGATTCTGACGCCGTACTGTTGGGTGGATTTCAACCAGCGGTACGAGATTGCCCTCACTCGTTCGCGACAACTACGGTGCGTGAAGCGTTTCAGTGCCAACGGCGCCGTGTACATGGAAACGATGCTACGCAACGTCGTGTGGGACGAGTACATGCAGAGCTTTGGTGGGGACAGTGGCATGTTCGCGGTGCCGATTCAGCGGTGGCTCGAGACGTCCCTCGACGGCCGCCACTGGCTCCTCGCGACCTCTGCCGCCCGAGCCACCACCTCAGAAATTGAAGAAGCTGCCTATTGGAAGAGCCACAACATCTCGTCGTTTGAAGTCCAATGGCTCAACTATTGGCAAACGGGTATTTCCGAAACCATGCGCATTGACAACGCTTTGGGCATATGTCACTGGACATTCCGCTCAAGAACGTCCCCCGCACCGACGAAACGTGGACGTCCGTCCTGTTGTACTGGATGCCCATCAACGACCTCAACACGATGCTCACAGAGAACCGCAGCCTCGTGCACGCCGCCCCCGACTCGTTCTTGAACGATCCGCCTGTGAACATAGAGCTGTACCTCGGCATTCAACCCGTGAATGGCACGTACCCGAGACAAATTGGGGCCTTCCGGGCGACGCTGGGGCCGTTTACGGCCGTGGATTCGTATTACGTTCGCGTGCCGGTACCTCTGCAGGCGCTGGTCACAGCGTTTCACGATACGTTGCAATCAGAAGTTGCGACCAACCCTGCACTTCGCACGCCATTGGATGGGATGGTAGACAGCCTCGTCATGTACGCGCCACCGGCAAGTTGGCTCGATCCTAGCTTGGCCTTCTACGGTGGCAACCCCGTGTGTCTAGGTGGCGCCCCCCAAGCATTTGTCCAACAAGCGTTCAACTTTTACGACATTTGCACATCGCAACGTCCCCTCACGACGGACTTCAACAAGTACTCTGTCCTGTTTGCTGGACTGGCGACTCGAAACCAACCCATTGGTTCGTTGTGCGATGGACAAGAGGACGTTCTTGGTTGCCGTCTAGCTGTGCACCACATGCTCGCATCGATCCCCGCTTTCGATACCGTCGTTCAAACGTTAGGGCCCATGTGGCCACTAGCCTCCAAGGCCGTCACAGTGCTCGAAATCAGCGTCATGCAATACGTCTCAACTTCGCCATCGTCGCCGTTTTCAATCCTCCGCCATGGGCTCGTCGACGACCCGCTGTGGTCGTTTTACGGGTGGAGTATGCTCTACGATTGGGTGCACGGCCAGCGCGAGGTCGTGTCATTTCAAGGCGATATCTCAACTCTCGTCTTGATCTCGTCGGCGGACACTCCCCAGATATTTACCAGCAACGCCGACTCGAATCAGTCGGCGTCGCGCGTCATCTACTATATAGCCGTGTACGCGTCCTTGGTCCTCGTGATCGTGGCGGTTGTCTCCATTCTGTGCGCGATGGTTGTGGCCAACGCCCACGGCCCCAACTTGCTCTGGTTCAACCACATCGTCGGGTTCGTCTGGGTCGGGCGTCCCGTCATGTTTGTTCGGGGGTTGACGGCGATTCTGCTGCTCAGCACGGCCCAGGTGGTATCCGTGTCGTCCGATGTGCCACAATCGTCGTCGCGGTTTATGTTGACCCATCGTTCGTTTCTGGATATTCTCGTCATTTCGGGCGAAGCGACGTGGGTCACGTACGTCGTCAACGACATCTTAGCAGTTATGACGGCTGATTTGACCAAGGTATGCGGCCCCCTCAGTGAGCTGCTAGCATGGGGGGGCTCGTCGTTCTTGAAATGGCAGCCCCCGTCCGTCCCCGAGCGCAATTGAATCGAGAGTGTGCGTCCGACGACTACGACAAAACCGTCGTGTGCACGTGTGGACGCCTTGAAATTGGCAGCGTCGATCGTGTCGTGTTGATTCTGGGGCTTCAAGGGGCTGTGTGCGTAGTGGGGCTGATGGCAACGTGGCTGCTTCGACGTGTGAAGCCTCAGAAAGCAAGTGTGGAAACGAGTGAATCGACGTTTCAAACGGTGAAAGCGACACGACATGCGCTGGGCATTGCCGATAGCTACCTGGACGCCCCCGACGAAAGCAATGTCTCGGCGTACCATGTGGACAAAGTGTCGTGCATCATGGCGAGGTTCCTTCCACTCGCGTGGGCGGGTGAATCGTACACGTTTGACGTCAAGTTGTGGCTCTGGCACGAAACCAAGCAGCCCAAGACCTGCACCAGCCACGACGTCCACGAGTTCCGGGCGCACGCGTCTAGTGTCCGCGGTAAAAGTACCGTGTCGCCCCACATTAGCTTGTTATTGTACCTGGCCCCCGTCAAGATGACGCGACCCGCCCAAGTGATTCAGCACGCGAAAACTGCGTTTGCCGTCGCGTATACCGTTGGCGCGATCGTGAGCAGCGTGTCGTACCTTGAAATGACCCAAGTGAACCTCGCCAATGACTTGTATTGGGCTAAATTCAATATGACAGGCGCCCACGCATTCACGGCGACCTGGCTCAACGAATGGATCGTGCTCGGTCGAGAAGCCCCCCCCCTCTTAATCGACAAACCGCTTGTTCAACTCGACTCGAACCAGGTTGCGGTCGAAGGCGCGTTCGACCAGTCTGTGGCCATGGTCCCCTCGGTGGCCAACTTTGGCGCCGAATTGCAGTACACGCGCCTGAATGCGCTGGACCAGGCGATCGCAGGGCTTCGGGCTACCAGCGGGTGCGACGTGCCTTGGATCTTCACCCAGTATTGCTACGTGGACTTCAATCAGCGGTGGGAGCTCGCCAACTCTGCCTCGCGGCAAGCCCGATGCAAAGCCAGCATGACCGCAAACGGCGCCGTGTTTATAGAGTCTGTATTACGGAATGTCGACTCCCGCGAGTTCAAGTCGTGTTGGGGGGACGCATTTACTTCTGGCATTGCAAACGAAGTGCAGAGCACAACGCAAGGCCAGCAATGGCTGCAGGACACGCTGAGTCCAGCGTTCGTCCTCTCCATCGCGGACGAAATCGCCCTGTGGCGAGCCCACAACATCACGACGTTTGACACGCAGTGGCAAAACTTCAAGCGCATCGGACTTATCAACTCGTACACAATCTCCAACCTCTACGGCGTGTCGTACCCGTTCACTTTGCAGTACCAAAACACGTCGTTCCGCCTCGCGAAGCAAGCCACGTTCATCATGTACTGGGGCCTCGCCAACGATTTCGACGCGGTGGCTCCAAATAGAAGTAGCAGCAGCGGCCCCTCCCATCCCCCCCTCCTCCTCTCTGGACGCAGCCTCGTGCGATCGTCGCCTTTGTATGCGTTTGCCAACACGTCGCTAGAGGCGGTTCTACAACTTAACGGGACGCTCCCGCCCGCGTTGTCTCAGATCCACCAGCGATTTCGCAACGTGATCGGGCCGTTTGGGTCGATTGATATGCACTTCATCACGTGCCCAAAGGCGGCGAAGCACGCCGTGGCCATTATTTTTGACATGCTCAACCGAGTGCTTGGGACCAATCACGACGCGAAACGTGACTTTTACAACATCACAGACCCGTCCAGCGGCATCACACCAGCCCCCAAAGCGTGGACCGACGTCAACTTTTTGCCTGTGGGGGGCAGTCCGTTTTGCGCCGAAGTGCCCTTTGCAGGCCAGGGATCGATCGCCATGGGCATGGTGTCGTTCCCGTCGTGGGAAGCGCAATGCAAATCGATTATTACGTGGACCCTCATCGCCCCCACGCGTCGGTACCTCGTCACATCCGTCCTCTTGTCCAACCTGACCGACGTCGCCCGCATCTGCGCCCAAAACGTGCAATACCAAGCGAAATGCACCGACTTTGTCAACGAAACCGTGTCGTTCGTGTCGACGTACTTGGTTGATCTAGTGCTTCTCGACTTGATGGAGGCTGCAACTACTGCCATTCGAAACACTCGAGTGGAAATGATTCAGTTTGGCCAGACAAGTGTCGACGACCCCGTCGAGTTGTATCGGTATCGTGTACTGGAAGACCCTTTTGGCGGCGACGAGTTTGCCTTTTTCTCGTGGATGTACTTGATCGAATGGACTTTGGGGTTGCGAGAAGTGGTGTCGTTTCAGGGCGACGTTGGGACGATGGCGATTCTCACAGAGTACACGGCACCCCTCCAGCAGCAAGTGGACGGCGCCCAAACCCCCGTGAACTTTTCTATTTACATGCGAAGTGCCGTATGGTACATTACGCTGGCCATGATCGCCGTGACGTCGTTGCTGCTCTTGTACGTGTTTGCCAGCCACGGCCAAATCGAGGTAAGCAACTTGCTCGAGCTACAGCGCGTCGGGGCGATCGTGTGGGTGGGTCGGCCGCTCCTGTTTCTCCGTGGCCTCACCGCCATCGGCCTGCTATCCACGGCCATGCTCGAGCTGGCCTTTGATGCGTACATGTCGACGTTCCGAGTCGGGCACCCGCCATGGTACAAGACGGTCCTCGCAGCCAACGAAGTTACGTGGATGGTGGCGATCGTAGACGACCTCGCCTTGCCGCTCACGCAAGGGTACACGCCGTACTACGCCACGACCAACAGCATTCTGGTGTGGACCATCACTGCGAGTTTGAGCTACTACTGGCCCGTGACCCACGTCGTGTCCCTGGCGCAATGATGCGCGATTGTCCAAATGGATGCGCAAATCGTGTGTACGAGCGGCGACATTGCCATTGGCCACGTCAGTCGCCTTGTGACGCTGGCGATGCTTGTCTTGGCAAGCAAATTGGTTTGCTTTGTCGCCGCGAGGATACTGGTGCGTCGTCGAGTCGCCAGCGATGTACACATCAAGTCCATCTTTGTGTATGCAGGCGCCAAGTACCTGTTTGATTTGTCCAAGTGGATGTCCTGCGACGTGTATTACATGGACCGCATGTCGGCCGCCATGAATGGGATTCTCACGTTGCAGCACCACGAAACCATGCACGCGTTGGACATCAAGTTGTGGCGCGTTTTCAGTGTCGACTTGTCCGACGAGGCGTCGAGTATTCCCAACCACCACGTCCACGCGGCAGCGTATCGACGGGCGTTGCCCCTGATATCCGACGAATAAACAATGATTTCGGTCGAAACCCCGAACCCCCAAACCCCCTCCCTAATTTAACGTTAAAGGTTACGATATTTCCAAAGGCCTGGATGCCACTCCACGTTTTGATTCCATAACGTTAATATGGTGGAGATGCTATTTATGTACAGGGTTTCGGGGTTTCGGGGTTTTACTGGAATAGTGGTAGAGATGCTCTGAATGCATCATTTTTCCAAAGGCTAAAGTCAATACCCCTATACCGGTAGTAGATTACCAGTACTATTAATACGTAGTATATACTGTATAACCTTACTTCGAAATATTAATAGTATTACAAAATTCATTTTTTACCTGGATGGGGAAAGTTTGTTTTTTTATAGTTAGTTTTACAGAATCAACAACGGTAGAAATGTGGCTGGCTGGCTGGCTACGCTCCTTGCGATAACGTAATTGCAATACAACTTTTTTGGTTTTACGGAGAATGACCATAATTCTTGATTGAGGCATCCTTTTTGCATCCTAAAGTGCCCTAAATTGTAGACAATTTTCAGTGCAATCCACCAAGCATAATCCGGAAAATGCAGTGAAGTATTGATATAATTACCGGAATCGTAGTGCAGGAGGCACTGCATTTTCGATTTGTTTGCAACAAAAATACTAATTTTATTGGAAACGACATACAATATCTAAGTTGTACAATTCGAAAAAATAATATCGCGATGTAGGAAGAAAACGTAGTGCACACTGCACTATGTTACCAGCAGCCAATGAAAAGTCACAAAAACCCAATGTATGTGGCCAATTGAATCGATTCAAAGGATCCCAAACGACGCCACTGCGATGCCTCGGCAGGAGGATTTCACCATAGCCAGTGCTCGGCGAAATCGAATCTCCCAACAAACGAGATGTGGATACACATCTGGAATCAACCAAATCAAGAAATGGGTTGTACAGGCAGGACTGCACGACCATCTGGGTCCATGTAGTGAGAGCTGAGACGGAACGACGCTGGACCTTAATCACTTCACCTACAAGCACTTCCTCTCCTTCATAGAATGGACAGTCCAAAACAAGGATGTCGAGGTGGGAACAATCAGCGGGTATCGCAGTGCCATCCAGAGCCTTTACAAGGACCAAGGTGTATAATTACCAGTGGAATATGGCGAAGACATCAAGGAGATTTTTTCGGGTATTACATATTTTAATATTTTTGAGCTTTTGAGTTATGGCAATTGTAATAGGACTACGAACGAGCGTGGCCCATGGGCTTCAAACTGGTGAAAAAGTGTACGGAGGAAAGTGTCCGATGACGTTTGATGTTTTCGAGTCGCTGTGCGCAAAGAGCATGGCACTCAGCGATGGTGGCTTCGCGCATTTGTTCCTGGTTCTGTCGTGGAACCTTATGTGTCGCTCGAAATCCAACAGAGACAGTCCGGTATGGCACTATGTCTTGCTCAGGATAGTTATGTTTGCATATAGGTTCGATCACATGACGTGTGAGGATGACAGCATTGGTTTCACATTCTTTAAAACCAAGACCAACCAGGAAGGTTAGAATTGGTATATGTTTGTTTATGCGGAATGTGATTTCATATATTTAATTAGGAACGAAAAACAAGGATCCAAAGCACTGTTACTCCAACCCGTTCAAGCCGGCGACATGCGTCTTTGTCGCTCTGGGGCTCTATCTTTCTTGTAACAGTAGGATGTCCCCAACCAGCGTGTTCCCTGGTTAAAATCAAAAGGTGATTAGTCATGTCACACTCCAATCAAGTTAGATTATTTTATTAGGATCGCTTTGGAAAGTCACTTGCTGCGTTGGTTTGCGGAGGCAGCTCGAAAGCAAAGAAGGACATTGGGACTCACTCCATTTGGAAGGGTGCTGCTACGTTTGTGTCATCGGGCAGCACCGGGGGTCCGTCAATTATCAGTGTGTGCCTTCGGTGTGGATGGTCCCTCGGAAATGTCATGGAGAGGTACTTTCGGTATGAGGCAGCTGGTGACCAGTTCACTGGTCGATGTGTGGCTGGATTACCACTGAACTGCGCTGACTTTGCTGTCCTGCCTCCACATCTTTCGGGTGGTAACGACTTAGTGGTTGGCCAGGCTGTCCAGATTATGTTTCTGTCCGTTTGCTCCGAAATCCACCTGGTTCCAATTTTACAGCTTATTTTGGCAAGTTTGGTGTATCACCGAATTGTTTTGATTGGGTCCTTGCCTCCTCACCATGCCCTGCTGTCCACATCGCTGTTTACGAACCCAGACCTGTTTGCCAATCTTACTACTATTGTGATTTCGGGCTCAACATCGTCATGCTTGCGAGCCAGCGGAATCCCTCCTTATGTTGAAATATACAGGAAATTGGGAAAAAACGAAGTGATTTTGATATCCATGCCCGCCAAGATTTTGGACGGCGTGCGGAGTATTGTCGAAGACCATGGTGTGGTAGCTGGCAACATTACACGATCGGTTCTAGAGTCGTCTATTGCCAGTGCCTTGTCGTCCATCCAACAGTCAAATAGCGCCATGTCCCCCGCACAACAATTGCCAATTGATTCGCAGCCTCTGGTGTATGAGCCATTTCACTGGGGTGACAAATTCCACAAGCTGACAAATACCACAACCCGAGAATTTTGTGTTTCCTAGTGTCGATGCTGCAACAGTATGGAAATTATGGTGGCGTGGAAATATTCGCGAAAAGTCTTGCCGTATCGAAAGATTAATACCCAAGATTTGGCCACCCGAGCTGCGAGAAACATGTTTTACGAGTGGAAATTTGTCCTGGAGAAACTAACGGACCATTTTGTGTCAGTATCAGGTCGGAACATGGCCCTCAACCCCTCGGAGCAAGAGGTCTCCACGTCGTTCGACACGGCGCGAGGCCTTTTCGACCAACTCTGCGGTGAAACATCAGCGAAACGTGTGCGGCGTGACGGACAGCTCAACATCACGACGCTTGTCCGTCTTCTCCGCCAACTCGAGCCTTCCAAGACGCCTCGGGTCTTCAAGAAGCGCAAACGCTCGGAGCAGCGAGCAGGAAGCCAGTCGACGACCATACTCTGACGTGTACGAGGAGGTTGAATTAGTTTACAGAGAAGGTGGATTGGCAATCGTATATTGGATGTGTTTGCTTGTGCTTGTAGATGGTCCCGGGTACAGTAGACACTGGCAGGACGTGGAATGACTCGACCGACTTGCAATGTGACCTGAAGTTGGAATGGTTCTTCCGTCGCATTCATGAATTCTAGCCAATCAAAAACACTCTCAACAGTGATTGGCTGTAAGAATCGTTGTAGTGCAGGTTGCACTACGTTTTCCAACCACAACACAATGTATTTCGCACAATTGTACATGTATAATGGCGTAATGTGCCAATTAACGACGTATAAAACTAAGCCAATCGCTGATCCCTAAATTGGAAAAACACCAATCACAGAACAAACCTCTGAATATGTATACTCGTAACCATACAACACCGAAGGTTAAAATAATACTACGTAGTACTCCGGAGTACGCCAACAATTGGCACACCGCTTTTATAGAGGTATAGCAAATATGAAGACCTGTATACATACTATTAATAGTTCAGCATGTGCGGTGCCAGCGTAGAATATTCATACCACTACACATCACCGCCAGCAGCAATAACAGCAACAGCGACGATGCATGTGAACCTAAGACATTCGAGTACCAGTATAAAGTTAACGTTAGGGAACATTCACACAGTAACTTGATGTGTGACGAATTGAATCATATGATGTCGAGCACCATACGCTAATTTGAACATTTATTCCCGCGCCGTTTTTCAGCGTCTGTATTTGACCCCAGAAACGGTACAATAGCGTTTACCGTCGCACCATTGGGATGCCCTGGGTTCAAGTGGGTCACTAGCAGCGCTATTCCAACTGGTCCGGCAAGTCCACCAACGCCATCGCCAGGTGATCCTCAACCATATGCGCCGTCACTACGTCCTTGTCGGCAATGAGTTTCTGGATCATGGGGGCAACATGCCATCTCGGTTCAAGCGCCTGTCGCGCATCTCCTAACGACTCATAGGTCCCGGAACAAGGACAAGAACTCCGGCAAGATGGACTACGGCGTGTGGACGACGGTCGTGGTGGCCCAGGTGCGTCATCTAGCACCCTGCAATGCCTTGCCCAGGTAGCAGCGACAAATCCGAGACAGGTGGTGGATATACTATCAAATTATCGTAATTCTACACAAACCTCGAATTAACTGTAACATTCCATAAAATCACCAAAACGTACCAAGTACCGGTATTAGGAATACTTTCTGTTCATTGGATGAATTCCAGACAACTGATTTAGGGTATATACAAATATTTCAAAATGTGAATTTTGTTTGAGAAAATCCCAGAACGCACCTCGAAGTACTAGGACTATCAGTAATAGATAAGATTCATTTATCCAAATCATTTGCCTTTGAATTCGACCGAAGTCTGATCTAGTACTTCGAAGTACTACGTAGTATTCGTCATTTATCCTTTAACCCGAAACAACAACAACCAACATGGCGGCGGTCAACTTGAGCGAAGGCGAATGGCGAGCGAAGCTGAGCCCAGAACAATTCCGCGTGCTGCGGCAAAAGGGAACGGAGCGTGCGGGTACGGGTGCGTACAACAAGCACAAGGCTGAAGGCGTGTACACATGCGCCGGCTGCGACGCGCCGCTGTACACGTCCGCGCACAAGTTTGATTCGGGCTGCGGGTGGCCGGCATTCTTCGATGCGATTCCCGGGGCGATCAAGGCCGTGCCGGACGCCGACGGTTCTCGCACGGAGATCGTGTGCGCCAACTGCGACGGTCACATGGGCCATGTCTTCCGCGGCGAAGGCTTCAAGAACCCCACGAACGAGCGCCACTGCGTCAACTCGGTGTCGATCAACTTTCAATCTGCCGACAAATAAGTCTACGAAAAACCCACATCATCGGTGGTATATCTGCGCTAACGTTACGTAATTCATCCTAATACAATCTGAATGATACATCAACATGCAAAGGTGTCCTTGTTAATTCAAATGTTATGTGCACTCGTTGCTATATCTATACACGCAGTCTTCCTCTCTTCGCCCTTCTCCATCGCCTTCCTTCATGCAACGTCGCATCATGCGGCGGCCTGTGGCCACAACGTAATGGCGGTGCCCACGACTTGCAGCCCTGCATACGGCTGCAGCTGGCTCACCGTGCTCTGGCCTCGTTTCCTCGCCGCCATGAGCGCATTTCGTCGCTTCGTCGTCTCTTCCACCCGTCCTTCCGCGGCCTCCCTCTTGGACTGCGCCGCCAGCCGCCGCGTCGACTTGAGGGTCCGCGCGATCGTCGTTGCATGTTGGGTCTGCGTGCGCGCCCGTCGCTGCCGCGCCTGCAGCACCTGGAACCGACGGCTCTCGGCTTGCAAGTTGATGGTGGCTTGCATTGCCGTCTTGATGGCGTTGTCCACTACCTCCGTGGACTGGCGCTCCAGGCGCGAGAGGACCACACGATCCAACGTCCGACGCGCCGACGTCTGCTTGGCGACCAGCTCGTTTTGGCGCCGCGCCGCCGCTCGCTCCAGTTTCGTCGCGGTCGCCGCCTCTTTTTCCGCCAACACGAGTCGCATGCAGTTCTACATACACACACATGCTTGAAACTCGAACGAAATTCCTAGTCATAATAGTAGTACAAAGGTCGCCAACGTACTTGACGAGTCGCGACGACGGCGCGCTCCACAAAGCCCTTGCGCGCACGGAGCGTGAGCCCGATGGACTTGCGCAACGCCGCTTCCTGCATCGCTTGCGCACTTGAAGTGCGCAGCGTCTCTTCGCGCAGTAAGTTTCGAGTGCGTGCCAATTGCCCTTGGGTGCGAAACCAGATCGCCGCCGACACCTTGTCGGCCTGCCGCAGCGCTCGCTTTTCGTCCGCCCGGATCAGTCGGAAGGTCGAAAATGCACGCAGTTCCTCCGTGTGGATGTGCACGCGGAGGCGCGCGGCGTCCCCGCGGGTGCGGTCCTCCTCCGCCGCGACCCGGATCGCGTCTTGCGCCAACGCTCGTCGAATCTCGGCCGACCTACAACATATCGCAAGCACTTCAAGTACCCCACATAACTAGCAGTGCACGAACCGGAGGCGCGCAAACGCGTGGGACGCCACGCATTGTTGTCGGAACACATGGTCGTGCTCGCGGCGCTCCGTGACCTGTTGCGTATGCAGCCACACGGCATGTGTTGCTCGTGCGCGCAAGTGCGCGAACTCGGCTAGCCGCACCGCCGCCAACGCCTCTTTCCTCGCACTCAAGCGCACCAAGAGTTGGTGATGCGAGTGCAACACATGCTGCACGCGCTGACTGCGCAGGGCCACGAGTTCCGAAAACAAGGGGCGTGTAAACTCCTCGCGCCTCTGCGCGGCCGCCTCTTGCTCGTCGCTGATGCGGGCCGCCAAGGCCGCCGCGTCTTCTTCACGGGCTTCCTGCTGGCGGTGGGCCAGAACCTTTGCGTACCAATTCCGCGCCGCGGTAGCCGCACGTCGTCGCTCCAGCCAACCTTCGCGGCGCTTGGTGGCTTGGTTCACCTTGTCCAGTACCGCCGCCTTGGCGATTCGCTTGGCCACATGCGCGGCTTGGATCTTTCGAGCGCGTAAGTGGTCACGGCGTCCAGAGATGCAATGGCGCACCCATGCGAACTGGGCACTTCGACGGCGGGACGCTCCGTGCAATCGAGAGGCAAGGTTCTGGGCGATCGCCGAAGCCGTTTCAACGCCAACACGGAGACGTGTCCGCGCGACTTGTTGGCGGCGAACAGCAGCGTCTTGCAGCCTCGCCACCCGGTCCTGGAGGATGGCATCACGTCGAAGGGTTGCGGCTTGCATGGCGGCCGCGCTTCGGAGGGCCTGGTTGAGCCACTGAGCGTCAAACAGTCGAAATGCACATCCGGCGCGGAAATGCACGCTCACGTTGTGGCGCCTAGTAACCATGTCACACATGTTAGTTGACGGTAAAGTGATGAAGAATGATTCGTACCTCGCGCGGCTTTGAATTGACTCCACGTGCGCGTCTCGTCTAGCGATGGCCGTTTCCATGGCCAAATCCAGCCGCTCCGCCTCGCGCCGCTCCATGTACCTGTTGGTCAGATAGACCGACTTGACGTAGTTGCCGTGGCGCCCCGCAATCAGTCGACGCTTGTCCAAGTGGATCGTCCGGCGCACTTCGGCGCGCGCGAGCCGCGCCTCCAAGTCTTGGGCCGCGACCACCTGTGTATGTCGTCATAATTTCACTTCTAGTTGCCTTGTTCAAGGAGTATACAATGATTCGAATCACTTCATGCCTACCTTGTAGTGCCCCAGCAACACGGCGGCGTCGGCGCTCACCGCCTTGGCGCGCTCAACAACCGCCCCAGCGCGAGCCTGACGCGTGGCCAGAAACTCGCCGCGAGCGGCCTCCGCCGCAGCCACCCGGTAACGAGAGACTTCACCGAGACTATTGGTAGTCGAGCCAACGACGAACGTCGGCTTGCGCGTCGGAAGTCGGCGGGATCCCACGTACGAGTCTCGGCGAGCGGTCGCTGCGGCTTGCTTGGCATCCCACGACTCCCGTTCAGACTTGATCCGGGCAGTTTCGGCATCGATGCGACGAAGACCCACCAGCCACACGAGCTGATTGTGGTCCTTCGCTTTATTCTGTCGAGCTGTAAGGAAAGTCGCCGCCGCGCGCACGGCCAGCGTCACCTTGTCCGAACCGTCGTAGCGTCGGAATGCCGCTTGGAAATGGGGCGGTGCGATGTCGGACAGCGCTTGAGGCCACGCGATGGCGTGCTGCTGCTGGTTGTGTGAGCGCTTCACGGCCCCCCATGGAATGATCCAAGCCGTGGCCAAGAGGGGGGTCGTGTTGGGAGGAAGGGGATGGTCGGCAAGAAATTGGGCGGCGTCAAAAGATACTTCAGCATCCAACGTCACTTGAACATCCTCTGGTGTTACATGCTCGTCATCCAGCGCCACTTGAATGTCGTCCAAGTCGGCCAGCCCGTTGCTGTCTTGCTTGCATTCTTGCTGCAACGGGGGTAAAGATTGCACTGGTTGGACTTCGTTGTCTTCCTGGTTGTTGTCGGCTTCGGTAGCGTCCACTTGCTTGGTCACGTTGTCCGCGTCCTCTTGATTTTTCTCCAACACATCGATACTGTCGTCGTGTGGCTGGGGGTCGTATGCGTCGGAAGTCGCGTCGATGGCGTTGCGGACTTCCTCCGATTTGGCTGCGCGACCCGAGAGCGCGGACGGCGCAGAGGACCGGCGCGCGATGGCGGCGGCGGTAGATGAGAGCATCACCCGGTGCCTCGTCAAATGCGTCGGTGAAACGAAAAGTGGTAACGGACGGCGCCTCAACGCGACGGTTCGGAGTTGCCGGTTTCATCAAGTGCGGTTTTTTCTTCGTTTGATGTCGAGCAAAAGCTAGTTTAGACGCGTTTTAACATTGAACGTGCATGCACGTTAAACTCAAACACATGAAGACATTTGAAATGCGGAGGCACTGCATGGCGTACTCGAGGATCAGAGATGGACCTGCATACGCGATACTGTACCAGCAAGAGGAACGAATACATGTAGTCAGGAGGTATGTATACATACCTCCTGACTCGCTTAACGTTAGGAGCTACAAGGTGTCGGAAAGAAGCCACAAGGATTCCATTGGTGTGTTTTTACCAATAAAGCGTCGATAACTTCGCGTTGATTGGTGGATTTTCTACTAATCCAATCGTAAGAGTAGCTGGAATGAGTATACTCTGGAGCAACTGACAAAGTGAGCCTGAGTAAAACCAAGAACACAAAGCAAACTTACAGTTTAAGAACTCTTGTAAACTCGGGAATTTACACGGTGAATCGAAGCAGAACGAAAATGCTGTGGCCTAAAGGATACAATACATCGCATTCACGTTGATGATGATGGAGGCAACGTTCGTCAACGGTGAATTCAATACTAACGTTAATATATTAATACAGTAGTTACCAAAGAGTTCTTTAAATTTCTGTCACAACTCACGGATTCCCAGTTTTATGGGAATAATAACGTAGAATGCCAGTTTAAGGACGTATTTAAGACGTACGAAAACTGGGCAATCAAATGCCAATATTGTTATGAAAAGCACTTGGCCTCTTCTTATATATATATGCTCATCACTAGACGCAACCAAGCGATGCCATGAGGAGGTCGCGGGTTCTTTTTCCGCTGTTGAAATGGAAATTCGATTAGCCAATCAGACGCATCCGAATCGGAGGTGTCAACAATTCCTTTACGCAATATAGTAATATTAGTAGTTTTTTAATTAAATCCATTACAAGTTGGAGTACAGTTTTGAAAATAAAAAAATAGTCCACCGACGATATTACCAAAAACCAAATCTTTCTCTGGAGCTGCGAGCGCACGTCCATCGCCACCTGGTCATGACGTCGCCGCATTCGACCAGTAGTCTATGTGTGACCACCGCGGCGTCGTACCCCCAACCGAGATGGGTCGAGCGAGGAGCATCCTTTCTCCGCCGCATCAATCTCGAGCGTGTCGCGGAAGATCCTCGCGTGAAACTGCTCATCACGGGCCAACATCCCACAGAATCCGGTCTCCTCTCTCCACACTCGCTCCATCCTCTTAACGACGAACTGCAGCAGCCGGCGATGCCAAGTCCGTCGCCGCCACGGCATGGCGTCGGGGGTCCCACTTCGTGGCCACGTTCGCTGAAGGAATCGATTCAGAACACGTTCTTCAACAAGAACCACGAGGAGCCGCTGCTTCATCTGTCGCCGCGGATGGCCGTGCTCGGGCCGCACTTTATGCACACGATACTCAAGCTATTCGCGGCGAAGACGTCGTCCACCACATGGAGCGACGCCCAGCAAGCCATGGCCACGTTGGACACTGCGATTGCCGCTCGGTTCGCGGACAAGGCATGTGTCCTCGACTGCGGGCTCTTCGACGCGATCCAGAAGACGCACCAGAAGCCACTCGTCCAAGACACCTTTGCCGGTCGGTAAACTCCGTCCATCCTTCGTCTCCCTTGTCGTGCTGACGCTCGTCCTAGGCGGTAGAGTGACGTCGTTACCATTCAAGCGCGGCGCGGTGCCGTCGATGCACGCCATGTTCGTCGCCACCTCCACCGTGTCGGCGTGGCTGGCCCTACACGAATCGCATGTAGTGATCATCCTCGCGCCCAATCTCGAGCAAATGAGTCTGTACCTCGCGTGCGCGGCGCTCTACCGCGCGCCGTTCTCGTCCGACTTGATGCCGTACGGGGAGCGCATCTTGCAATGGTATCTATTCTCTTCTGTCGTCCATATTTGCCAAGAACTAGCTAGTATGCCTCGACTCTGTGTGAAAAAAAAAATATTTTTATTATATCGGCGATCCTGAAACTATCACCGGCTTTGGTCATACAATGAAACTCAAGTATTTTATTCCCTAGTTTCTGGCTTTTAGTGAACTCTATAGTTTACACGTCGACTACGTTGAATGAGATTTGCCGACATTTTTTGATATTTTGAAGGGCCAAAAAATGTACGAAATCTCCGATTTTCGCAACTTTTCAGGATCATTATGATAACGTTTCGAACTATTGTGTGTTTGGGGACCAAGTCCGACATATATATTGTCCTTCTTTTACCCCACATTTGGTAGACTTTCGTGCGGATTTTTTGCCAAATCTATCGATCGATAATTCTTTGTACTGACTTTTGTATGTAAAGGTCGTCCCGTGTCACGCTAATTTCATTCACACACTAATTCGATGTTGTATTGGTTGAAGAGTGGATTTGATTGGCTACTTGGTTATTGATCTGTCTTTTGATTGGTCGATATATCGATTGTCTGCCGATGTATTTGGGTATTCTGCTCATTCGATTGAGCACCCAAACACTCGAATTTCGAATCATCGACTTGACATTACTATATTGGCATATTCTGCCCAATTTGTCTGAAAAATAATGTCAACGGTCCAATTTAACCCCTGACTTTGACCAACATATCATCTGGACAGCGGTTTTGAATATCATGGTCGCACGACAAATACATACATTCTACAAATAATATGTTCTCCGTTAAAAGAAAAGGGAATTTTTCTGTCAGAATATTATAAGACTTTGTATTTTGTGGCGTCCAGACCTGGTCTAATATATATCATGGGTAGGCTGGCAGAAAACGTGGACGCGTCAGAATCGCTGGCCGCCCGCCTCTCCAAGACATTTGCCGACTCGGAGACGAGGAATACGACCTACATTCCCGGCCTTCCCCGACCGCAAGTGCGATTTCTGCAGGACTTTGCGGCTTTGCTTATACTTCGGGACAAGCAACTCATGGCGTCGGTAAGTTGCAAGTTGCTTGCAATTGGTGACAATGTTTGGTAGATGCTCACCCCCGACACCCCGCCGTCGAACACCACTCGTCCGACGCTGAGTGGCGCCGCGGTCCTCCCGGCGCTGCACCCGCTGTACATTCACAAGTTGGTGCTGCTCCCGTCTCCGAATGCGAATGTATGTGAGACGTGGATCGTTTTCTATGGTTAGATAATAGTGGCTAAGTGGTTCGTTCATGTGTTTTAGAACCGGTACTTACCTGACAATTGCTACCGTCCATATTTTGTACTGCAAGACGAGCAGGGGTACGTGATAAATATATTAGCTAGGATAATATATTATCTGGGACAATATATTAGCTGGGACAATAAAGGATAGACTTGACATTTGTATGGTGGTGGCTAGGCATGTGCTGTATTCGAGCATGGTGCTGGGGATTCGGAGTATTTTGACTGTGGATGGACCGCACGCGTTCAAGGTACAGTACGTGTCATTATGGATGGCGTCATGTGACAACGTCCTGCGACAACGTGGTGAAAATGTGACGTTATCGTACGTAGGTGGGCCGACAAGTGCACACGGGCGACCTCCATTTGCACATGTACCACGTGCCCGTCAACAGTCGCGGTCAGATTGTGCTGGAAAGTCGACTCAACTGCAGTTTGCTGTTTGAACATTTGCGAATGGACGACCGTGGCGAGGTACGATAACGTCATGATGACGTCATCTTCTTTTTTTTATGACGTCATCTGTGTTTGATCACGTCACGATGGTTAGATTACGCTGCGCATGAAAGACGGCGATTTCGACTGCGTGTCGACCTTGTACACCCCCCACGTCGACTTTGCCCTTCAGGTGTTATATATATATCATCCAAAATAGGTTTATATTATTTCACGCTATCGTCTTTTGCATGATTATTCTAAACGTCATTTCGGTTATATCATGCCCCAGGTCGTGTACGGGATCAACGCAGAGGCGTTTGCAGCGGAAGACGAGGCCGACGCCGCCGCCGCCCTCGCCGACGCGCCGACGCGCGCAGGTCGGGCACCGAGCAACCCCAACCTCGTGCTGGCGATTCCCCGAGCCAACCTGCGGGTACCTTGCGGTTCTTTCCTTGGTCTAATATTGTCTTTCTTTAACCCAAAGTTTGAACGTTTGCCAAATCTGTCGACCGATACTTGTATGTGTCACAGGAATGGCCAAGTATCACACTAATTCAAGTCACACACTAATTTGTGGTTGATTTGGTCGAAGAGTAGGATCATTTGATTCGTGTGTTGTGATTGGTCTATTGTATCTGCCGATTCGATACAATACATCATATGTAGCGGCAACTGGTGCCAGAGGAAGCCATGATTGTGTCGAGCGTCACCGTGGCGGACGCCATTGTGTACTCGAGCGTGGGCGATGTGCACTTGAAGCAGGTGGACGTGTGCCAGCGGTCGGGGGTGGTGTACCTGCAGTTCCACGTCCAGTGCGGCGACGGCCAGCTGCGCGTGCTCACTACCAACCAGCTGTTTGGGTATAGCCTGCCGGCGGCGGTGCTGACCACGCTGACCGAAGTGGGCGCGCTCGAGCTCGTGGCGCAGATGCCGCAGTTCGATCCGTCGAATTCAGCCGATTCGTTTGACGAGCAGTACGGTCTGTGGCTGCAGCGGCAGTTTGACGACGACATTTCACGCCTGTCGACGCAGATTCGGATTGGGACGACCCCCACCGACATTGAAAACCTCGTCGCACAGCACGGTGCGTTGGGATGGGTGGTCGGAAATGGATGACTGGATTATATGGCTGGTGGCGTTGCAAATGTGTACTAGTATTGTCGATTTGATACAAAATTTGGGGAGGGGGTGCAATCGAATCGCGCAAACCGATCCACAATCGATCTGATTGGTTGAATTTCATTGAGAAGGTTTGAATTGGCTAATAATTTTGAGCTCATTTGAGGTAGCCAATCAAATCGATTTAAATTCCAACGAGAAACCACGCCACAACACGAAATTTCACTCGAAAGCACAATATGTGTTGTACATATTTGTTGGCTTTTGATGTATACTTGTATATATAAATTTATATATATTTGGGCTGTTATATATATGGGGCTGTTGTGAAAGGGGAGATAGTGACGTGGTTTGGAAGAGTGTGTGACAGTGTGATTTCTATACAAGGCTAGGTTTCGTTGTTATATTATAATGGTTGTGTGTGTATTGAAAAGGAGTTGAATCTTTGGAATATATATATATATATTTGATTGACTATAAGTATCTGATGGGAGGTTTTTTTGGATGGGTAGGGGAATTAGGTCTGGTGATGCTAGCCAACCAACTGCAACAAGCCGAGCTCAACAACACGTACGAAAAAGCCTTATATTTTTATATTCCATATCCTTCGTAATATTATTATTATTACTTTATACCTGCTATATAATGATGAAGATATTTATTATTCTGTCTGGGAAACCAAATGTGGATGTATGCGAATGGATATTGAATAGGAATTATGTTGTGCTGACAAATGATTACTAGGCGAGGCGCGTCCATGCGGTTGATTGCGCAGCTGCCGACGCGGGTGTTTGAAGCGACGGCCGCGGACGGGTGCGAGTGCCTGGTGTGTCGATACAATTTCTCCCCCGGCGACGAGATCCGGACGCTGCCGTGCTTCCACTCATATCACTCCAACTGCATCGACCCCTGGCTGCGCATCAACAAGGTGTGCCCCGTGTGCCAAGTCTCGATCGAGCTGCATTTAGATTAACAAGTAAATAATATACATATATATATAATTGAAATCTAATCCTCGTTTGCATCTCAAAGTATGTGAAGAATAGGTGTGAAATGTCGAATACTTTTAAAATCATAAACTTGAAAATGGCAATAGGAATAGAAACCTTTGACTAATAGTACACCTTTTTGCAGTTAAGTTGGACGAATGCCCGATGTATTTGGCCGTGCACCCGATATATTTGGTGGTGTGCACGATATAATTAGCCATGTGCCCGTTTAATTTGGCCCGCCGAGGTCGTGTGCCCGATATATTTGGCGGTGTGCCCGATATAATTAGCCGTGTGCCCAAGAAATTGGCCATCTGCCCGATGAATTGTGTCGTGTGCCCGATGAAAATAGAATAACTCAAATTAAAAATTGAACTCAATTAAAAAATGCAGTCGAAATGATACACATAACATCCTCGTTTTGGCTTCACATGCCAACTTCCATGTCGTCCATGGCCTCCGCGCGTCCGTAAAAGTATTCGAGGCATAGCGCGTATCGATTCAAACGGTTAGCATCGACCCCTATTCAAACTTTTAAGAAATGCAATAATGCTGCGAAAGTTACCATCGATAACCTGTTCAGCAATTCGCTCGAGATATTGAATTCATCTCGAGTCAAACCATTCGGTGGTGGGCCCATGAACGCGGCTAGTGGCTCACGCCGGAGTGTCTTGATTTGGGCTTTCACCGACGACCACAAATTCTCGATCGGATTCGACATTAATTTTGAGCAGTACTTTGCTTTATCCCGTTGGCGAACGCCGCGGTTTTGCAGTCGTCGTCGTTTCTGAACGCTGCGACGACTCGTTGCTTTGCGGAAAGAGGTATGCGTTCGTAGGGGCCTCATGGCTACAGAGGGGAATATCTAGTACTTCAATTGACATCATAACCGGAGTTCGTGGGGGTGCAGCGACGTCCATGCTGTGCGTTCCTTGGCGATTTGAATAATGAGCATTGAATGCTGGAGGAAAGCGCGCGCATTATGAACTTAAACTATACTTTACTCAAGTATAAATTTCGAATTCTAGGCCTTCGCGCATTTTCCTCCGAACTTCAACCACATGATGTTTCCACCAAAACTGATTTGCACTCCATGGAATATAATTATTTGAGTTATTCTATTTTCATGGGGCACACGACACAATTCATCGGGCAGATGGCCAATTGCTTGGGCACACGGCTAATTATATCGGGCACACCGCCAAATATATCGGGCACACGACCTCGGTGTGCCAAATTAAACGGGCACATGGCTAATTATATCGGGCACACCACCAAATATATCGGGTGCACGGCCAAATACATCGGACATTCGTCCAACTTATCTGTAAGAGCCAATCCAATCCATTTCAAAAGGAGAATTAGCCAATCACATATCGATTCGGGATTCGATTCCACGAACTGGAAATTGGTACCGCCGACGAATCCTACAACAAAAAGTACTACGTAGTAGAAAATACTATTTTTAAAATACAAAAAATCCCGATATATTGTTCCGAGCTTTTGAGTGTTTTGATTGGTTGGTACTTTGCTTCATCTTTCACCGTTATAATTATACCGACAACTACGTGTACTAAACGTTTGTGCGATTAAAACCCACACATAAATCCAGCCACTGTGTCACATATTCAGTGGTACTACGTCGCATGGTCAGGTTCGTACGTGGTCTGGATAAACCCGAGCGCGAGGCCGAGCACGCCCCCCATGAGCACAAGTTTCCACTCATCTTCTTCAAACACGGGATGCAGCAGCCGCTCAAAGTCGTGAAAGCTCAGCTGGCCAATCTTTTCCCGAAGGGTCTTATTCAGGTCCAGCGCGACCATCGTGTACGCTTCAATGTGCCGCAGACTGTCGGGGAACTTCTGCACGACCAGGTCCGTGATGTCATCCTTGATGGACTCGAACGTGTCCTTGCCAATGCCAATCGACACGATGCGGTCGGCCACCGCCGCGCCAGAGTTAACGGCTTGCTGGACGTTCGCGTACACGAGCTCAAACAGTCTGTCGCTAGCTGGGCCCTTGAGGATGGCTTCGATGATGTTGTGCGCGTTCAAAACATCCCGCGATACCATCTCGCCGTACATGGCCGCGACTTGTTGCTGCCGCCGCAGAAACAGCCCATGGAGCTTGATGCATAGAATCTTCTTGGGGTTCACCGGCTCAAAGATCATCTTGAGCGCCAGCCAATTCGTGAGCGTGCCCACGAGCAGCCCAAACACTGGGAACGTCACGTACTTGGTCAGCGACGGCCACACCAGGTACAGCCCCATCTGCAGCAGCCCAAAGATGAAGCCCATGGTCGCGCCCGAGTCGCGAATGAACGCCAGCTCCTGGTACCCGCACGTGACAAACATATTGACGAGCAGCTGCTTGTCCTTCATCATGTGCGTCACGACCATGTCCTCCAAATCGAAGACGTCGTCAATGTGGTGCTTGATCTCGCCCATGAGGGCTTCAATGTGCACGGGCGCGTCCTCCTTGACCTTTTCGACGATCTCGTCCTTGACCGACGTCGGCAATACGCGCCATAAGCTCGGGTTGTACTTGTTGGCCATCGTTTCGACAATGTCTTTGATCGTGCTAAACAGAATCGGCTCCAGCTCCTTGACCACTTGGGCCGGGTCGATGCGACTAAACACTTCGCGCACGTCCAGAAGCTGCGACGTCATGATGCGAACCGACATGCGCGCCATCTTCTCGCCCTTGAACGGCACGATGCCTTGCCACCCGCACACACCCATGTTTGTCCCGGGAAACTGCATGATGCCCACGTATTCCAGCGGGTAGAACGTCATGTACAAAGCAAGCCAAATGTGACCGTACGTGAACACGACACTGATCAGCGGGATCGACGCCACCGTGAGGATGCGCTTCGTGTCCCACTGGGTGCCGACCAACTTGTCCTTGAACACGACAAAGACCAAGATTGCCCCCACGCCCAGCAACAACACGAACACAATCACGATCCAGCTTGGACGCGCGAGCATCGGGGGAAATTCGCAGGGTGGGATGCTAGACGTCGGCTTCTGCTTCTTCTTGTTCTTGCGGGATGTGGTTGTGGAACGTGGAGAGCCCGCTGAGAGGTAGTTCCCTTCGGACCCCAGTGTCGACGAATCACCACGTACGCTACTTTGTGGGGCAGCAGTGGCCACCTGGTGCATGCCGAGAAGCGTGTATCGTAAACTAGACGCGAGCGCTGTGGGTTGCACCCGCACCCATTGCGGCTCAGTGAGGTCCAGCAACTGCCGCCCTGACAACGACTTCAACTGTGTGACGAGTGGTGCATACCTTCCTTCCTCGAACGAAGTCATCCACACAACCACCTGGCTTGGACTCCACAGCGCGGGGTCACTGCCGCTACCTCCATCGGCAGTCATGGCTGTGTTTGTAATTGGAAATAGCGATTCCGTCAGATCTATCCAAATAAGCAACCGATGAAATTCGTTAAGTGCGTAGTCAAGGCGACACGTATACAAATTGCAAGTGATAATATGGCCAACTGCAAGAATTCGAACTTAGACGAGTTGAGAATTCTGAACCCCTTCGTCAGAACCCAATACGCTCTTCAAGTATAGCGGGAAGTAAATTGTTTAAATACATAGGCTTCGTTTAGGTTCGATTTGATTCCAGCGAGACATTCCCCAGTGACATTCCCCATGACGTCAACATTCCGCGACGGTATCGACGACGATGCATGTACGTGGATGCAGGAGAACCGACGAACGAGAGGACAGGGTGTGAATATGGTGCCGAGTAGATGATGGCGATGATGATATCCCGACGGTGTCGACAGGCGTGACCTTTACGTTGATGACGTACAATGTGTTGGCGCAATGCTACGTCCGATCGAGTTTCTTTCCTTACTGCGACCCGAAAGCGCTGAAGTGGAAGCGGCGGTCCGCCATGCTTGTACGTGCGTTAGTAGACCAACGCCCAACCTTTCAACATCATCACCACGTCTTATGTCCATCCGTCCAGATGCAGCAGATTGAAGCGTTCCATCCTCGTCCAGACATTCTGTGCATGCAAGTACGTACATACGGCCATTAATCAACAGCATGTACTCTTGCATCAACGATCTCACATGATCCGTCCCGTGTTCGTAGGAATGCGACCAGTACGATACGTTCTGGCAGCCCCACATGGCCGCCATCGGCTACGCAAGGCACGACCCGTTCGCGTGTATCCATGTTGACATCCCATCATCTCCCGTGATTGACGTCAGCGTGCACTGTAGCTTGTACTTGAAGAAAACTGGGGCCAAGCAGGACGGCGTCGGGTTATTTTGGCGGCCCGACAAGTGCGTCTGTACGTGAATCCAGTTGGCGTGTTCACCACTGGCTTGTTGTCCTCAGGTTCACGGTCCTTGGCGGCGAAAACGTATCGTTCAACGAAGCGTTGCACTGTGTCACAGGTACAAGGCCTTTTCTCCCTCGTTTCAACTGTGTGAGGCCATGCTTCCTTGCACATGACTATATCCCTAGACGAATCCCTACGAGGTCGCGTGATCCGCGACAACGTCGGCCTGCTCGCGCACTTTGAGTGCGTCGACCGCCCCGCCACGCAATTCATCGTCGCGTCGACGCATCTGTTTTGGGATCCCGCGCAAGCCGACGTCAAGCTGGTGCAGACCAAGTTCATGCTCGATGCCATCGACGCCTTCGTGGCTGAGCTACCGCGACGGCGTCTTCCCGTGTTCTTTGCCGGGGACTTCAACTCCCTCCCCGATAGTGACGTCGTCCATCACGTGACTAGCCGAGGCCTTGCCAGCGCGTACAGCACGTACGACCCCGTGTCGGGGGAACCTCGGTTTACGAACGTCAACGGCGTCGTCACCGCCGAGTCGACTGGTCCTGCATTTGTCGGGACGTTGGACTACATCTTCTACGACAAGGCGCATGTCAAAGTGCACAAGTTGATGCCATTGATGGAGTACGATGAGGCTGTAGCCGACGGCGGGGCGCTGCCCAACCGGACGGTCGGATCTGACCACCTCCCACTCATGGCGACGTTTGTGTTCAAGTAACAAACCTCATCTTGCTACTATCTCGACGCCTTTGGTATACTGGCCGACCACTGTACTACTTACTACTGTACGTCGCGAGTATCGAGCATTGCACTACATGTATAGATAGATATATATATATATCCAAGGCAAAGAAAGCACCGTGGGAACTGCCAATATAGATAGCCCAATACATGTATATTCAAAACCATGTCAACCACGGCGACGACGACGACGGCTGCGGAAACTCGTCTACAAGCAAATCGTAACACTGCATCAACCCATGTCCATCCAACATGCAAACAACACGAAACGACTATAGAAATTCGATGGTCGAATCGACGCACCATCTCTTCGTCGTCGGCGTCATCGTTATTCGCTGGTGGGTTGTCGGTCTTCGTTTGGTTCTAATCAACACAAAACACAAAATGCATCAATATGTCGTTCAGCTCAAGGAATTGCTGGCATGCACATGTCGATTGAATAAAAGTACGTACCTCGTCCTCGCCTTCCGAAGCCACAAGTTCTGCCTCCTTGGATCCTCCTCTCGTTGACCTACACATGCGATCACTGTGACTTGAACATCACATTGCCAGCCTTGATCATGGTTTATATGCGCTCGTGGGTTACCTTCGTGGGGATGGAGGAGTGGCCACATGCTTTGGTTGTTTTCCCTTTGAGACGCTCGTTGTGGATGTAGCCGCATCAGTCGCAGAAGTAGTTGCCTTGGTAGGAGCGACCCGGCGTTTCTTTGGCATTGTCGGCGCATCGTCTCCTCTGTTTACGGAGTCAGGTGGTGATGGCGTAGTACTGACATGGGTCCTATATACAGCAAAAGTTGACGTAACACCGTGACGGTGGGTAGTACCTGGCGGCCGGCGCCCGTGTGGGTCGTACGGAGGGATGATGCGAAGCAACCACCACCACCGGGGACGGACGATTCCTACAACATGACGATCTCTTTCCTTCAGGAGCCATGGAAATGCCAGACAGACAAAATGGGCCGTACGGGTCGTTTGTAGTCTTTTTGTCCGCGGTGGTTGATTTGACTGCCTTGTTGGAGTCAACTTGCACTTCGTCATCGGATTTTGTCTCTTCGTCGTCATCATTATCGTCCGATTTGGTTTCGTCGTCGGATTTTGTCTCGTTGTCGTCATCGTTTGTCTCGTCGTCTGATTTAGTTTCATCTTCGACTGCTACTCGTGGCGTTGGAGCAGTCTACGTTCAATCACATGTTAATAACTATTTATTCCCAATGCTATGGCACCACCATTTTGAAAACAAAGCCTTCATCCAGTCTATACACGAAAACAATGTATTGGTATCGCACCGGTCTAGAAGTAGCACGCGCCGGGCGTGCATTCTCTTCGTCGTCGACGTCGCTGTCCTGGTCCGCCAAGCTCACGTCTGCGCTCTTGGCATGTCTGGCGGGCATTCTACACATCCACGACGTCAAGATACACTTGAAGTGGATATAAAACGTTACCGGCGAGTGGGGGTGACAACTGGAGACTTGGTCGAGACCACTTTGGCTTTCTTGGATGGTTTGTCTGTCTTGACTGCAATCGGTCGCTTCTTTTGGACTCGCTCGACTACATCCGCGTCGCCGTCGTCTTCCAAAGCGGTAGCTTTCGACGCGGCGCCACTTCCCGTCGTCGTCCCCGGTGCCTTGCCAGGTTGGAACAGGTGCTTGGGCAAATATATTTGACCAGGGTAGGCTTTGAGGTTGATTTGGTTCTTGATCCGTTTCTTCAGCCAGGTTGTGCCCGCGTCAAGGATCGCGCTCAAGTCTTTCGGGTAGTTGTTGGTTGATGATGTCGTGGAGTCGTGACACAAGGACAGTTTGTGCAGCATTTGCAACAAGAACGAAATGTTGTCGGCCTCAGAGACGACGTGGGAGACGAGGGATTCGAGCAAAAAGTACAGCGACTCGACGTCTTCGCTGCCTTCCCACGGCGAGTGCAGCACCAGATGCACCGCGTACGGCACCACATACTCTGGCACCATGAGCGAGCTGGCCGGGTTATTCTCTGCCACCGACGCCGAGGACCGCGCGGTTTCGTACATGTGCCGCATGCGCTGGACGGCGGACTGCAGCAGCGTCCGCGCTTCCTTCTTCAGCTCGGCCACAGGTTCCGACGACGCCAACGCCACATAGCACACGTATTTGTGGTTCAGTGACGGATGGCGGAGCAAGTTGGACGTCAGCTTTTTCAAAAACGCCCTGCGCACCCCCTCGTCCGAGTCGGTTAGGACGTACCCTAGCGTGTGCCACTCGTCGATGCGAAGCTGGCGCTCCAGACGCGGGACGCGTGTCAGTTTCAACAGATTCGACGCGGCCACCGCTCGCAACGGCGCCGACGTTTTGCTGGTCGAGGCTTGGAGCAGGTCAAAGCTCAGGTCGTACACCCGTCGACACGCAGTGTCGCGAGGTGCTTGGTCGTTCAGTTCGTGGCCATCTGGCACGTGTTGGTACAGTACCAGATGGGACAGCAGCGTCAACGCGAGGCATTTCGTCTCTCGCTTTTTGGACGTGTTCACCACGTCGACAAGTTGGTCAAACAACGCCGTGGCGTCCGCTATGACGTTTGGAACGTGTTTCGTAACTACGACCAGCGTTTGCAACGTCGCGTCCGACAGCCCAGACGATGTTGGCTTGCGCAGTTTTTTTACCAACCCCGGGACTTCGCCAGGAAAGAGCGAGACGAGAATGCGCGCGCTCTTTTTCACCACATCCAGCGGTTGATTGGTACAATGCGCCAAGAGCGGCTTCTTCAGGGCCACAGGTGGGGCGCCGTCGCGATCAAACTTAGCATAACACACGAGCAACTCCAATACGCAGGGCAAGACAACGTGCGGCGACGAGCATTGGGCGAGAAGTTGCTCCAATGTTCCCACGTGGGAGTGCAATAAATGCGGAAAGATCGACCCGACCAAATGCAGGACTTCGACACACTCATGGGTGGGTTCGTCCTTTAAAATGGACAGTAGACAGTCCACGCTGGACGCGTTCACGGTCGTCATGGCCAGTTTGCGGCACACGTTCTTGATAAAGTCGCCCAGGGGGGTCTTGGAGCCGACCATCTTGACGATGTCTTCCCTGGCTTGGCGGATGGCCGCGGCATCGGACGTTGCAGCGCACAGCACGCCCAAGTGCTTGACAAGTTTCAAGTCTTTCCACGTCGCGAGTTTGTCCACGAGTCCGGTCAATCCTTCTGTTTCAGGCAGCAGCGGTGACAGCTCTTTCAAGCATTTCTGAAGCGAGGACCCGTTGTTGGCAGCATTTCCTTGGCGTAGTTGCTGCTTGAGAGTCAGGAATTGCTGGATGATTTGACGGCATTGCACTCGTTCTAGAAACACGCGACGCAACGCTTCGCGGCTGCCAGCGTCCAACGTCTTCCACATGAACAGCAAGCCCTTCATTCGAAACAACTCTGTCGATGACTTGGGCAACAAAATGTCGTCCACGAGTTGCACGACGCGAAGGCGGAGTTCTTGGATGGGATATGCAAAGCACTTGAGCACGTATTCCGGGATCCAAGCAAGTTGCTGCGCCACGGCCGTCGCGTCCTTGTTGCCGTTTGTCCACGACGTGGACACATGGGCGGCGTAAATCTGCGCGAGACCGGTCATGGCTTCCTTCCGAATCATGACCTTTTTGTCCTTCATGCGCTCGCCCACTTCGCGCAGACTAGCGTTGGACACACTCGCCAGGGAATGCGTGGCCAAGTCGCAGAGCTCGTTGACCACCAGGCGCCGCACGTCCCATTCCGGGTCCTGGAGGCGCAATTGCAGCTCCGCGTCAACCAGGAGTGCCAGATCCGGCTTGCGCTGGGCCACGATCGAGCAGACGGTGACCATTTGGAGGCGAATCTCTTTCTTCACGTCGCGAAAGCGACCGAGGAACTCGCGGAAGTTCTTGAGGTATTGATGACCGTAGTCGGCATGGGACGACGCAAAGAGCCGCCCCATGAGCGCAATCGCGTTCGACCGCGTCTCCATGTCGTCCACTTGGAGCTGCAGGCACACGTTCGGGAGCACGTACAGAAGCAGACCAGGCTGGATCTTGTGTGTCTCGTAGATGAGCGTGTGCACGTGGTCCTTCATGTCGGACGTCGTGCTGAGCGAATGCGGGGTCGTGGCATCCACGAGTACACTGTTGAAGAACAAACTGAGGGCATTTTGAAGCTGATCGCTCGCTTTTTCAATCACTTGTTGCGCCATGTGGTATGCTCGAGGATGCTGGTCGTTGTGCAGGAGCGGCTCCAAGAGTGTTTCCAACAGTTGGGGACTCACGACATCGCATTCCTCGAGGCATCCTACCATGATGCTCACCATGTTTGCTTCGACCTTGGCGGCATGGTCGTCTTGGATGCGCTCAAATAGACACCGAAAGATGTCGACGACGAGATCCTCGGGGGACGTGTCGCTTTGGGCATGACTCGAGTCGGGAGTGAGTCCCACCGCGAGATTGCACATTTTCACAGACGCCAATGTCTCCAACAGAGTAAACCACGCAATGTCGGTGTGCTTCGTCGTTTCACGCAAGACGCGAACCAGCAATACGAATACTTCGTACAGTTCGTGGTCCGATCCAAAGGGGGTCTCGGGGGCAGTCACACGGAGGAGCTCGGCGATGCAGGACGCCACCAGTAATCGAACATGCGGGTCCGAGTGCTCGAGGTACGATTCGGACGTGAACTCGCGCCCTAATGCCGTCGAGTCATTCTTGTCCAGCTCGCCGTTCGCCGTTCCACGAAGTCGCTGCAGCTCCGTCTTCAAGCGACGAGCCACGTTCACAGGTACATGCTTGTCGGGTTCGGTCGTCGCTTGCGGCGCTACCTTCGCCTTCCCCTTCTCGCCGCCGTCCTTTCCATGCTTCGGTTTGGCGCGCGCCATCGCCCTCTTTTATAAGTTTGGCGCTTTGGATAAACCGGTTAAAACGACTTGTATTATCCGGATAGCTGTTCTTTTTACAAAACCCTTGTTCAACATTACGGGGCCTTGACATTGTCATGGACGACAGTCAAGAAGCCTGCGTGGGTAAGGAAGTGCAAGACGACCTGCAGTTCGCGCATCTCGCTCTTCTTCTTTGGGGATTCTTCGAGCTCCTTGGACAAGGCCAGCAACGTCTGCAGCGAAAACTGCGTCGCTTGCGTTTGCGCTTCGAGGATGACATCAATCAACGACGCTTGCAGAGTGCTACATTGGAACTCGAGGCGAAGGGACGACATGTAGCTGGAGTGACCAAACCCCACGTTTAGAATGTACACGAGGTCGTCAGGAGAGAACCCCGTGTTGTGGTGGATGGACGGAATGTCGGCATGATGCATGAGGTTTGCCAACGGGTTCAACGTGACAAGGGTCGTGGGTTCGAAGTCAATGGCGCTGTCTTGGAGAAGGAAGGGGTCGTCAAGTTGCAGCACATGCGACGGGACCTTCTCTTCTTCGTCACTTTCATCTTCGTCGCCTGCATTACCCCCACCACGTCCACGGAGCAACAGCCGCTCTGGCAAAATATCCGCCGCCGACAGCTTTCCAATCTGAGCCTTCAGATCTACGAGCAGATCCGCCATGTACGCGCGAGCGTCTGCGGGCGTCTGGTAGCTCACGCCTCGTCGCCACTTGTCCGACTGCAGCAGCACCTGACGCAGCGCGTCCACGACCACATCCGCATGCGGCGTCGGGAACATGCTCAAGTTCATGCTGATCGAGTCTTCCGTGCACTCGACACGATGCCACATGCCCGCGGGAAAGTACAGCACTGAACCAGGCGATAACGTCACTTCGGACACGTTATCAAACGTTGGGTGGTACTGAAACGACGGGTCCGCAAGCCGATGCACCTTGAGCTGCTGTTCCACGACCTCTTGGGTCTTGTAGTGCGGTGTGCAGCCTCGCACAGGGTACGCCACGTTACCCGGCTGCAACTTCCACGTTTTCGTGCCGGCGACTTGTACCGTGAAGTTTTCCATAAAGTCAAAGTGCCTACGCATACATACGATCAGACTTGCTGACACACATATGGGGAGGCGAATCAGATGATCTGATTCGAGTGAGTGTACGAACCAGTCTGTCACATGGCCTTGCTTGGCGCAAAACAGTTCAATCTCCCCTTGCGTTTCGCCATGAACGGACGTGGCCGTGAACCCCATGCCGAGGTCCTTTGCCAGCGCGGGAATCAGCGTCGCGCTCAGTTCCGGTGACGACCGAAAGTACAACGAGTGGCCCGCCGCATGCAGAATCGCCGCCGCTTCCGCGGACTCGACTTTGACCGACTCGATCTTGGGGCTGTCTCCATTGTCATCTCCATTGTCACCATTGTCATCTCCGTTGTCTCCATTGTCATCTCCATTGTCACCATTGCCGTCTCCATTGGCGTCTCCATTGTCACCATTGTCGTCACCATTGTCGTCACCATTGTCATCATGGGTGGCTGGTCGTACTTGAACCCAAGCTTGCAACTCTTCGGACGACGTCGCCGCGAGCAGTTTCTTCACGTCCAAGCCGTCCAATCCTTCCTGAACGAGCTGGTCGAATCGACTGGCGGGAGCATGCACCGCCAGGGCCTTCTTCTGGTAGTAATCGTCCATAAACGTGGTAGGGGCGATGGGATGCACCAGCGTGGCCAACAGATCCGCCTCGTCTAGCGCTGGACACTCGGTTGAGATCGTGTAGATGGCCACTGTTTCAGTAGTCGCTTGACTTGAAATCACAGTGTGCTTCACAGTGTGCTTCTTTGTCGTGGTGGACGTGGTTGTCTTGCGTTTCTTGGCTACACATATCAAATAATAATGGATAGTGGGATCGTTTTTAAAAGGGCGACAGAAGCCATCGAAGGATGGCATATGGCGGCGTACTGGTAGGAATGGTTGACGTTGAGGCAGGAGGTTTGGACGAAGTCGACGAGTCGTCGTCGTCCACCGTCGACGACGACAACGACGGAGATGGAACAGACTGTCGCTTGGCTGGTTTCTTGGAAGGTGGACGCCCGGAGACAGGATGCCGCTTTTCCAAGAGGGACAGGTCCTTGTGGCGCGATCGTAAATGCGTAGCGCCATTGGACGACTGATTGCCAAACATCGCGATGAGGCTGTCCTCCCATGCAGTCGCGCCGTCGTCCACGCAAACTGTGCACACGTACTCGCACATTTTCTTGCGGCGATTCACTTGGGGTACGTCCAGCTTGTGCATGTACTTCCACACAGGTGACGGTCGCGCGGTGCGGACTTTGGTGCGGGGCACCTCGCCCGAGAACGTCGTGGTCAGAAAGTCCGAGTAGCTGTCAACGCTCGCGAAAGATTTGCCGTTCAATGCCGTCAATGTCGACGTGTAGGAGTGCCCATCCACAACAAACGGGAACTCGGACGAGGTTCGAGATGTTGGGGCCGAATCAGCCATGGTGAATGTGCAGTTGGTTGCCTGTCGTGGCCAGCAGTATGGTGATCCGGATATTATCCGGAATTCTAACTGACTAATGGTTAATATCACACGGCAAAATGTCCACTGCAAAAACATCTGGGGTTTCGGGGTTTGGAGTAATAACCTTTTACGTCAATAATCTACAGCTGTAACGAAGCGTCCGACCTGAACGTTATCGTCATTGTTCATGCTTACTACTACGCTTACCAATATGTGGATATTCGATGGAGGTGGGGTAACATCGAATGCTAGGCGTTAGGTTCTGTTGTGTTTGATTGGAATCGTGTCTTCCCAGTTCAGCCGCATCGAAAACGCAGGCACGGGCTGTCCAAGCCGACTTCTGTACACGGCAATGTCCATGGCAGGATACAGCCCTGCATCCCCTGCGTTGTCGACGATCGTGATGTGGCCGAAATGCAGACCCGTCCAGCTTTGAAAGAGCGTTTTATGGGTCGATGCCTCCGCCGCCTTTGATGGGATCACTGGAAACGCCGAGATCGGCGACGCTCCGACCTACAGTACGTACAATTTCCAGCTAGTACTACTACCTACATGCTGGACACATCCAAGCACTTTACGTTCGTACTTCGAAGAGAAAATCGTACGGTGAATGCTGCCACACGCCTGCAAAATGCAAGTCGCCCGACAGCAGCACCACCCCCGACACGTTGTGTTCATTGACAAAGTCAAACACTTGGCGGTACTCTGTGCCATACAAAGCCCACCCTTCGTCCGTGGCTTGCATGCCCATATCAGTCACAACCATCGACGACACAACCACCTTGAACGGTTCAGTGGACGTTACGAGCCACTGCAGCAGGTGCTGCTTCTGCGTAGGACCCAATTTGGTCTTGTGCGGGCCATCTGGCCAATCTTTCGGCGACGCATGCTTGCGCTACGGTTCCAACATCATTAGAGAGCATGTGCTTGTCTAGGAGGATGGCTAGTAGTACTAGTATGAAGAAGCAAGGTACATCTTTCATAACGTTACTACCACATCGAGCATGAAAAACGTAGCCACGCCCGTAGTCCACGTGTAATAGTGCTCGCCAGGTACGATAGGGTCGGGGTTGCGATCGCCAAAGAATCGGTCGTAGTACCGAATGCGATCGAGGTACAATCGGTCGTCATATTGCCCTTCGTTCCACTACCACAAGCACCACCATTCATTTGTTCGTCACTGTACCGTATAGTAAGTAGGTACACGAGACACCCGAATGTGCGTCATTCAAAAGTCCACCACGATGAAGCCAAGTATGTACTGTAGGTAGGTAGGTACATTGTTGCGAATCTCGTGGTCGTCGTAGATGCTAAAGATGGGTGTGGTGCGTCCCATGGTATCGTATGCGTGGTCGTGCACGGTGGCCCTGTACAAGTGCTCGGTATCATCTTGCGCCAAGAAGTCGATGTCGGCATACACTTGATCGCCCAAAAGAAGCATAAAGTCGGGCTGCAGCGAGGTCGCAATGTAGTCGAGATTGCCACTAAAGCCTAGGAATGCGGCTCGATTTTCAAGGACACGATTACAAGTATAAACGACAGACAGACCTGTAAAGGGGTACAGCAACGGCACCGCCATGGTACACGAACCGAATGCAAATCGAACGGTGGACATGGTCGCTGCAAGTGTCTTCAACGACAAAGTCTTCGCGGGTATCGTGTGGTTGGTGGCGTTGTCCACAAGTACAATAGCGACGACGTATCGCGTGCCCGGCGAGAGATCACGCAACGCGATGGTCAGTGTCGCATCGTCCTTGCGGAAGTCAGCCACCACTTCACTCGTGACGTTGAGCTCGGACGTGTACGACACCCTTGCTTCGGTTGCCGAGGTCGAGAACAACCACACCTTCGCTGTCGTCGACGTCACTGAACCGAGGTGTGCCAAGTCGCTGGACTGATCTGCATGATGAACCATGCATGCCGCTTAAGCCATGATGTGTAGATGGGGTATATACCAGAGGTGGAAGTTTGGTAGTAGACCACCATGGCCCAAGCGACCGCCGCGCAGGCAACGATGACATTCATACTGCGCTAATAACTGGGTAAATATATTGTCGCATGTCTTCTGGGATATATTGACGCTGTACACTGTACGGTACAGGAACCCTTGAGTACCCTGTACAGTAAGTATGTTTCGACAAACAAGCTTGCCGGTCAGTTTTGGGTAACACTTCGTTTGCGTAAGATGGCAGGCATGACCCTCCAAGAGAAGCTGGTGGCCTTCCGTGTATGGGAGCTTATCACGAGTATCGTGGTCATTGGCGGCGTCTTTGCCATCACTTCGTCGACGCTCTACCTCCGTCCGTCGTGATCCTGTCATCGTATTTATTCACTGACGCCATGTGACGTCGTAGGACCCATTCCTCACGTCGCAATTCAACTGAACGCCACCAACACCATCTATGCACGAGATCCGAGCCTCGACCTAACAGAAGGCGTCGAACAAGGTACTACATCCCTCACACACGACAAGATCGTCATCACATCATACACGCATAGTTCCGTTGTCGGTGGCCATAGCCATCTACTACGCGACACCGCTCCTCGTCCACGCGGCGTTCCAGTGGCACCGCTTCGTGATGAACGACACCCGCGACTTTATGCTGACGCTGGCCATGTCCACGGCCGTATGCCAGCTGCTGACTCACTTTGGCAAAGTGACGGCGGGTCGATTCCGCCCCAGCTTCTACGACATGTGTGACTGGGACACGTCCATCGTGTGGGACGGCGTGGCAAATCTGTGCCGCAATCCAAAGGGCGAAGCGGAAGGCCGCAAGTCCTTTCCATCCGGCCACGCCTCCGGCGCGTTCTCCACGCTCTTCCTCCTCACGGTACCAACAGTCCTTCAAATCCAATGCCCAGCACTCACATATGCCATTGTTTAGCTGTACCTCTTGGGTCGAAGCAAACTTCTGGCGGGGTCGGCTCTTGCTACGCAGCGAGGATTTTTGGCCAGCGTCAACTTCTTCCTCGCGCTCGTGCCAACGGTAGTTGCCATGTGGATCTCCATCACCCGATCCCAAGACAACTGGCATCACTACTCGGACATCCTGGTATACCTCTTGGGTTGTTATGTCTCTCTCACATGTGTGACTCGTCGTCAGGCGGGAAGTGTGATCGGCATCTTGGCATCCATCCTTGCCTACTGTTTCAACTACGGCTCGTTGTTTGACTACAAGAGCGCGGGGATGCCATTGGAGACGCTGCGGGATTTGAAAGAGGTGGACGTGCCAGCATTCAACGACTTGCAAGACTCTGGGTTGCCCTGAGTTTGTGTAGTTATGCCATGCTGGAAATAGTAATAATGGATACTTCTAGTATTTTACTATTTTCAGAATGAAATGATACAAACTGTTCATAAATATAATACATTTGGTTTAAATACACCTCAACAGTTCGCGATTCGTGTTCGTCCCGTGCATGCAGGAAAGCCATCGTTGGCGGCGCGAGGAGCGGTGGGCGACGGCCATTGCATACTCATCCACGAGCGCTGTCGACGCAGAACAGTACGCAAACATGGCACACAGCACACATGCGAAAGGACTGGTGAGCTTACGTAGGCATGTGGTGTCCCATTAGGCTACGTGCTGAGCTTGCCGACCTCAACGCCCGGCTGCGCGTGGAGGTCGAAGCCAAGCGAGAGTTGCAGCGGCTCCGTGCGCGCGATAAAGAGCGCTTTGCAGACGAGTTCGGTCAGTTTGAAGCCCGCTTGCTTCGCGCCAACGAGACACTCGAGAAGAACCGCCAGGTCGTGGAAGCGTCGTTGGTCGAGAAGGACAACTTCATCGAGGAATTGCAGATACAGCTCGACAAGAAGCAGCATGCAATCGATTGCTTGAAGCAAGATCCCCGCCTTCTTCATTCCAGTCGGCGTCGTCGTCAAGCTCAACCTCCCATCTTCTTCGATCATGTTCGTTCGTGCCCCAACCTTCGATCGATGGAGACCTCACCTGCTGTCGCTGCATCAGATGAATGGCGGTGACAGTATGACTGGCGGTAGTGACAACGGTGTTGAAGACTCTAAAGTCCATGAACTGGAGCTACAGGTAGGTCCTGCACGAGATCCACATCGTTGTTGTCGTGACGACTTGCCCGCAGATGTCCAAGCTGTTTGTACAGCTGCAAGAAGCGCACACGAAGAACGATGCACAAGAAGACTTGATAGAAGGAATGAAGGCTGCGAATGCGAAGCTGGTGGCGTCACTCAAGAAAATGAAGCACAAGCTCAAGGAAGCGACAGACAGTGGGGTGAATCACATGTTTCACGACATGACGCGAAAGTGCATGCGAGCGGAGGCTGAGAAGGCGGCCGTCGAAGCGACGCTGGCGGCCGCGCAGAGCGAGGTCCGTCATGGACAATCGATGGACATTGTGGCTTGACATGTGTGTTTGTTTGTGCAGATAGCCACAAGCAAAGCAAATGCGGAAGCCTTGAGCGCACAGCTAAAGGCGGCAAATGAACAGATCACGGTACTTCAAGGTCAGTGGCTGAATTTTCCATAAGGAAGGATGAGGAATTGGACTCATGGATGTGAAGATGATGTCAAGGCAAGGGGCGCCGCGCAACTTGCTATGGAGAACCAACTGCTCAAACAACAGCACTACATCAAAGACCTCGAAGTGGACTTTAAGGTACCGTGCATGACGACGGCTGCGGCGCTTCATCTCATTCTCATGACAATCATCGTCACGTAGACGATGGGACGAGTGGACGTGGACAATCCAGAGGTTAGTTGGCCGCAAACACTTTCGAATTGTGATGGAGGAGGTTCCCGGGTAGATGGAGCATGCTCAACGCACGTTGGCCGCCAAGACGGAACAGCTCATGGAGCTTGAAAGGAAGTGCAAAATATACGAACGAGAGATTGCAGGACTTCGCCAGAAAAAAATTCAAAGCGGGGGACCAACAGACGAAGCATCGCCGCAGCGGCGGCCGTTGTCCCTCATCGATCTGGATCACATCCACACACAGGTCATCAACCCACCCTCGTTCCCTCAAATCACCATCGTTGTTGTCTCACGTCTTCGATGTAGACGCTGAAAATTGAGAGCAAGGCTGACACCGTGTCTCGTATGGTGACCATGTACGCATCGGGCGACCCGCCGCCGCCTGTCGAACAACTGCAAGCTCTGCTGCTCGACCTGGAGGACGAGGAAGGCGTCGTGTCATGCGATTCCCTTGCGTCTGACCAAGAAGGGAAGCAGCGCATCCTCATGTCCTTGATGCAGTCGCAAGCGATCCTCGACGGCGTCGCCCATCATCTCGCGCAAGGTTGCGCGCGCTTTCTTGGCTCGAATTGTGCGTTGCAGTGAGGGTTGGACAATTCCACACAGAGATAATTTAATACAAAATTTAAATTTATCTGAATCTTTGTAAACGATTTTAAAATTTCCACTGTATACGTTGGCTGTCGTCAACTTCAATATTGCTCACAAGATGGAGTTGTGGGGGACGTTCCGTCGCGGCAACAAGGCCGCCGCGTCCGACTCCGACAGCTACGTGAAGAAATTCTTCGAGAGCACACCTGTGGAAGATGCATGGAAGCTCGATGCACAGACGGAAGCATTAAATCAGTTTGTCAACGACAGCATTGCTGCCGGCCGCCGCGTCGCCCTCGTGACATCGGGGTCAGCGACGGTTCCCCTCAACAGCGACAGCGTGATGGACGCCGTGTCCTTTGGGGATCGCGGGGCAGCCACCGCGGAACAGTTCTTGCGTGCGGGGTATGCCGTCATCTTCCTGTCTCGGCAAGGATCGCTCGCGCCTTTCTCACGCCACTTTCAAGCGTACATTCGAGACAACTCGTTCATGTCGATGCTCCACGTCCAGCCGGACAAGTCCCTTTTCGTGAAGAGTCGGGACACAGCCCAACGCGACCACATCGCATCCGTGCTCCAAGCGGCCAAGGAGACCAGGGAGAACGTGTTCCATCTCTGCTTCAACACGGTGCAGCAATACTTGTTCTACTTGCAGGCTGCCACGAAAGCTGTGGACGCCGCGGGCACGCGCGGGATGATCGTCTTGGCCGCGTCCGTGCTCGAGTATTACGTACCATCGTCGTCGTCGTCGACGGGGGTGCCTTCGTCCTCGACACCCGCTGACACTGCTGCCAAGGACAAAGAATCGTCATCGTCGCTGTCGTTGAATTTGATCCGGGTGCCCAACCTTATCCGCAAGATCCGTCAAGAGTACGCGCCCAAATCGTTCCTTGTGACTCTGAAATCTGCGGCGAACAAGAACCAGATCTACAACGTCGCGTTCGAGGAGCTTGAAAAGTGGGGTGTCGACGCTGTCTTGGCCGACTCGCCAGCGCTCCCGGGGGAGATGGCGCTCGTGTCCGAGTCCGAAAGCACCCGCGTGAGCCTCAAGGCGGACACGACCACCCACATGGAGCTCGACACGCTGTGCGCGGCATCCCTTGTCGAGATGCACGGCGTGTTCACCGCGCGCCGGACGTTCCTCGCCCAAGGTCGACAGCTCCTGCTTCTCACGGCCAAGTTTTCCATGATGAAAGCCAACGACGCCGTCAACGAAGACGCCGACGGCCACAAGAACGTTCCATTTGCGACCGGTGTCCGCATCCGCGTCGACCGCGGCCAAGCGCACAACTCGCCGGTGTACGAACTGAGCGCCGTGTTTCAAAACCAATCGCATTGCGCCCGCGCCCATCTATGGACGCGCGTCGTCGCTCCTGACGCTGTCGCAGAGGACTCAGCGTCCACTCTGTTGACGGAGAATCAGATTGTGCTCGCGTTCAGTCCCGCGGGCACCGCCGACACGATCAAGTCGATGTGGGGCGACTTTTGGGGCGGGTTTGCCGACAAGGAGTTTGCAGACGTCAAGGAGCAGTGGGGCCACGTGACTATGGGTAGCGCCATCTACGGCCTCGCGAGCGGCGTCACGGCCACGCTGGGCGGCGACTTCTCGTCCGTGCATGGCATGATCAAGTACCTCGGGTCGAAACTCGGCGCGGCATGGACGGACGGCGAGCAGACGCGTATCCGGCAGGCGCTGCAAAACATGCTCAGTGTCAACTTCAATCGCGGGTTGACTGAAATGTCAGGGCTGCATCCTCTCGACGCGATCGATACAATGCCAGGAACGAACGGTCCAGAGCAACGCGTGTCCTCCACCCGACGACTGCAACACAGAGCCTCCATGACCGTCTTGGTAAGCTTATGGCTTTCAAAGTTGAAGTTAAATGGAGCATTGGTAGTATTATTATTATTGTGTGGGTAGATTGCGTTAATATTTTTTTTGTCTACAAACATGACGACTTGACAGGACAACTGATGTTGTGAATTCGCGATAAATTTCCAAAATTCGCGTGGTTTGTCTACTTCAAAATTGAATCATGCTGCAGTTCTGATTGGTTGAATACACCTGTCCTTTCGAGCCAATCAAATCCACTTAAAATTGGATTACCCAATAGCGTCGATGATTCGTGATTATTCGATTCAACGGGGTCGTCTGGAAATTCGTATCAAATATGTACCACAATGTACTGGGGCGGTGAATTCGTCGTCGCTTGGATTGGTCTAACGTGAGTACATATATGGGATGATGGGAATGTGTATCGACAGACTGTATTCTTGTACCCTTCGGATAATATATTGACCATCTTCTCCACTTGTAGGACCCGACAGTGTTGGCACAGGCATCGATCACGTCGTCGCAGCCGTCGTCTGGATTGTTTTCCCCTTCCCCCGACGCCGCCACTATCGACAGCACCACCGTCAAAGTGCACAAAGCCATCTTGTCGTATTTTCAAGACATGGTCGCGGATGGGTTGATTGAGGCGGTGCTGCCCCACATCGTCCGTGGCAGCCGCGTCCACGTGACTGGCTACAGCATGGGCGGGATGCTCGGGCAGCTGTTCCTGCTGCAGCTGGGCGACGCGTTGGCCCATCGGTACCCGCAGTCCCAGCACCACCTTCGCCTCGTCAACGGTGTGTTCTTTGGCACTCCGCGCGTGGGCGACGCTGGCTTTGCCGCGCGACTGCGGCGCCTCTACGACACGAGCCAAGTGATCAACATCATGCATCCACTTGACACAGTGCACGCGTACCCCCCGACCACGGAAGGGTACGCGGACGCGATGCTCAAGATCTTCCTCAAAGAGGACGGACTCGGCGTCGGCCGGCGGTCCGCCCATGCCTTCTCAATCCTCCCCATCACGCGGTCCCTCGACCGGATGCTCGGCCAGGCGCGCCCCTTGTCCGCTGTTTCAACCCCCCCACCTCCTCTCGATGCGACTTCGACTCCTTCCGCGTAAGAAGGACGATGATATGGCATATTATGCTGCTTGAATTGGCATTGACGTCTGGAACAGGTGCGCGTTGTGCGGTCGAGCGGAGCACTGCACAGAGCAGCACCGGTGTCACGTCTGCACCCGACGAGGGGACCACGTCGCCAAGTCGTGTCCGTACCGATCGGAAGGCTGTTTGTTGTGCGGCGCCTCGGCGCATGCGACAGGGGAGCATCGATGCAGCGTCTGCGCCCAAGTGGGTCATCGGGGGCGCGACTGCCACCAACAAGGCAACGCCGGCGTCGCAGAAATGCTCACGTACTTTCAGTTCCACGACTTTTTGTACTACAACCAAAACCTCAAACGGCACGTCGAGTTTTCCACAACTGCCACGTCATCCTGAAGCATCGAGAGATGACGTCGACTTGTCAGGGTCACTTGGGGCGGTACAAAACACGATCCAATGAACCCTAGACCATCTATCTACGTACCTTGATGCATCTTGACCTGCCACCAACCCTCAGCTTAAGCTTATATAGGGTCACAATGCATGAATTCGGACTACCTTCCAAGTATGATATCATACTAGTAGTACTGTACCCAACATCATCGGTACAGGTATATCGACTTCGTAACAACACTGTACTCATCAACAACGTGGCAAATATATATTAAAAGTACCCTGAATTAGTGGATCGTGGCGTAGATATGGTCTTGGTCTTTGATCCAGTCGCCGAGCTTGTGGTGCCCTTGGGGCGGCGAGAAGTCGAACGCGTACACGATGGCCGTGTCGAGCGGGCGGTCCGGCGCCATCGTCGTCAGCACATGACGCTGCAGGTCGTGAAACGTTTGGCCGTACTTCATCGCAACTTGCTACCAACAGATCAATCGATCGATCATATGATCCAATAGCAGCAAGGGGTCGTGCGTACCATCGGCCCCGCTTGGGCTTTTCGGCTGGTTATGACCACATGCAGGGTAAACACGAGTGTCGACCGCTCCAACTCTGCCAGGGCGGCCGCCACGGCTTCGTCACTGGGCGGCACATCCTCCAAAGACGAAGTGGTGGACGCCCCAGTGCTCAACCGGCGGTGGTTCTTGGACTGCTTCATCCATTGGGTAGACGGCGCCACGTCTCGTGATGACGATGGGTGCGTCGTCACGGGGGTGTGCAGTGACGCTTCTTCGTCATCATCTCGGGCTTGGGTCTCGGGCTCTTGGTCAAACATCGGAGGCAGCGAGTCGTCCGCCGCCTGGGTCTGCGGCCCAAAGCCTTCGCTGTCCAGCATATGCGCCATCGTTCCGTCGTGGGAAGAAGAAGACGAGTCGCTGCTGCTTTCCGAGATCTTTTGTCGCTTGGACGGCCGGGTTTCTTCGTCGTGCATCTGCGACGCGGTTTCATCCACAATGTCTTGACGGTCGTCCTCCGTCTGTGGGTTGTGGATCTCTTGGGATTCAGATGATGGTGGGGCAGTTTCTTCTTTCGACTCGTCCTCGCAGCCATCCACCGCCGGCATCTCCGTCTCGTCCTCTGCCCATTCCGGCACGTCCACGCCGCCATCACCACCTTGTCGGGCGTTCGCCGTTTCAGCTGCCGCCACGTCCACCGCGGGACGACCATCATTCTCTTGCACGGTCTTGGCGCGCGTTTGTTTTTCCAAGTTGCGCACTTTTTCCTACACATGATTTAGCAACCTGGTCATTGTATAGCTGTAGCTTCTAGCATTTCGTAGCTGTAGCTCGTAGCCATTTCATGGTTTGTAGCTTGTAGCCATTTCATAGCTTGTAGCTCGTACAGACAGGTTGTAGCTGCTTACCTTCAAATGACGCGCATCTCGGTCGACAAAGTACCCGAGCTTGTGGCCTTCGTCTAACATGAGCACAAACCGGTTGCCATACTTGTGCCGCATCTTGATGAGGAACGCCGTGTCTTCTGCGCCCCATGGGGTGGTGGGGCGGCGGTGTGCTGCGGCCACCTGCACCGCCTCGTCGGGGATTTCTTCGCCCTTGCGCCGTAGGATGCGCCACTTGTCCTGGACGTCGTGGCCATTGCGGGTGTGAAAGAGGGCGCCGCTCGCCACCCCCTCCGCCGCGATCCACGTCCACCGCCCGCCGTGTGTCTTGACCATCTTCGTGATGTACTCGACTTCCGAAGGTTCCCACCGCACTCCGCGACGACGCGGCGCTTTGCTACATGTCCCATCAGTTGATGGCATCCACGAATGCATGGTATACTGTACACGACAGGGTTAGTTTTGGGGGCAGCTAGCTCCTCGTCCGTGGCGGCGGCATCCTCGGACGGTGGCGCTGTGGGCTTCGTGGCTTTCTTGGTTGAGGATGTATTGACCTGCGGTGTCGTCTTGGTGTTCTTCTGGCCCGGGGGGCGTCCACGTCGCTTGGGAGTAGGCGTAGATGACGCGTGTTTGAGAGGTTGCTTGCCTTTTTTCGAAGAAGATCTACACATTCGCACCACGAACCATGACGAGGATGCTACGAAGCATGCGACGAAAGTTACGGAGGAGGAGGTTCCAAGTCGTCGTCCGTGTCGGTGTCGGTGGTGGAACTCGATGGATTTTGCATCGAATTTCCTTGAAATTCGCTGTCAGAGTCCGACGGTGATGAAGCCAGACGGCGTTGCGTCATGATGCGCAGCGTGGCGGCGGTTGCACGCTTTTTGCCTTTGGCCGACGCGGCACCTCTGGACGAAGGGGCGTCGCTCGCGGGTTTCTTCAGTGCAGATCCATTGTCCTTCGCGAGTGATGCAATCACCGTGGCAGTGGACCGCGCAGAAGGCATCGACGAAGGGGTGTTCATGTTGTCACCGTCGTCGTCAACATCGTCCTCTGAGAGAACCGATACGAGCTCGCCGGCAGGAAAGTGCGCGGTAAGATGTCGCCGTTGCGGAGTAGAGCGAAGTCGTGCGGACCGTCGGTTTGGCGGCGGCGGCGACTGCTTGGCATGCTTGCGCTGCACCATGATCGAATGGACCCCGAAACCCCGCAAATTTCAAACTGACGGTATCGTCGAATTTTTATTCACCTGCAGCCATTTCGTTACAAACGTCAAGTCATTTTTAAGCGTTAGGGTTAAAGAATAACGGTGTTTCGGGGCGTTGTGTGTCAGAAATGAGATATGTCTTCCGGAGGTATGAAAGCAAAAGGAAATAAGTAATACGTGTATTTGAAGGTTTGTATTACCATGTAATACATTACAAAGAACAAGACTAAAATATCCTTTTTATTAAATAGTATCCACTGTCGAGTAAAAAACAACGGTAAGTTTTGTCTGACATTAGACAGGTGTGTTGTTGCACGATGGCCCCTACATCCCTCGCCGAACGGAATGAAGCGTACGTGATGCGTATCATGTGCACAGAACCAGCCCTCTATCTACAGTGTGATGAACCGACAGGTCTATGTCTTAGGAACCGGCAGCACAACCGCCATGTCATCCGAAAGCTCGTGTTTTTCTCCATGCTCATGTTCAGCCTTCCCATCGCTACGTTCTACGCCCTCAACCATGTCTTCCGGGGTACGAGTCCACAACCTCCACCTCCATTGTCTTTCCGTGTCCTTTCTCTGTCTCATCCTGGTCGTACATATGTGTAGACAGCGAGAACAAGACAATGTGGAGGTATGTGTAATCTACAACCATATACTGACACGACCGTCCAGACCACATATCCTCCTCTCTTACCATCACGTGTGTAGTGGATTCGGTGCGATTGGGGTCGTGAACGTAGTCATTTTTGTGTATATCGTCGAAGCGTTTCGAGAAGATGCCGCCGCCACCAAACTCGACGCGGCGACGCCCCCGGTCGTCATTGGAAAATTCAAGCACACTTAACCCGTTTCCACATTCTTCCCTTGATCGATTGCATGCTCTACTGCACGAAGGAATAGCTTGTCCTAAATAGGATAGATCATCTACCGATAGATACGTTCACCACTGTACAGTAGTCTTGGACATCAGAGGATTTGAACGTCAAAGTCCAGGGCTAACATGACATCCGTAGATCACGCTCGGCTAGAGGCACGAAAAGTCAAACACTCTCGACTTTGTATTTATGAGCTTTACACACTGTACTACACGTGTGTGTAGTTATGGCCGATGTAGTGCTGTAGCATTGGGCTATATGCTGACCGATGACGTTCAGATGACGTTATCAATCGAGGGTGACGTTATCTTCACACTCGAGTACTCCGCATGTCCACGAGGGCGGCATGCCGAGACGCGTCCCACGTGAGCTGCATCGCGTCCGAGTAGATTTCGACGTTAGACGGGTGCTCATGGAACCCCGAGAGGGTGCAGTTCTGGATCAGCTCCATGCCGTGGGGCGTCGTCAACCGAAAGACGCCGACGCTGCCAACTCAAGAGCGTCATTCACCAAAAATCCATATATACAAGGCACGTCAGCCACGTACTTTTTCACGGGGTCGCGCGGCGCCACGACAATCGCAATCGCCTGCGATAACGTCACACATACACGTTTATGACAGTGATCACGTCATACCTCGGACAACATGCTCTGGAAGCCACATTGCGTGTGGATGTCCACGGACGACAAGAAACACGTTTGCGATGGATGTGTCTACACCAGCCACGTGTGACATACCCGATCGTGACCTCGTCACACTTGTGACCTGTCACAGACGACGTACGTACATGGATCCACCCTAACGTGAGCAAATCGTGCTGGATGCAATACTCAAACAGGTCTTCTTCGTGTGTCATGATGCACGTGTCGGACGACCCCTACAAGTGTCGAGATATGTGACGTGGGCATGTGACAACGTACAGTACAGTACGTACGTACCTCTTGCTTTGGAATGATCAATGTCGTGATGGACAGTCTTTGGTCTTTCTACGCGCCAGTTCACGGACGACATGTCAGCATACCTTGTCACACTTAAGTGACGGTATATGTACCAGCGAGCCCGCGAGGATGCCGCACGTTTCTACGCCATACGGCAGGCGACTCGTGTTGGATGCTGCTAGGCGCGTGAACTCGGCCACCAGCGACGACGGAATCGCCATGTGTCGCACTTCGTCCCTGCGATGACGTGTTATCACACGACGACATCATATGACGTTATCATGAAAGCACATGTGACAACGTCGGCTCTTGCAAACAAAAGGCAGCACGGACCGGATGAACTGCGTCTTGCTTTGGATGGACCGACGGTGCTCGTGTTGTCCGTCGTCAACCGTCGACAGCCACGACGGGCGAACGTCCGATCCCCCGAGCGAAGGGTACTTGGACATCGCTCGAGGTTGCGGCGCCGAGGGGTAGGCGGCGGATGTCAGTGGCGGCGGTGCAAAGTGAGCCAAGTGGTGCGCTTGGTGATGATGGGGAAGAGGGGGATGATGGCCAGACTGGCGACTTTGTGAAGATCCATGCGGCCGCAGGGCGTCGAAGGCCCTTTCGCGATGCTGGACTACACTGGTCGCCTCCACGGACGGTGATGACGACGAGGCTGCCGAGTTGCGTCGTTTCAACGCCAACAGCCGCGCTTCCAACGCCAAAGCGACGGCGTCTTTCGCCGGCGCTTCGGATGACATGATCATGTCGTGATGATGATGGTGTGGGGTCGTCAGAATGTGCTCGTCTTCGTCGTGTGCGTGTTGCAACTGTGTGACTTCTTCGTCCAGCATGCCGCTCAAAATGCGATCCAGCAGCGCGAGTGCGTCGCCACATTTCTAATAACGTTGCGTGTGGTATCCCAGTACCAGCATATAAATACCATATATGCCTTTGAAACATACTACTATATGAAATATACGACATACGTGTATTATCTACCTAAATCTTCTTTGAATATATTATTATATATTTCGATTTTATTACAGAAAGGAGCCAAACATGATGGGATGGTTTGGTGCGTACCTTGTCCAGACGCTTGCGCTCGTTTTCAAAACGGGCGAGGTGGAACTCTCGATGACATGGCATCTTTTTCTGGTACAACCTAAACATACGAAGTGGTGGGATGAGGACGTGATGAACTTGCACAAACGTACTCGACGAGCTGCAAGAGCAAGATGTACCTAGCCATGGAGAGATTGTGAGGGACTAGAGGTACGAATGGCGTGCGTACGCGTGGTCAAAGTCGCGCTCGACTACATACACTTGGCACTGCCGGTAGATCTGGTGGGCTTTTTGAAAGCACTTTTCGATCTTGTCTGTGCTCCGGAGGTCACGCACTACACACAGCTTCTTGAGCTCTTCACGGCGGAGAGCCATGCGCTCCTCTGCCTCGGCCATGAGCTGCGCGTCCAATGTAGCTGATGGCATGGTTTTTGGATGCGTATTGTGCCAGATGGGAAATACTCAAGTGGCACGTGACCTGCATTCTGTCAATGACCCGAATAAGCCAATCAACGCGGTAGCTGGATATATGTAGTACTACTATTCACAGTACTAGTAGGACCTACAAAAGCTAAGATTTGCTGTACTACTGTAGTACTACTAATTTTAATAGTACTGGTATCTTGGATTGGTTCATTGTCAAAATATAGATTTCAGCACGACACCAACAAGGCGAGCACATGTTATTCACGATAATGAATGATGTATTAATACCATGACGCATCATTCCTGCTTTTGGTGCAGAATGGGCTGTTTGGTGTTTGGCTTATGCTCAAAATTGGCTGGGGGCTAGTTGTAAGTACTACTAAGTACTAGGTATTAAAATACTACAGCAGTACTAGTAATACTAAAGTATGTTCCGGATACTTATGTAAATTCCGGATACTTATGTAAAATCCGGATAACTACAAGATCGAGAATTTCGAACGAGGAGGCATGTTGATGTTCCCGCGCCAGACTCTGTTTTTCCATCCGTTACATTATCGCACCATGGCCGAGAACAAGCTTACGTCCTCCGCCGCGGCATGCCTAGAAGTCCTTCGAGATGCGAAGGACTGCGAATGGGTGACAGATGCCAGCACGCAGGGCGTGGAGCAGCTGAACAACATGCTCAACACGGAAGCGCCTTTGGAACCCATCGAAATCTTGGCAGCCGTCGATAAACCAGTCGCGGGACCGTACCAAAAGCATTTGATCCAACTGGAGGTCCACGTTGCACCCAAGACGAACTGCGGGTACCAAACACACTCGATCGATGACGTCTTGGTACTAATCGACTGGTAGCACCAGTGCGACGTCCGACCACCGCGGGACTGAATGCGACTTTGATTTGAAGCAAAGCGCAACCTTTCAACTACTCCTCTCGCAACCTTCCACGGGAACAAAGCAGTGGACCCTCGTCGACAGTCTCCAGATCCAAGGTCAGGACTTCTGCCACGACTCTATTCCGTTCTGGAATCTCACTCACAAACATGTGTGTAGATTCGTCGGCTTCGTCCTCCAACCAAAGTGTGGACGACATCGTGGTTGTAGGCGTGCCGCAAAAGGCTGCAAGTACCACCGGTGGGCAATCCCCGCTCAAGTTCATCCCTACCTATGCCCTCGAAGTCCTCGTGGTAGCCGCGTGCATATTTGGCCTCACGGCGCTGCTTGTGCACACGGTTCGTCAACGCCGCACGGGTTATGCAACCGTCGGCCAGCCGCATGCACAAGTAAAAGTACGGCGCGTGGACCTAAAGCGCGCGAACCCGGTGCCGCGGAACGAAGAAACCACGTTGCGGCACTCGCATGAGAAGAACGAGCGCTTCGCTGTATGACAGCTTCGCATTTGCATTTTATTCTTTTATAATTGTCTGGTAACATTCATTCATCCAGTGGATTCTATATTGCGACGTCTGTTTTAAATAAATACTACTAGTAGTACTAGTAATATATACTTCGACGTACCCCGCGTATTAATAGTAATAAAGTTATTCATACTATTAATACTTGGAAGTATGTACGAAAACGTGATAAAATAATATACTACTAGTATTCTCTTCGCGACAGGTTTACGACTTGCCAAAGATGGTGGTGAACAGCACGATGAGAATGGCAAGCACCATGAACCCCATGACCCCGTACAAGATGAGCTTTTGCCGCTTGTCCCGCGCCGACATGCGGCCGAGGATGCGGCCCCCAGAGCGCGCCATGTCGTTCACGCCTTTCACCTACACAGTAGCATGATGGTGATGAAGACGCTAGGACTAATGGAGCATGCCTTGTCGTGTGTCGCCTGGATTTTCTCACGGTTGCGTCCAAGTTCTTCTTGAATACCGATGGCCACTTCCTCCGTTTCCAGCACCGTTTGATGAGCAGCTTTGATGCGGTCGCCAGTTTGTTGCAGTCTATGCCACAGCACAACATGCGATGAAAGATTAGTCGGAATGGTCTAAGGTCGTACTTTTGGGTAGCCCCTGCCATGCGACTTCGAGCTTCAGCGGACCCGAACAAGCCTTCCTTGTCTTCCTTGGCCTTGATGTTCTTGAGGTCGTCCGAAAGGGACTTGAGGCTCTTCTTGTACTGGTCGACTTTTTTCGACAGCTCACGTTTGGTCGCAGCATCCAAGCTTCGCACTTCCAATTCCATTTGCTGAATCTAAACCAAAATATGAATACACACATGCCGATGAGTCGTACCAGTTGCGACGCTTGGGTGAGGAGGTCGGTAGCGTGCGTGATCGCTGTGCGTCGCTTGTCCGGCTCTTCTTCGTAGCTGGCGATCTCACTAATCTTGCTCGAGACAGACTGCGCTAAGCTCTTGTACTCCTCGTCATATCCGTCAAAGATCGTCGTCATGATGCGCCCAGAGGAGGCGGAAGAAGGATCGGATGAAATGGTTCTGAAGCTGCGCAGTGGGCGCGATGGGGTTCTGGGGAACGAAAGCGAAAACGCTCGAAATCCCAACGACATCTCTTATGACCAATCACAGACGAGAATAAAATCCACTAGCCAATCATACTCGTCAACGTCAGAGTCAGTACCAAATTATTTTCTTTTCATACAAATACCCTGATTACTGCAAATGTATTTAATTTATTTGACCTCCCATCACTCCTGATCAAACCAATTGATCGTCAATCTGTACGTATACCTCCAAATATATCGGGCCCACGACCTCGGGTGCCAAATTAAATGGGCGATTGGCTACAGTAATTATATCGGGCACACCACCAAATATATCGGGTGCACGGCCAAATATATCGGGCATTCGACCAACTTAACTGCAAAATGGTGTAGTAGTACTACGGTATGCAGTATGAATACAGTATTCTATACTCTGCAAAATGGTGTAGTACTGCGGTATGTAGTATTAATACAGTATTCTATACTCGAGTATTTATTCCTTGGAGGCTGCGGAAAATGACGAACATAGCCATCGTTGGCGACATGAGCGAGGATAAACGTATGTCTAGACGAAGGAATTGAGTTTTGGTGCAAGGTGACTTTGTATTCGATTCCGTTGTTCAAAACGTATACGTAGTATGGACTTCAAATTTTAGCCGCCAGTTACGATTGCTTTTTGGAAAAGTATCCACTGCATTCCACGAGAATACCGTTACGTATTTTTAATATAAAATAAGTATTTCATAATTTAAAAAGATATATACTGTAGCATCAAGTTAACATAAGTTAACATCAATGTTTGTCATAAATTATGACAATGTTAACTATCGAGAAAGTACATGACTCTGTCGTTGAATTGCTCAGCAACGGCTGGTCTGGGCGTGATACATTTAATATGAAAACTGAAGAGATGGCTGCAGGCTATATAAAGAGACGTGATGTGCGGCGATTGTACTTATTTAGCATGCGTGAAGTGACCTCAAACATGCCAAAAAACTGAAATATAGGTTACTTTGGGTGTGATTATATCCCGCAATAAGCATCGTAACACCGTCCATGCCGCTTTATTACGTAGTATCAATGCTGCTGTACATGCTACCATGTTCTTGCGTTGATCGGTGATCTCTGAGCCACGAAGCAGAACATTAAAGACGCATTTTGGCGAAAACTTCAAATATAGCGTGTGAAAGATGACAAACAATTATTGTCATCTTGAGGTATTATTTATAGTACATTGATATGTTATGCTATAATTTTCTAACATTTAAATGACATATTTTAAAAAGTTGTGCAATCGTTTTGTGTGGAGCCAAGCAACTCAGCGCAATCAATTGAGGACGATGCCAATCCTTTAAAATGGCAGAAAAGCAGGGCGCCGCTGCTTTCTTCCTCAGGCTGAACTCAATTTGATTATAGTGTGTTGTATGGTGATGATGAACTATGCACTGCCATATTGTTTGAGGATTGTAAAGTTGATCGTTTCCCGCAGCCTCTTGCTCATGTTTCAAAAAGTAGATTATCTTTGGACAACATAACAAAAAATAGATTATCTACTGGTAACGATTATATAAATCGATGATATAAATCCATTCCTGTGGTCACTCTCGCCCACCACCCCAAGATCTTTAATTGCTTTAACGTTAGCAACTTGTGGATGCTTTACAGTAGTGGTATTGTGCATTTCACCCAAATGTGGACTTGTGAGTCATTTCGCCAAATATCATTCGAATCCCAAACTACTACTATGCTAAGTATACACACATTATTAGTATATACTGGTTTGTGGTTTTGCCCAACGTGGAGGAACTGGGCCAAATCAAACGTTTGGATTGGAAGAAATTCGACAGGACGTGATTAGATTGGCTTAGGCGGTTATTCACAGTGTCAATCCATTCAAATCTCGTCCATCCTAGCGCGTTAAAATACATTCAATTCTGCTGAGGGCTCCAGTTTCGAATCGATTTGCGTATAACGTTAGTACTAGGACATTTGCGCCCCAAAATTTTGAGGCCCGACGCTGTCAGACAAAGCTTTACAATTGAGAAAAATCGCTCGCACAAGTTCGAGGTTGGACAGAGAAATCGACAATCGATATACATACTCCGATTCACCTCGTAAAGGTTCGGAATGTCCCAGTTACTCCTTCGACGACGAGCACTGTACCGGTATGGCCCCTGATGCTTTCAGCCACCACTACAGTACTGTTGTCTGAAAGCACCAAGGACCATTCGCTCATCGGGAAAGGGGGGGGACACACAAGATTACATATGTATTCTGCCACGAAAGATTTAGGGTGCGTCTGGTAACCGGAAATATTGCAATATTTAGGCCCAAAACGCCATTTTGGGGCCGAATTCAACAAATCTGATCAAAATTGAAACATGCCTTGCTTGAAGAGTTTTAACCCAAATCCAATAATTCCACGTGGGATTTACTCGTTGAAATGGACCTTTTACCTCCATTTTGAAAATGACATTTTGGTTAATCCCATTTTGCGAGAAAATGGAATATTATTTTTGAAATGTTACCAGACGTACCCTAACTTTCGTCAAGTCGAAAAGTAATCTATTTTTGCCGTAAGGGTACTACTTACTATAGTAAGGGTGGGTCTGGTAACATTTCAAAAATAATATTCCATTTTCTTGCAAAATGGAGGTAAAAGGTCCATTTTGTAATATGGCGTTTTGGGCATCTTCAACGAGTAAATCCCACGTGGAATTATTGGATTTGGGTTAAACCTCTGCAAACAGACATCTTTCAATTTTGATCAGATTTGTTGAATTCGGCCCCAAAATGGCACTTTGGGCATTGCAATAATTCCGGTTACCAGATGAACCCTTAATCTACTTGATGTTTATTATTTGAAGGCTACAGTTATGTACTACTATTTACGCGCAACGACCTCATGACCGTTCAGCACCCTTGACTGCAAAAGTAATGAAGCAATCATCCCTTGGGTGATCGAGCGAAAGTGTCCTTGTCATGGTACCACAATTCATCCTGGATGACAAGAGGTCGGGTTATTTTTAACCAATATTATATTATTATATGAAGGAAAGAATGTTGGGAAAAATTATAATGTTTTTATACTTACTAGTATATTAATATCGGTAATTCGTCAAACTCATTGAGCCGCGACCTTTCTGAGTTTCACTTGAGTTACGAAGATGGTCTTTCATCCGGACACCGACACGCCGCTGTCGGTCGACTACCTTGACGACAGCTTCTCGGACCTCGAAGAGGAGCTCATGGACTCGCCCAAGAATGCTTCCAGTTACCTAGGCGACAACTCCTCCTTCCCCCGCCGTCGGGCCATGTCAGTCCCATCCCATAACGAAATTGACAAGAGCAAGCGACAAGAGAGCCTGCATGCGTTCCAAGCCTTGCGCAACCTAGCGGATCGTCCATCCATTCACACTCAATCCACTTTGGATGTTCGCTCGGCGCTTGTCGCACGTGTCGTGGACGCGGCGTCGGCGCGACCGTCGTCGCGGCGTCCGCGGACGATATCGTCGACCTCCTCCATCTCTCGTCCCCACAGCGTGTTTGCCGAGCTATTTGTCGATCTCCCCCCCGTCGAGAAGCAAGCATTGGCGCAGCTTGTAGACGATGATTTCACCACCCGCGCGATGATGGGCGCCTCGCCTGCCGCAACCATCGACGCGCACTTTCGCGCCATATTCCGCAGTGCAACGACCACGAATTCCCTCACGAGACCGATCAAGCATTCTTTAGGCACGGTCGTCCTGGAATTCGCACAAGTATTCCATGCACTGTACCAGCAACACATGCACACGTACACGAAGGATGCGGACATCACCGCGCAGGCCGCCGCCGACGTCATCGAGTTCAGCAATTTGCTCGTGCAAGTCATCCAGTTCAAATACCCCTTCCTTGCAACCCCCTCGGTGATTCCATGCGTCCAACAAGTAGTAGAAGACGCGCTCTTTGTGCATCTGCAGCCAACGCTACATGGTGTGTTTGTAGCGTACTGCACCGTCGCCGACGCCTCCCTCACATCCATCATGTCAAGCTTACGGAAGTCCACGTGTGTTGCCGCGTCCGTCAACGTGCCTTTGATCTACCGCCTCGATATGCCTGCACAAGAAACACTTCCCTACGCGGCCGCGATTGCCAAGATGGCGGAACTACCGCATCGACGGTCGCCGTCGGCAAAGATCGCCGTTGTGTCAAACGTGTGCCATCTCATCGATGATGCCGTCCAAAGGTATTATGCCATCCATCCCAATCCACCGCCGATGGATAAACTTCACATGTAAGTACATGGATGCCTTGTACCATGCGTTCTCACATGTTTGTTGCAGTGCCGCGGACGACCTTGTGTCGGTGCTGGCATACGTGCTGGTCGTATCCGATTGCCCGCACTTGGCGTCACATCTGGCCCTTATGGATGCCTTCCTCCCTGATCGCATCAGTGCTGGCGAAGAAGCGTACTCTCTCACCATGCTCCACACCGCCGTTGCGCACTTGCGGTCGTCGTCGGTTGATTAGAAAAAATGAAACCGTCAATGCAGTATTATTCGCAATGATCCTGTGAATTAGGGTAAATAGGTTTTATCTACCGCTCAGGTATCAATGAATTCGCTGTAAGTAGCTTGAACAAGATTCACATGTCCAATGAACCAGTGGGGTATGTACAGGTCATTATTGCTGGGGACAAGGATGGGAACCTGACGCAGTGTTACGTTGTGCCTCCCCACAATCACGCGAACCCTTCGAAGTGTTTATGAAATACTGTATCGCATGCGTTTCCTGCAGTGTGACCACATGCTACACATTATTGTAGTCCAATGCGTATGTGCTGCTGGATGATGATATGAAACCGGGCTGGGTCATTGATGTGTACCGATACAATAAGCTACTGTACTTAGGAGTGAGTACCTGTACTAGTACTTCGTACTACAATGTACTATCTTGGTGGGAGACTTCACAAACCGTTTTCACTCACCCATCAGAAAAATTGGTTGCAGAAATAGGTTCAACGAACGATGGTTTAACGTTTAACGCATTTGGTGGACGTTACATTGTCGGTTTCTGGGGTTTTGACTCAGAAATTGATACCTACAACTCGATTGGCGATGGATCCTCGACATGCTTGGTTCCTCCGCCTGAAAGAAGCGTTGGATGACTCGCTCAAGCAAGTGACGCTGACGGTCCAGCCGTCCCGAGCGTGCTTCCGCGGGCGGAGTCCGTTCACAGTCTACCACTACACGATCACAAAGCCTGGCCTTCGATGGGCCGTGGACCGCCGGTACTCTGAATGCCATCACCTTCGGAAGGACCTGCTTAGGCACTTCCGCCGCGCCAACCACCCGTCCCTCGCCACGTTCCTCGCACCCCTTGTCCACGTGGATTTTCCCAAGAAACGCTTTGGCGAAGATACCAAGTGCATCGTCGGCGAGCGCAAACTCAAGCTCAAGCTGTTTCTCCGAGTGTGTATGGACATTCGCGCGACGCTCATGGCGTACGTCGTCGTCTACCAGCAACGACCCACAAGTCTCCTCATCAACATCCTCGACCACCTCGACACATTTCTCGGCATGCCGCCTCAACCCCGCGACGACGAGCGCCGCCTCATGCGCAGCATCTTGTCCCTCTTGCAGCAAAATGTAACGCAATCCTCGTCCGTCCGGCCGTCTAAAGCGACCCGCCCATCCAGTCTTGACGACTGTGCCATCTGCCTCTGCGACTTTGACGACGATGATGTCCATGTCGTGACCCTTCCATGCGATCACGTCTTCCACAGTGACTGTGTCTTTCCTTGGCTTGTCCGAGATCACTCATGTCCGCTGTGCCGCACAAGCGCGGTGGAATTCCCTTAAATAAACATCGCAAGTATTATCAATAGTAGTACTATTGTCAAATAGTATTACTATTTTGATGTCGACGGAACTAATAATAGTGTTGATACTGTAAATAGTGTCAACATTATGGTAGTAAATTGACATGTGAGTACCAGTCAAATTGAAGCGACAATCATGATGATGCTGCTTCGACGCCAAGTGTCTGCGATGCGGCCTTGCGTGGGCGCCGCATCCTTTGCGACTCATCGTCAGCAGCTGTCTTACGATGAGCCTGGCAAGAAACGCAAGGTGAAGGTCGCCCTCGTGACGGGATATACCGGAACTGGGTACCATGGCGTGCAGATCCAGGAGAACGCCGTGGACGTCCCTACCATCGAGCACGAAGTGCGTGCGGCGTTGTTCAAAGCAGGATGCATTCTTGAATCGAACTACGGGGACATGTCCAAGATCGGGTGGTCTCGAAGCAGTCGGACGGACAAAGGTGTGCATGCGTCGTCCATCGTGGTACATACATGATGCATCGTCCTGCATTGCAATCATCACTACTACCCATCTCACCATGCAAACTACCGGTAGTTGTCAGGAAAGCTTCTCGTCCACGACGACCGCATCGACCCACGAAGCGGTCGCATCGCGCACCTGCCTGCCGAAATCAACGCGCATCTGCCGGCAGACATCCGAGTGTTCACGGCCACCAAGGTGCATCAATCGTTCCGCGCGCGCGAGGACTGCATCTTGCGCGAGTACGAGTACTTTCTACCGCTGTCGTTCCTGTCTTCGCTGTGTCCACCCGGGATGAGCGTAGACGACGCGGCCACGACGTTCATCAAGACCCTGCCTCGCTTCGAAGGCATCCACGACTTTCACAACTTTACCAAGCAACGGAGGTTCTTTTACAAACAGGTTGCCAACAAGCAACTTGCTAAGCAACGGCGCCGTCTTGGAGCAACCGGAGACGACGTCGAGACATTCATAGAACATGACGAAGTCGACGATGGCGAGCATGACCCCCCTTCGACTTGTCATCAAGAGACGGACATCTCCGTGGAAAATGGAGTCCGCAAATCGCTCCAGCGCCACCGCCGCACCATCTACGCCTGCCGCGGCACCTTGGTGCCAGACATGCATGGAGAACCGTATGTCCACATCCACCTCACGGGCGCGTCGTTCCTGCTCAACCAGATCCGGTGCATGGTGGGAGCGGCGATGGCCGTCGCGACCGGCGCCATGACCCCGTCGCTGTTTGACGCAGCGCTCCGTACGTCGACTTCTCGTTTGGCGTTCCCCTCTATGCTTTCGTCGTCGCCATCCTCTGTGTTTGGTTATATATATTGTCGATATTGATAATCTTTGTCCTGAATGATTTGCATGTATAAACAGTTGTCCTGTGGTGCTTGGTATCACACTAAATTGAAGTCACACACTAAATCAGATGTTGATCATGGTTTCCTGCAATCTCATTGGCCCATCGCTTCTGCCGATGCTTCGGTACATTTGCCAGTTTTTTAGAATATATGATATATATGTTCTCACGACAAGCATGTAGGAACAAACCAAGTGGTGAGTGTGCCCACGGCCCCTGCCGAAGGGCTGGTGCTATCGAGCTGTGGCTTTGGTGCCAAGCAGCACCTGATCTCGCTCCTCCGGGACCACAACACCCCCCGGAACCTCTCTGTGACTGGCAACCCCAACCAGGCGCCGCATCGCGTGCTCGTGTCTGACGCCGAGCTCCACCAAATGCTTCGGTTCCGAAACGAGGTATTGTCCGTATACTCTACACTTTGCCCACTCGATCGATTCCTGGTGTATGAGAAACATCGTCCAGTGTCACACTAATTTCACTCGAATTCGATCGAAACAAGTGGATTTGATTGGCCGCTTGATTCGTGTTTAGAGTTTTGATTGGTCGATCGTTTATGTGTGTCTCCATGCATTGTGACCAATCAGAATCAACTATTCCAAATCAGTTGGTTTGATTTGCCATTGAAAAATCGAATATAAGCCAATCAGAGTTGAAAATTTAGAATTTCCTTGGATTGTCATTGGCTGTACATTTCAAATCGACTTGACCATACTGTATACCGGTAGTTAGTACCTACTCATGCAATCCTCTGACATATCCACATCTAGCATTGTTGGACCCTCTTTCTGCATCTATTTCCGACGGGTTTTCACTGGAACTTTGGTTTCGTAGGTGATTTACAAGGAAGTGGTCCGCATGTGGCGGGAAAGCGAATTCGTGGCGGCGTGGCCCGAGCACTTTGCGTCGTGGTCGGCCACGTTGAACGCACAAAGCAACGACAACCACCCGGAGATTCTGGCGGCACTGCAGACGGTGCTCGCAAACGACGCGGGGAAGGCGGCCAACAGCGAGCGGGTGGTTCGGGAGGCGCGGGTCACCGGCGATGCCCTCAAGGTGCTGCCCCGGGGCTTCAACACGGCCGTGTGCATTCACTTTGGCATCACACCTGGCGTGTATGTGACTGACGTTGTCGCCGGCGTGAAGCGGGTACACTAACTGCATACAGCAGTGGTTGGGGAGAGTGTTGATTGGGGTTTATGTAGCGCATTCTGGACCATACGTTGCCCGTGGACGCAACGCAAGACGATTTGTTCGATTACATGAGCAACATTGGCCTGGACACGCTGGCCAAGATGGGGCGGCAGCGGTATTAGTAGGTAGGCTCAGTACATAGTAGCTCTGGGGAAGGAATCGTCGTGGATGGCGCTATACTGCGGAATGGAGATATGTGGTAGACTGTGTTTGTGTTGTACATACAAGAACCACCATTCTACCCGACCTCAACATATCTAGCAAGAATGTCCTGTGAAACCACTGGACTAGTAGTACTAGTAGTAGTTAGTACTCTTAATAGTACCTAACACCTCTTGTCCTGCTAACGTCGTCATTCACGTAACAACGAGTGACGTGATCAAAGCAAGTAAAACAGTGGAGTGTACTAGTTAGTGTTCGTACAAGTGGGGGCCTATTAATAGTAGAGCTACTAACATGCCTGCATCACCTTTATCTGAGCTTCTTCTACTGTACTCGACGTTCACTGAGAGGAAGATGAGGGCAACTACTGTCGGCCACACATGTCGACAGATCCTACTCAACTAGTCGTGGATTACACTTACTTGGTCCCTCGAGTACTACTACTACGAGTACTGCTCCCATCTCGTTTTCGTTTCGACGGTCGCGGTGCACTACTAGTAGTACTACTACTGTTCGCGTCCGACGCGTGGGTGCGCGGCGGCTGTCGCGGTGCAATCGGTTTCGCTGCCGCCCCTCCAGGCTCTTCTTTTACAAGTCCGTACGGCGGCAGCTTGGACGCCCTACACATAACCACCACATTGAGCCATGTATACTACTAGTACTTACTACTAGTCAGTCACGTACAGAGGCTTCGAAGGCGGCCGCTTCTTTGTGTGCTCAACCACACTCAGCACCGCGTTGGCCTTGTCATGTAGCTTCTTCTTGTTCAGGTCCGCGCCGTTGATCACGGCCTGGCTGCCTTCTTTCTTCAACTTGCGCGCCGCCATTTCGTGGCAGTTGGCCTCGGTAATGGGCGGCAACATGGTCGGTCTACGTCGTTCGGAAGGCTTTTGTTAAACACGAACCTAAGTACTGTATGCATTGTCGAAATTCGAGGGATTCACATGTCAATCGAATATTAGCACAATCACCAAATACTAATATCGGCAGACGACAATCGATATACGACCAATCAAAACCCAGATCACGAATCAAGTGGCCAATCAAATTATCCACTCTTCGACCCTGTCAACAACTAATTAGTGTGTGACTGAAATTAGTGTATCACTATAAAACACGAATCAAGTGGCCAATCAAATTATCCACTCTTCGACCAATTCAACATCGAATTAGTGTGTGAATGAAATTAGTGTGTCACTGAACGATGGTTATATAGAGGCAGCACAAAAATATCCATATTTTGGAGTAAACAGACAATAAATAATAATAGTACATCATCCAAACGTCCCCAATATCAACGTACGCGTCGCCAGGGACGAGTTGTGGGTGGTGCACTTTAAAGTAGTCCGAGTTCAACGCTTGCGCGGGGTTGAATCGGCGTTTCGGGTCGATCTGGAGCAACTTGTCGAGCAACTCGATGAACCCATGGGGCAATGTCACATTGCGTTCCATCGCTTTACGGTACATCATCCGGCGCAGGTCGCTCGCGCGCGCCTTGTCATTGCCGAGAAACTTGTCGTAATGGGGCAAATGTGAGATACCGTTCACATCGTCAAACAATGTGCCGCACACGTCGGTGATCTTGACCATTTGCTCCGCTTCGGTTTTGGCGGCAAACAACGGCCGCCCCAGAAACAGCTCGGCAAACACACACCTACACTCGTCGATTAGTATGCAAACTAGTAGTAGTAGGTACTAGAACCAACCCCACACTCCACATGTCCACACTGGCATCGTAGTCGGTGGACCCCAGCAGCAGTTCTGGCGCGCGGTACCACAGTGTGACCACCTACGAACGTTCATTCTGGACGATGCCGCGGCGACTGGGCACAGGAGGTACCTTATTTGTGAGCTTCGAGTTGGATCGAAGGGTTCGCGCAAGGCCGTAATCGGCCAGCTTGACGACGTAGGCGGGGGTGAGGAGGATGTTGGAGGTCTTGATGTCGCGGTGCAACACGTCGCGGTCGTGCATGTACTGAAGTCCTTCAAGCAACTGCCGCATGATGTACTTGATCGCTAGATCCGAAAACGAGTGGTTGCTCTGGAGGAGGCCGGTCAAATCGTGCGCGACGAACTCGAGCACGAGGAAGATGCTGCCGTTGGCGTAATCGCTGCGCGTGTCCTGGCTGGTTGAACCTCCTCCTTTCGGGTCGTCCTCGTCCTCGTCGTCTTCGTCTTTCTGCTTGCTCACGACGATACCCTTCATCCCGACGAGATTCGGGTGTCGCAACGACTTGAGGGCTACGATTTCACGCAGCGTCGTCACAGGCACACCTTCGGATTCGTTCAATGTCTTGATCTTCTTCAGCGCCACAACGTCCCCGCTCACGCGGTCCTTGGCTTCGTACACGCGCCCGTAGGTACCCGCTCCAATGCATCGTACTTTCGTGTACTTTTCAAAGCATGGAGTGCCATACTCCAGCGAGTTGGTTCCATTGTCATCGGCCATTGCAATTCCAGTGTCGAAACAAAGGAAAAACAAAATCCGGATAATGTGAAGAGTGTGGTAGTTTATCCGGCTTTGGTGCATTTCATTTTCAAATATTCGGCGGGCAACGAACGCATTGCCATGGAAGCGTTGGATAACTGCGTCGTCCAAATGCGCGCGTGTGCGGAGAAGGTCCGTCTGTATGTCTTGAGATGCAACACAAAGTGCGAGGAAGGATCCCTCACGATTCATGTATGTGTATCTCCAGCTCAAAAGTACGAAATTCACGCTGTCGTCAACGTTCATCGACATGAAAGCAAGAGACTTGCCGTCGATTACCACAGTACGTACGTCCTTGTAGTGTGCGACATTGTCTTACGCGGATGCAGACGACTCGATTGGTGTTTGAACTCGAGGAGCAGGAGGGAGATGTTGCAGAGAAGCACAAGCGGCAGTTCGACGCTTGTGTCAAACAAGGTAGTCCCTTCGATCATGCATTCCATGTATGTTGAACCATGCAATGTCGTATGTAGCGGACGAACAGATTGAAAAGCTGCTAGCCGAGAAGAAGCAACTGGAGCAAGAGATACGACGACAGTCGCAGCAGTTCCGACAAGTCTTGGAAGAACGCGACGCCGATGTGCAAGTAAGTTGCGCCACTTCATCCGTTTCGTCCGTATATGTACTTCACTCGTACTTGCTCGTCGGCAGGTTGAATACGCTAAAATGCTCGCAGAAGTTCGTGACCACATCGAAGACACCAAACAAGTACGGGACTCCACCTCCTCATTCTCTGCCTCATCATATTTCTGTTGCTCTAGCAACTGACAGAGGCCATCGAGTCGCGAACCGCCAAGCAATTGCAGGTAAAACACTGTCCGCCGCCTTCGCTGGCCAACGAAGCTGATGTCCATGAAAGTCACATGCTACAGGTAGTATATGTTGTCGTCATGACTCAGTCCTAATCGAGTGTGCGAACAGCAACTAGTCGTGGCCAAGTCCAAGGAAGTGACCGCGTTGCAGGCGCAGTTCCACGCGTTAGAAGCGGAACTCGCCCGGCCCGCCGCCATCAAGCGCAAGGCCGACGCACTGGACGGCTCCCACGAATATTCGGCGGAAGCAGTAGCTCAAGGTACGTACGTACGTGCTTCCATGGGCCATTATTCAACGTGTCGGAATAGAAAAGAAACACTTGCAGGATGAGATCGATATGCTCATGGAGACAGACCTAGCGTTGCGAGACAAGGTACTGATATAATTCTCATGCAGATCGTACTATTAATATTTGTACAAATATATTTATATATGATAGGCCACCCAAAGTCGGCTGCTGGCAGCCCAGCACGAGCAAAACGAATCCATGCGGCGCGAGGTGGCAGAGGTGAGAGCAGGACATTCGCATGTTGTTGCCAGGTACAAATGAATGCTCGACCAGGTGGAACAAGAAGCCGCCAACGTCGCCGCGTCCGTGGCGGCGCTGTCGAGTCGGCTGCAGACTCAGCTCCGCGTCCTGGCTTCATCTTCGTCGACCGGTGCGCTCCTCACCCGTCTGTACACGTTCATTGTCTCCCACGACAAGGATACCCCCATCGCAATCGCGGACGTCCTCGCGGCAAGTCATCCACGGATTTACTTCGCATGTGACATCGTTTGTAGGTGTGTCCGTCCCCAAGCGAAGGCGTGCAGTGCATTGATCTGTTGGTTCAAGTGGGCGTGGTGGTGCATACTGACGACCGCCTGCACCTACGGCAAACCCTCGCCACGGCATAACAATTTCTATCTTCTCGAGTTGTATGTATATATATATTCCCTTGTGCTCATCCAAGAATATGGAAACTACGATAAACCCACACATATGCCACGCAGGCACTCGGGATCAGTACGAACTGTATACTTATTGTAAGGTTACTACTGTCTGAAACGTTACTGTTGTATTATGACGACGGCACTTGGATTCCTAGCGGTCCACGATCGTAGCCGAGTTGCAATGCTAAACGTGATGCAAACGTCGAGATAGAACGCAATGGAATATACTGGAAAGAAGTATGTTAAGGGGGGGGGCTTAGTCCTACTTTTGGCTCGACACTCGATGTGATCCGAAGCATGTAGTACATACAGTACAACGTGACACCTGTATTCTATCACAGATCGTCCTGCACCATATATATATATATATATGTATATATATAATATAAATTTACATGCAAATATATTTCAAACGATGTGTTGTTGATGGGCCTCAAGGGAAAATAAGATTTGTCCGCACCACAAAGTGTCAGAGTATATTAAAGTTTGAAGTGCTTTCACTGGCCCATACATACACAGATACAACGCAAGGTCTATACATGCAATACTGTCAAATACCGCACAAGAAGGTGGTGGTGGTGGTCGTGGCGGTCGTGTTCCCGTCGGCCGACACCCCAAAGCGCATGCCTCAACATCACATGTGGTGTCCACAGAAGTGTTCAGAGTATATTAAAGTTTCTTGACTTTCATCGGCATGGGCGGTGGTGGTGGGTCGACGGCGGCGGGAACACGGCCGAGACGATGACGAGGATGGCGACTACAAGTGTGAACGGGCGGGATCGACGGGATGGGGATAGAGAAGGAAGACACGATACACACCATCGAAGAGTCCCTCGTTGTTCATGCTTAGTTTTCTGGGATGTCAAGTTCACCTTCCGTGATGCGTCGTTGGATTTCCGTGGGGGATTCGCCGTTCACGGTGCATCCGAGGGAGTTGGCCGTGCCGAGCATTTCCTTGACGGTACCGGCCAAGGTGCGGGCCATGGAGCGCGATCGCATGGTGCGGGCAATGTCCAACACGGTTTCCAAAGTCAAGTTGCCATCGTGCTTGATGTTCTTGACCTTCTTGCGATCACGAGGAGGTTCCTTCAACGCCTTGACAAGCAAAGACGAAGCCGACGGGATCAACGACACGGTCGCGACACGGTTCACGATGGTCAACTTGATCGTGACGCTCAAACCCTTCCACTCTTGGGTGGCCTTGCAGATGTCTTCGCCGACCTTCTTCGGGGACAAACCGAGAGGACCGACCTTGGGCGCCAACGCAGACGCGGGGGCGATTTCACCACCGGTCGTACGAAGGATCACGATCTTTTCTTCACCTGCAGGAGGAGGAGGGGCCATGGTGGATGAACTTGAAAGGACTGATGGCAGAAATTCCAGAATGCTAAAGCATTTTGCTGGTCCCTGCCTTTGGTTGGTCGCTGCGAGCCAGCCAAACAGACCAATCAATCGCCTGATTGGACCGAAATCCACCGTGACATTCGGCCTGTTTTCGACAATATTTCGGATCTTGGGCCGAATTCTAGCCGACAAATAGGACTTTTTTCAGTCTCTCACAATGCATAAATACACCCTGTCAAAATCAATTTCAGGTGGAATCCTCATGGATATACTGTACAAATACATACATTATTAAACCTGTAAAAATGAATTGGATCATCAGGAAAGGACGCGCGCGCATTAACTCGGTTTTGGGTTGCGATCTGCGAACGAGCGAGTGTGATGTGGGGGCTCTTCCTTCATGCTCGAGGATGGACAAGTGGTGGAGGCGGCGTCCAACTTGAATACGTGCCAGAAGAAACTCCTCGAAGCATGACACTCCAGCGGAATCGCATCCTTTGTCGAGAAGCGCACATGTGGACGGTGTTCAAGGCGTGGAGGTACAGTGTGGTGCGCAAGAAGGAAAAACGCGACCTGTATCGCATGTCTGATAAGGAGCGGGACATCAAGTTCATCTACGAGGTATATGGGTATCCTCCATGATCCACGATGCATCGTGGATATGAAGATCATGGACGAGGAGCTGTAGGAATCGCTACTCCTGCATGACTTGTTGATCACGACCGATGTCAACCTCGTCGATCGTCGACTCGAGTTAGTGCAATATGTATACGCAACTGCACTACGTCATGACGATTCCATTGCTGTTCGCGTCGATCGTCAGGTAAATGCATTTCACAATGCCCCTTCTTCGCCCTTGCAACATGCCAAATCCCATTAGAGCCGCACGGTGTTGCATCTTGCCGTGCTCCTAACTTGGGACGTCGACGACATTGCGTGGGTGGTGGGTATCAATCCCGACGCCGCGGGTGTACCAGACTGCGACGTATGTACACAATAACGTTTGCTTCATCACTCAATCATCACATTCTCCCAGGGATTTTCGCCGCTGACGTACGCGACCTTGTACGGTCGTCGCGACGAATCGATTCTCCAAATGGCCGTGCCCCTTGCGCGCAAAGTGCAAGCCAATGCCAGTCGCATGATGGCCGAGCGCAACTACGAAGGCAGCAAGCGCGTGAGTCTCGAATCAGTTGAAATACTCTCTCATAACTACTCACAAGTAGACGTTTCTCAAGGCCACGCGTGACTTTTTCTCTGGCGTGCCTCGCTTTGACCAAACGTTTGTCGAAGTACACTCCACCCTCCATCATCGTCGTCAAATTCATCCCGACACTCTGTAGGAAGCCGCCGCCACCCTCGATGCCAAGGCCGCGTCCGAGCAGATCCTCGACATATGGACCGAGTTTCTATCCGTGTGGGGGCATTTCGGTGCGTCTACCTGATAAAGAGAGGGCATATCTGCTCTAAATGCCGACTCTTTGTGCATTTTATCGCTTGACGACTACCGGTAGATCCCCCATTGGTCGTCACGGACTTGGCCTCAAAACGGCGCGTCACGGTAGGCTCTCGCGTGCTGTTTACGGTCCAAGCCAAGGGTGAACCGTTAACATACCAATGGTATTGCGACGGGAGTCCATTGGAAGGATGCACGACGGATACGCTGGACGCGACGGGCAGTGCCACCCCCGAAGACGCCGGCGCGTACTTTTGCCGCATCACCAACTGGAGGGGCAGCGTCGACTCGACCACGGCCGTGCTCCTCGTGCAGGGTAGGTCACAGAGGGGAGGGGTCGTTTAAAGAAGTACCTACTCACATCCGTCTCTCTTAGACGATACGGTCGTAGTAGACCCTTCGACGCGGTACTTCCGGACGCAAGCGCCGCTCGCCCCCGGCGACGTGCTGTTCAACGTGAATGCCGCCGTCGGAGGTGTGCTCGACGTCGGCCACGTCCAGTTGTTTGTGCCGCCCCGGAGCTTTGCCGTGTGGGATCTGTTTGATGCCAACTTGGCCGACACTTTGGGCATGGACGTGGTCGTCCGCGTCGATGTGTCCGTTGAAACGACACGCGCCTCGGATGACGTAAACGAAGCGTGGCAAGTCGTGAGTCCGATCGTGTCGCTGTCTCCACATCCCGTCGACGCGTTTCTCATCCCGTGGACACTTCGCCTGCCCCATCATGCCGCTTCCGTCCGTCCCAGCGATCCCTCTTTAATCATGGTGTTGCAGCGCATTGTGGATGCCGACGGCGTCGTGACCATGCACACTGTGTCTCCCCACCAGCTTCGGTACGCCAGAAGAAGAAACGAGTACATTATTGTCATGCCGTAGTAGCCATTGACTACAATATGCTGATGATGCATATGTACATGTACGTAGAGTATATTCCACCCATGTGGATGTGGATTTACTAGCATTGGGCACGTTTGTCGTCGTGCAGAAACCATCTCGTCGTGTGCGGGTACGTAGTACTATCCTTGAAACGCTACTGCGTCTCCAAAGAGTCTCCTTGTCATGCCGTTGCTGGCTTCGTAACATCCATCCATCTATCTTTACTGTATCTCAATTGCTAATCGATGGTCGTTCGTGGTGTAGATGACGCTGGTGTTGTTTGCAAGCACGGATCAGTTGACCGTCGATTCCACGCATGTGGACTTAGTCGTTTGGAGCTGCCCCACTCGACAAGATTGTCTGGATGTCACCCTGTCGTCCAATTCCAACGTGTTGCACGTGGGCAACTTCCCCCTGGAGCTTCCGTCGTCTTCGCCGCCGTCCACCCTCGTCCAGATCGACCTCGTATCTCCAAACAAGATGCTGCTGGAAGCAGACGTGTCGCTTTCCGGATCAACTCCACGACGCCTCGGGGTGCTGCATGTGCCGTTGGGCGAGTCGGCGACGTGGACATCGCAAGGCGTGGGGATGGCATGCCCCCAACTGCGCGTGTCAGGGGCCACCACAAACGACAACTTGGACGTGGTCCTTCCATTGCGATTCCACGGTCAGTCCCCCTTTGAGCCCTCGGAATCTCACATTGCCTTTTGGCTTATGTGGGAAGTAGAAAATAGGCCCGTGGGGGGGGGCAACGTATTGCAGCACACGACACGACACGTCGAAGTGGCGTGGACTGTGAACCCGCCGACAACAGGGGGGAGCCCCCCCCCGTACTTTGTCGTCGAAATGGCCGCGTTTTCCGATACGTTTTGGCGGCGGTACAGCAATATGTGGTGGTTTGACCGGTAGGGAAGAACGAACGATCCCTTCATGATATATACGTCGTATTGGTTTGAAAACATCGTCATCGTGTAGAGCCAACTTGTCTGTCGTGCACCGCATGTACAAAGTGACTCATATGGGAGCATATCATCACACCCATGTGCACATTGTCACAGACGTCCACGCCGCTTCCATTCGAATCGCCGCGTGCAACCTCGATTCGTTCGGAGAGTACGCCGACAACCTCCTCGTCACACCAGGTAACAAATCACTGCGACCAGTATCGCGTGTTGCCAATGTATGAATCATCGCTTAATCGGCAGAGTCGATTGAAGTCGAACGTGGTGACGACAATACCCCCGAAGGCGCAGAACACGAACGACAGCAGAAACCCCACGAAGGAAAGCCAAAGCTAGGAGGGGGGGGGGTGACGACCACGATGATGTTGATGGGGCTAACCGAAGCAAGGCAAGACAGCCATCAACGCCTCCAGGATCTCGTCGCGGCAGTGTACCCCTCGTCGTCCCTGTTTCAAGCGCTGTACGGCGTTCCCAACACGATTTCCGACATTGTGTCCATGTTGGAATCGAAAAAACGATCCCATCGCGCAGCTGACGAAGGCATTGCGCTGTTGCTAGTGGGGCTGGATGCACTCATATTGGCTGCCAAGTCCACCGTGCATTTCCACAGACCGATCTGCATGCACTTTTGCCAGTGTTTGGCCCTGGCAGCCCGGGTCACGCCAGGTAGGTTGCCATATATATATATGTAGTGTGTGCTTTGCAGGGCTATTCACGAGCTATGCCGAATGCAGCGCTGGACCTCAACTTTGCGTCCGCCCCGTCGATTCTCGTGGCCTTGCATCATGCCCTCCAAGTACGTTTCATGTTGGCAACTAGATACAACGACGCCAAAATACTGAAGGAATTTTCGACTTGGTAGGCGATGTTTCAGCTGGTCCAGACGCATGCCACGGCAGGCTGGTTCACCAGGTACGTAGGCTCTTTGTCGTAAGTTAGTTGTCGAGTGACTACATGACTGGAGGATAAATGTGTGGTTGTTATGTGATGGACTTCTTCGGTGGTAGATTCCTCGTGGCTGACAAATCAACGGTGCAGTCCACGATGGTCGAGATCTTGGAGACGTTGGTCACTGCATGCCGCGACCATGCTGTTTTCGGTGCCGAGATGGGCCAAGGGCTGCTGAGACACTGGGAAGCCCAGCGACAGAACATGGCGGCGTCCACGGTGAACGACGCGGACGAGTTACGCCAGCTTCATGCATGGAGCGTGGTGCTACATGCACAGCAGGACCGCAAGTTGTCGCTGCAGTACTTTTCCAAGGCATTCCACGTACGTATGGCGATGCATGTACATACTGTAGTTGCCTAGTGGATGGGATGGATATACCTTAAGGAAGTCCATGTAGACGGACATGTTGGAGGAGCTCAACAACAAGGACCGCATTGCAGAAGTTCATGCTGATGTCCAGCAGCGCAACACACTGAAGACGCGGGTGCTACATGTATGTCCAGGGCCTGGAGATGTGGTGGCGTACACGGCTTGGGTGGAGGTGCGCTTTGACGGCGCGGTCGTGGACGTCGACTGCTTGCGATTCATCACGGTCAAGAACACGACGCTCAAGGTTCGCGTGAATGGAAACGTCACGTACGACAAAGGCACGAGGACGGCGTTGTTTGCGCCGACGGTGCCGCTGGAGCCACGGTCAACGTTCAAAGTCAAGTTGAGGGCTGACGCGGTGACGACATGGTACGGCGCAGCATCGGCCACGACCAAGCACATGTTCACGACCAAACCCAAATGACACATGTATATGCATCACTCGTTCCGTTGATGCACCCATTGTGTACCATGTTGATGTTGTTTGGGTGGTGGTGCTCACGTTGAAGTTCAAGGGCGAGTTCGATTAAGTACGAACGTGGGAAATAGCATATGTTTTTTATTGCACTAGCGTTTTGTATGCTGCTTCCATAACAATGACGGAGTGACTTGGTACTCTTTGATTTTGTATTAGCAATATCCGGATATTATCCGGTGCACCCCTTGCTAGTATTTGTACATATCGCACTTTACCGAGCAAAGGCGTATCCATGGGCGAAGCTTTGTTGTGATCCCTCATTTGAACTTTAGACAAGCCATGAGCAAGGGTAACGCAGCAGTGGTGTTGGATGGTTGCTCGTTGCAGACCGACGATTTGGTGTTGCTGTCCAAGGGCCAGACCAAGCTCGAGCTGAGCACCGAGGCGTGGGCGAAGGTGAAGAGCAGCCGTGAAGTCGTGGACAACATCTTGCGCGAGAAGAAGGTCGCGTACGGCATCAACACGGGCTTTGGGTTGTTTTCGAACGTTGTGATTTCCGAAGACAAGTTGTCTGAGCTGCAAGAAAACCTCATCCGGTCGCATGCGTCCGGCGTTGGCGAGCCGTTGTCGCCGTCGGCCACGCGCATGCTCCTCGCGCTCCGCATCAACGTCTTGTCCAAGGGTCATTCCGGGATCAGCGTCGACACGTTGGAGCAACTGGTCGCGGCGTTCAATGCCGACTGCTTGTCGATCGTCCCCGAGAAGGGCACGGTCGGTGCGTCCGGCGATCTCGCGCCGCTGGCCCACTTGGCGCTCGGCATGATGGGCGAAGGCAAGATGTACGACACACGTGACAACAACACGATCAAAGACGCTGCGGTGGTGCTCGCGAGCCGCGGCCTTCGCCCCGTGCACCTCAAGGCCAAGGAAGGCCTCGCCATGATCAACGGCACGCAGCTCATCACGTCCATCGGGTGCGAGGCCGTGGTCCGCGCGCAGAACGTCGCCGAGTGCGCCGACATTGCGGTCGCCTTGACCTTGGAGGTGCTTAAGGGCACCGTTAACGCGTTTCACCCTCGCATCCACGAAGTCCGTCCGCATCGCGGCCAACTTCTCGTGGCCAAGCGCATCCGCACGCTGCTCCAAGCCGACAAGCCGTCGGAACTGTTCCGCAGCCACAACTACGAAGGCAAGGTCCAAGACGCGTACACGCTTCGATGCGCGCCGCAAGTCCACGGCATCGTGAACGACACGATCGAGTTCGTTCGCAACATCCTCACGGTGGAGATGAACTCGGCCACGGACAACCCGATGGTGTTTGTCGGGTCGGCCGACGTCACCACTGACTTCACGCCCATCAAGCCGCCGCCGACACCGGCGCAGGATGAAGCCGACGGACACGCGCCACCCGAGACGCTGACGGAAGCGCACGCTGAGATCGCGCGCCTCAAGACCCTCCTGGCCGCCGAGAAGGACCACGCGCACCCGAGCATGAAGCGCACATCCGACACATTTTACCGCGGCGGCGGCGGGTTTATCATCTCTGGCGGCAACTTCCACGGCGAGTACCCGGCCAAAGCGCTCGACTTTCTCGCCATCGGCGTGCACGAGCTGGCATCCATCAGCGAGCGCCGCATCGAGCGGCTCGTGAACCCCAACTTGAGCGGCATGCCGGCGTTCTTGGTCGCCGAGGGCGGACTCCACTCGGGGTTTATGATTGCGCACTGCACGTCCGCGGCGCTCGTGTCGGAAAACAAAGTGCTCTGCCACCCGTCGTCCGTGGACTCGCTGTCCACGTCCGGTAGCAAGGAGGACCATGTGTCCATGGGCGGCTGGGCGGCGCGCAAAGCGCTCACGGTCGTGTCCCACGTCGAGCTCGTCATCGCCATTGAGCTCATGTGCGCGTGCCAAGCGCTTGAGTTCCAGCGCCCCCACAAGACGACCGACGCGCTGGAGGCCGTGTACTCCCTCGTCCGCACCCGCGTCGCGCCTCTAGACAAGGACCGATACATCGCCCCGGATATTGACGCGATCGTGGATTTGGTGCGCTCTGGCGCCATCCTCGACGCCGTCCGCCCGTTCTTGCCGTGATCACAACAACAAATACATAGATACCATTGTCCAAGCTATACCAGTAGAGCATGTAGAGGGGGTTCAGAACTTGGGATATATTGTTAGCCACAGCGTGCTTATGCATCGAAGTACATGTCGCCACTTCATCAACATGCGAAATGCCGAGATGAACGCTCCCAGAACAGCAACACTTTCGGATAAGGCGTCCTGTCCCATGTACATAAATTTGCGTTGGAAACGGGCAGTTAGTGAGTAGAGGTCAAATTTGAAGGGCAGAACGATGCAACCGTGGGCACGAGGGCGATGGGCGCGCCACCAACCACAATGGCCAACCCTCGGGCTGCTGGCGGGCATGCTGGTGGCCACTCTTCAGGCGGCGGCTGCAAACCAAACGGGAGACACCAGCAGTATGACGAGTAGTTCGATCAGTGGGGGCGTGAACGGGGGGGTTGAGTATTTGTTGCTCACGGCGTATGGCATCGTGATCATTGCGTTGCTTGGGTGCGGGCTGTGGAATCTGCTTCAGCAACACCGCCCGACCACCACCAATGTGAGCATCCTCCCGGGCCAACACCATGTCATGGACCTCTGGACAGAGTACGTGGTTGTAGTGTCGTGTTGTGAGGGGTAACTTGCAACTAACTCTAGGCACGGGTTGATGTGGACTTGCTCTGTTTGCGGTCACGACAACATGTGCCCTGAACGCACCCCACCCCCGCTTCCATACTCCCGAGGCGGCCAACAGCAACACGATCCGTCGACGCTTTGCCTTATGTGCGGGTCCCCGTCTCGGCCGGACTCGGCCTCCGTTCAGACGGCTCCGTCGCCGACATCGACAACCCCCCAAATGCTATCGGCGTCGTAAGACACTGTCAGCCCTCGTGCCTTCCTTGATATCTTCTCTTTATGGCACTGTAGACACCGCAAAGATTGGACTCGACGCATTACGTCACTCTCACCATCAAAATCGTCGGGGCCCCCGGTGGAGGTTTGGGAAGCCACGCCCCAAGCAGCCCTTGTCGGAACGATGGAGGAGAGTCACCTTCCCATAGTGGGCTATATTGCAGTGTGCGTGCCATCTCCAACCCACACGTCAGGTCGGATGGTCCCCCAGACTACGACGGAGTTTAACGCGATGTCCCTTGTCAACGCCACCGCTTCGTTGAATCGTCCTGGCGGCACGGCAGCGGCGGCATCATTGCGTTATGCCCAGCTTCCGTTTCCAAGGAAATACCACCTGTGGCTAACCCAAGTGGCCCAAGTCAAAGAACACTACCACCATCGCTTGGTGTACATCCGCACGACGCGCCAGGCGGCGACAGTGGTGACGGCGACTGTGAGTCGACTCATGGCGCTGTCCCCCGACGAGTTGCACTACCCCCTGAACATCCGGTTTGCAGGGGAGCCGGGGGTCGACGCGGGGGGGCTGGAGCGCGAGTGGTACAACGTCGTGACAACGGCGCTATTCGACCCGCACAATGGGTACTTTGTCGAAGTCGAGCATGCGTCCAAATCGATGCTGATTCACCCCAACGCGTCGCCAAAGGTAAAAACCTCATGCGGCGAATTTGACGTTTTTCACGTGAGGGGGTGCCATGAGCACAGGACAATGTACACGTGGAGAGAGTGTGATGATGCACTGTGGGTATATATATCAATCATGCCATTGTAGTGGTTTCGAGGGATTGGGCGATTCCTGGGACGCGCGCTCTTCGATGGCCATCCGATCCCGGCGAGGATGAACGGCATTGTGTACAAGCAATTGCTGGGGGTGCCGTACAACGTGGAGGACATTCAGTTCGTCGACGTGTCGATTTACCGTAGCTTGAAATGGCTACAGAGTCAGCAATTGCCCACTACGTACCAAACCAGCACCCCCGCTACGACCGTCGACGCCCTAGAATTGGACTTTAGTGTGTTGGAAACAGACTTGGACGAGCGCGGAGACCCCATTGGGACCTCGTACGTCGTCGACCTGAAGCCCCACGGACGGCACATTCGCGTTACGAACGCCAACGTTGCCGAATACGTGGAGCTGTACGTGCACCGACTGTGCCTCACGCGGGTGTCTCCATGTATGGCGGCGCTGCGACACGGACTGCAGGACGTCCTGCCGCCGTCCATGTTGTTGCTCGACATGATGGACCACAAGGAGCTGGAACTGTTGCTTTGTGGTAGTTGATTGTCTATGTGTGACGATGTATTTGATGTTTTTTGCCTCAACAGGAGCGCAAGACGTGGACGTGGCCGACTGGAAAAAGTATTGCTACGTGATCGCTTCCAAGGCGGCCGTGAACCCGATTGAGATCGTCAAGTGGTTCTGGGACATTGTGGCGAGTATGCCGCGGGAACGTCAAGTGAAACTGCTGCAATATGTCACTGGAAGTGTGTGCGTGCCCCTCCATGGCTTTCAGGTTGAGCAACATGACTGCATGACTCGAGAGGATTGATATATGATTTGGTAGGCGTTAACGAATCGCGACGGGTCGATCTGCCACTTTACGCTGCGCATCGTGTCGTTGGAGGAGGCTACGTACCCAGTCGCCCACACGTGCTCGAATCGGTATATATTTGAAGAGTTGGGATGAAGTTCAGCGAAGTATTACACGTCGTAAATAGGCTGGACCTGCCGCGTTATGAAGACAAGACGACGTTGTGGCATGCCCTCGATATGGTATGCACTACATCTCCGCATATGAATAACTAGCTGGCCCTTGTTAGATCTCAGCGATGGACGTGACTGGGTTTTCGACTGCGTAACTGCGAACGAACGTGTCGAGAGATATCAAATTCACCAAGTAGTTATGATAGTAAATGTGTAACTGCTTCCATCGTGCTTGGATGGATTGGCAGTTTCACATGTATCGATCGCGATACTGACTGTGAGTCGAGCGAGAGGGCTCGAAGTAATGAAAAGATTTTTCGCTTGGTGAAACCAAAACCACAAACATACTCCACCGCGACTGAAATGCGCGAGGATGAGGTATATACCTTGCCCCATGCGCTCAACTCATACGCATCATCATCCTTGGAGGGCCGTAGATGCCACGCAATGCTGCGAGTACCAATGCAACGCAGCTGCTCCATGACGAGCCTGGTCTATCCGACGACGACGACAATAATGCCACACCTATCAAATGTTGGAAATACAAACATCCCTCCATGATGGTCGTGACGCATCCAACTGTAGGCGGATTGGCGGGTGTGCCGTCGCGTCCGATCCCCGTTGACGTCGACAGCTCCCCCGGTGTCGGTCTGAAGGATGACAACATCACCCCCAAGATGGAAGAAGTCGAGTTCGAGGTCCGTTGAAGTCGTTTCCTGTTGCGTGATTGTAGTTGTCATGTATACGTGCTCGTTTAGGTCTCGTTCGTCGAGGGCAAGATCGGGCTGTCGTTAGAAGTGATCCACCCCAACGTCGTTCGGGTAAAGGACACATCCGGGCCAGCCCGCGCCTGCAATGTCATCGAGGTAGGAGGTGACATGGCTCACTTGTCGCAAGATTCACTGTTTGTTTACTAATTGACTTTGTCGCATCGATAGATTGGGGACGTGCTCGTGCGCGTGCAGGGCGTCGACATCGCCGCCCATCGGTTTACCCACGTCATGCACACACTCAAATCCGCGCCTCGCCCGCTGACCGTTCGGTTTCGACGCCCCGTGCGAACGGTGGAGCTGCCGCCGCACTTTCAACTGGACCGGGACCTTGACCAACCATTTGAGTACCGCTATCGTGGGGGTCCACAGGATGCAGACAGTGTGCGCGCTTGCCACGAGGAAAGTGACGACGACAGCACTGTCGACACTGTCCAAGACGATAGCGCATCGTCGAATGTGCCTTGGTCCAGTACAAGCAGCAAATGTCATACGCACCTCCTTTTGCCTCGATCCTCCATCGACGACTCCAAACCTGATCACAAGTTGTCGTCGCCATCAAAACAACATGATGGCGAACCTGGCGGTCAAGTACCAGCTCCATCTATCCTTGCTGCGCAGTGGAAAGCCATCACTGATTGGTCGTTTGGCTTGACCAAGCCGCCGCCGCCGCTGCCTCTACCAACCTCGTGGACACCACCGTTGGACGACTTTGAAACCGCTATGATGTCGCTGCGCATCGAACCCCCCGCGGCGTCGTTGCTTCCGACATCGAATGCCCCGAGTTCAAGTAACGAGGTACACATCCCCCATTTGATTCCCCCTTTAAGAACGTTTTCATGTGTATGGCTAGGACGGGGCGAGGCTCCTCTTGCGGTGGCAACCGTGCGTGGGTGCAGAGACGTACCACCTCCAGCAATCCCGTGACTGGCCAGTCAAAGTGTGGAAGCATTGCAATGTCACCACAGCAGCGGCCGTCGTAAACAAAACACTCTCGGACGGTAGCGAAGATGACGTGGCAAATACGAGGACGTTGCGGGAAGGTATCGTGCAGGGCTTGGACTTCAATAAATCGTATGTGTTTCGCATCCGGTGTGGGCTCCACTCTGGTGCGTGGGGGGACTTCAGTGACGCCAGCGACCCCGTCACAACACCACTTCCTACCATAACGTATGTCCGTACACTACTTGAAAATCACTCGCCATGGCTGTGGAGGGGCATCAATTGACAAGGGGAATATGATGTTGCAGTAGTGTACACTACCCCGGCGCTGCTACACTGGGGAGGACGACCGCGGCGGCAGCCCCCACGGACGTGACGCTCGGGTACCATGCAGACTTTGAAGGCGACGCGAATGCCATGTCGCTGGTCGTGACGTGGACATCGGTGCTGGATGTGACGACGTTTCAAGTGCAGTGGATGCGGCATGGCCAGCGGTTGGTGTGGCGCAATTCGCCAGAGTTGAGTGCGTGGGAGGTGGGCACTACTCGTGGTCCACAAGCCGACAACAGAGCAGACTTGGCAGCAAGTTGTCCAGCAACGAGCTCCATGCAATACACGCTGCAAGGTACTATTCGACACAATCGACAGAATTTCAGGTTTGTTTGATGGCCAGGCCTGGCGTCGGGCACCGAGTACGTCGTCCGCGTGAAAGCAGCTCGCAATGGACCGGACGGACGGACGTGGGGCGACTTCAGCGAGTGGTCGGCGCCTCTCGCGACGATAGCAAGCGAAGACGACTTGCAAGATGCGAAGGATGCCCTGGCGCGGAAGGAGGCGGCGCTCGCTGTTGTGGCCCACCTAAAGGATATGGCCAACTCGGTCAAGGGGCTGTACCAAGCTAGCGTCAAGTAGACACTCGCTAGGGCGAAGTATAGGGAGACTGCGTAGGGGTAGTGACAAGTGCGAAGGTTTAGAGGCTGCAGCTCTACCAACAGTCTACGTTGTTCATACTTAGATGTGCTACTTAACACGAGCACATTTGTACGGCATGCCCCCTACAATACTAGGAGGATTGACTACAGTGCATAGTAAAGCCCCGGCGTTAGTTAGTTGGTGGTGGAGTCTGTCTGTCCAGTATGCACTGTATCTTCTACATGTCCTCGATATGTACGACCAAACATATCGACTTTGTACTTCACATTGTTGTTACTTTAGTTTACGAAGTATGCGGTTTCCGCTGCTTGTCCCGAACTGCTTTTTCGAGCTCAAACTTGCGGGCGTCTACGCGATGCAAAAAGTCTTGCTTTTCCAAGTACCTATGACGTGGCAGCCTGAGTCACGTGCATACTGATGACATGCCACCGTACCCGTCCTTGGTGTACTGGTCCAGCTCGTCGACAATCCCCGCTTCGTCCTTGAACGAATCCCAATCCAACGACGACTTTTCAATCGTCGACACCTTCTTGGGCTGATTCAGCGACGCCAGCGCCGCGTCCAGCGCGGACTCGCGTGCGCCAGATGCTGCCGCCTTCTTGGTCACACTAATGGAGGCGATGAACAACATGAGACGTCCAAACAAATGGAGGATGAAAGGTGGGTTGGTATGATGTACCTGTACTCTTGGCCTGCATACTTGAGCACTTGGGTCGAGACGACGGGCGTGGCGGCGGCGGTGAGCTTGGACGACCGCGACGAAGATGATGTACATCCGAGGACGGGGATTTTGAATTCGTGCACTATTTGCTTCTTCTTCTTGATCGCCGTCCCCCCAAGGAGTTTGTTCAGTAGCTATCGACGAAGGAGCATGTGAAGATGAAGGATGTGTGGCCAGAAGGATAGATGATGGAGCTACCTTCTGGCTCTTGGTAGACGACTTGGTGGACACCACCGTGTCGGCCTGCAGCTCTCCCCACAGATCGTCCACTTTGCGTTTGGTTCCGGTGTCAGACTGAGCAACTCCAAACTTTTTGGCTTGTTGTTTCCGCTCGTATCTACTCGTAACGAACCCTTGGTTGGTCGAGGAATCATGGACAGTGGGCGAAATTGCACCTACTCGGCTTCTTCTTTCGCGTCGAGCTGGTCTTCAACTTGCCCGTCCACGTCGGCCTCTACGACATGCATGGGATATCTCTCTCTTGATCCAGCCATCTAGTTGGTGTCTACCTGGGACATAGTCCTCATCTTCGGAGCTAGCGCCTTCGTCGCGTCCATCGCGCTCGTCGTCGGCCATTTTCGATAGGTAATGATATCCGGATTCATTTATACTTCAAATCCGGATACCATATTTTTCCATTTGGAAGGTCGTACTCACACATTCGTTGAAGTAGTAGTACTGCGACTGGTGGCGATTCACGGCGTTGGTGGTAGTGTTGAGCAGGGCACAGGCGTGGCATGCCCCAGCAGTGTTGGCGGGGGGGCTTCGAGTAAAATGGCCCACTGGCGTATCAAAGACGTACCATAGCACCACCCCTGTGATACTGCAAAGGAGAAATACGATCATCGCAATGCGGTTGGCTCGATGGAGCTTGGCCACTGCAACCGTAGGTGTGGACGCGCCGTCAGGTGTCTCAAATGACGTGGCGGAAGGAGATGCCATCGTGATGTAGTTTGATTTCGAGGCCATCGTGATGTTTGAATTGTGGGCTTTTTTACCTTGTGTGACTGTTGCATGATGGCGGAGTATGTGTTGGATTGCCCATTCGTAGTCCTTCAAGCGTCGACCGTCATGATACCTCGGACTCGAGGTTGCCATGTTTTGTATCCCTTATGACAGCGTGCATCATGGTGGTGACCTTGCACGTGGAGGTACCGCAACCGCTGCATGGCCGACTGCTTCGAGCTGTGTTGGATTCGAACTGGGATGGAAACGAGCCCAATCCCGACACCGTTGCATACGACGTGCGCGCACCACCTCTTCGTTCTCGTTCCCGTGCGATCGATCGACCTAATTGCTAGGAGCCGTCGGTGGTAGTATGTGATAGGACAGTGTCATGTCCTAACGTAGGTCCTGTACAGTAAGCTTACGGGTACAGTACCAGTACAGGTTCCATCCACTTGGTTGCGACACTCGATTATACCCTTTTCTGACACGCATTTTGATTGGTGCGTTAACGTTAATGGTTTGGTGTGTGAGAGACATGCGGGCGCTGTGATTGGTTAAAACTGCTCATTGTTCAATTTGCTGCTTCACGAGCACATCTGACGGAACCTCTGATGGCGCCAAACCATGAACGCAAGGGTACGTCAGATGCATTCGACAAGACAGCACGACAAGACAATGCTGCTTCTGGGCGCACAACGTACCGCCATCGACCTGTTCCGTCGCCCAAGCTGTCGGACCGAGTAAGGCGCATTGTCGAGGACACCAAACGCAAACATCGAACAGGTACGTGGACGACGACACCTTAGCGTGGCGCATCATCGAGCCACGGACGTTGCATTCATCGACACCATTGTAGACATGCGCATCGAAGCGTGGCACAACCAAGGGTTTGCAGGATCGGACATTTGCGACATGCCGTTGGACGAGTCCAAGGGAATCAAGCGCGAACTGTGCAAGGACTTGAGCGTGGAACGCTTCATCGAAGAGTACGAAAAGCCCTCAGTGCCACTCGTCATTGAAGGCATCCCCGAATACGAGAAGTGGGCTGCTTGTGAAAACTGGACCCTAAAGGTACGCACGCACTCCCGCCGTGGACACATCACCATATCGCATACCCTCTACCGCATCCATCCTATTTACTGCGCATAGCAACTCAAGAAACAGTACAAGCACGCAATGTTAAAGGTCGGCGAAGACGACGACGGCAAGACGTTGCGCATGAAGTTCAAGCACTTTTACAAGTACATGAAGGTAGGACGTGCAGATCGATCTTCCACCTTCATGTCCTTCCATTCACGATGTTTCCAAGTAGACTCAAATCGACGACAGCCCCTTGTACATTTTTGACAGCACATTCGACGACAAACGAGAAACTGCGCCTCTTCTGGCCGATTACAAAGTGCCGCGGTACTTTCAGGACGATTTGTTCTCTCTCGTGGGGGAGGACCCGCGGCCGCCGTACCGGTGGTTTCTCGTCGGCCCCAAGCGATCAGGTAGAGAAATTGCTACGTGAACAATCCATCGGTTCTGCGCAAAGTTTGTGTGAGAAACGTTGAACTCACAAGAGTGGAATATATATTTACCCAAAATTTGGACTTTTGTGCGGATTTTTTGCCAAATCTATTGATCGATTATTCGTTGTCCTGACTTTTGTATGTAAAGGTCGTCCAGTATCACACTAATTTTATTCACACACTAATTCGATGTTGAATTATTCGAAGAGTGGATTTGATTGGCTAGTAGATTCATGTCTTGTGTTTTGATTGGTCGATATATCGATTGTCTGTCGATTTGGTTAGTCTGGTCATTCGATTGAGCACCCAAACACTCGAATTTCGAATAATCGACTTGATAATCCATATACAGGAACGTGTGTGCACGTCGACCCTCTGGGCACAAGCGCATGGAATACGCTGATTGTCGGGCGCAAGCGATGGCTGGCATTCCCGCCGTCCGTCGACAAGGCGACGGTCAAGGCCAAGATACATGTGCTCAAAGGCGAAGACGACGAAGCGGGCAACTACTTTTGCGACATGCTGCCGCGCATGGTGGCCGCCGACCCGTCGCTCGAGTACATGGAGTTCATGCAGTATCCTGGCGACACGGTGTTCATCCCCGGCGGGTGGTGGCATGCCGTGTACAACGTCGAGGACACGATCGCCGTCACACAAAACTACTGCTCCCACGCCAACTTTGAGCGCGTGTGGTGCAAGACACGGTCCGGCCGCAAGCGCATGGCCGTCAAGTGGCTGAACCAGCTTCAGATCCATTACCCCAAGCTCGCAGCCCTCGCCGTGCATCTGAACGAACGAGACGACTACACCATGTACTCGAAGGAGAACAAGAAGCGCAGTAAAGACGACGATGCAGACGACGGCGGCATGACGTCCAAGAAGAAACAGAAGATGTCTTAGACAGGGGATATCTTCTCAACAAATGAATGCAGATGGAGACTCCCAATTCACAGGAATGCGTCATCCGGATAAAATTCACAGGAATACGCCATCCGGATATCGCTGATTTATCCGGGATATGTATCCGGACATCAATTTCTACAGGATACAAACTCGCGCGAAAAATGTATAATGTTTGAAAGAATCCAACCTGCATTAGAATTGGGTTTGGAGGCGGCAATGGACATCCGCAGCTTCTTCTCGCCTCAAGGCGGGGCAGCCAAGCCCAAAGAAGCAGCAGCCGCACCAGATGTCAAAGCGTCGTCTGCGCCAGCCAAGGTAGCTCCACCTACCAAAGCCAAGGAACCGAGGGCGAAAGCGCCACCGGCGAAACATACCAAGAAGAAACCGACCAGCGACGACGACTACGAAGACGAGGACGACAAGCCTGTCCAGCCTCGCCAATCGGCGCGGCAGACGCGCAAAGTGATCGAGTTGGACTCGGATTCAGACATCGAAGAAGTGGTTGCACCGCTAAAGAAACAGCCCAAAACGGTGGCGTCCAAGCAGCCAGCTTCAGTTGCTCCCGTCGCGTTGCCACAAGCGCCTGCTGCACCCAAGCATGCACCAGTCTTGCCACCTTCTACCACCGCGGGGGCTACGTCAAACGACTCGGCCATCATCAAGTCGGTGGCGACGCGAGTACCTGACGGTCGCCCGGGGTCGTTGGACGGCCTGACCTTTGCATTCTCGGGCGTTTTGTCTGGTCTCACCCGAACCGAAGCCGAAATGACCGTGAAGCGATATGGCGGCAACGTCGCGGCCAACATCACGGGCAAAGTCAAGTACTTGGTCACGGGGGACCAACTGGAGAATGGGGGCAATGTGGCCGATAGCGCCAAGTACAAGGAAGCCGTGTCGCGCGGCACGAGGATGCTGACCCAGAACCAGTTTTACAACTTGATTTCCGAACGTTCCCAGGTGATGCCAGCCGCCCCGCGTTCATTAGCAACTCCCTATGCAACGGCGAACGGCAAAGGTAAGCAAAAGGCGAACGTGGACCCGAAGACCGGCAACGCGATGCTCTGGCCAGACAAACACAAGCCCAAATCCATGGCCGACGTCATCGGCAACCAAGAAATGGGCCGCCGGATCGTCCAGTGGCTCAATGATTTCCACGACATCCACGTCTCAGGTTGCTGCTATTTCGTGTCTCCCAGAGGATTTTCATTAACCAGAGTCTTTTCATATTCCCATGTGTTGCATGATTTGTGAATACAGTAGCTAGCATCGTTGCTGTGGTGTTCCTGTGGATGTTGTAATTCATTTATTTTGATCTGTAAAGGCACTTCATCTATCTGAGACACTTATCTCAGACACTTCATCCATCTGAGACACTTATCTAAGACACTTCATCTATCTGAGACACTTATCTAAGACACTTCATCTATCTGAAACACTTATCTAAGACACTTCATCTATCTGAGACACTTATCTAAGACACTTCATCTATCTCTATTGGGAGGTATGATTTATATCGATCGTGGGGTGTCGGTCGTATTTTGAGTATCTATCAAGACCAACCATCGTTGTTGTTGCTGTTTTCATATATAGTCCTTTTACCCAAATATTTTTGGACTTTTGTGCTGATTCTTTGCCAAACCTATCGATCGATTATTCTTTGACTTTTGTATGTAAACATCGTTTTGTATCACACTAATTTCAGTCACACACCAATTCGGTGTTGAATTCGTCCAAGAGTGAATTTGATTGGCTAGTTGATTCATGTCTTGTGTTTTGATTGGTCGATATATCGATTGTCTCTGCCAATTAGGGTATTCTGCTCATTCGATTGACCACCCAAACACTCGAATTTCGAATGTATCGACTTGACAATATATATATACATGAAAGTCATCGTGTTGATATGTTCTTTTACCATCTCATTATTTTTTCCCCATATATATATATAGGCAAGAAGAAGGTGCCGTTCAATCCAAAGTCCACGGAAAACCGCGGCGCGCGCACGGTGCTGCTGTCGGGCCCGCCGGGCATCGGGAAGACGACGTTGGCGGGTCTCGCGGCGGCCGAGTGTCGCATGGATGTGACAGAGTTGAACGCGAGCGACGCCCGGTCGAAGAAAATTCTACAGGCCGGATTAAGCGACATCGTCGGGACCCAAGCGCTGTCGTTCGGCACGTCCGCCAATCAAAACGTCGGGTTGAAGCCGCGCGTGATCATCATGGACGAGGTCGACGGCATGTCGTCGGGGGACCGGGGCGGCATGGCCGAGCTCATTGCGATCATCAAAAAGTCCAAAACGCCCATCATTTGCATCTGCAATGACCGACAGAGCCCCAAGGTGCGGTCGCTGGCCAACCACGCGTTCGACTTGAAGCTGCGCCGCCCGACGAAAACCCAAATCGCCACGCGGCTGCTGCAGATCGCGGCCGCCGAAGGACTCCACGCCGAGCGGAACGCGCTAGAGGAGGCCGCCGAGCGCTTTGGCAACGACATCCGCCAGCTGCTCAATTGGATGCAAATGTGGAAACGAAGCCAGAATACCATGACATATGTTGACGTGGTCCAGCAGTTTTACCAGAGCGAAAAGGACGAGGTACATATATTGTCTTTCTTTTACCCTAAATCTATCGATCGAGTCTTCTTTGTACTGAGTTTTGCATGTAAAAAGGTCTCCTGTGGTGATTTGTATCACACTAATTGAAGTCACACACTAATTTGACGTTGATGATGGTGTCCTGCAACCTGATTGGCTCAATTCTTCTGCCGATGATTCTTGTGTACATTTGATTCATTCTCCATTACGCTCCAGTTTAGAATACACACACCATAATATCAGAACAACCCGAATACCCTCTCCCTTTTGAGAAAACAACCAAACAAACTCCCTCATTTTGGGCAAAATACTCGACTCTTTTCGGCCAAAAGGGCCAAAAAACATTTCATTTTAGAATAAAAAGCTTGGTTTTGTCAGAAAACGCCCATGTGTTGGACACTTTATGTAAAAGAAATATATTCATATGGCATATAAAAATTTATATTATTCTGTATAAAATATAAAAATAATATTGTGCTTTCGAGTGAAATTTCATTGTGTTGTGGCGTGATTTCTCGTTGGAATTTAAATCGATTTAATTGGCTACCTCAGATGAGCTCAAAATTATTAGCCAATCAAAACCTTCTCAATGAAACTCAACCAATCGATTGTGGATCGGTTTGGTCGGCGCGATTCGATTGCAACCCCTCCCCAAATTTGTATCAAATCGACAATATCAATACCCTTTTATAATATTTTGATGGAGCATCATGCACTATTGTAGTACTATCTCTTTTTGTACTTCTCGTTATCAAAATGATTTACAACCCCTTTTCTAATTATAAGGCGAAATGTGTAGGTACTTCGTCTGAACCCGTTCAGTGCAACGCAGCAGATCTTTAAGACTGGCGCGACGTTCAACGACCGCAACGAAGCGTACTTTGTCGACTACGACTTGATGCCGCTGATGGTCCAGGAGAATTATATGCAGAGCCTTCAGAATAAAAAGTGCTCGGCCGATGACAAGCTCGAGCTGGCGTCGCTCACGACCGACATGTTGGCCGAAAGCGATCTCGTCAGTGTGTACATTCGAAAGGAACAGGTACTGTACACTATATCCATAGTACTACTAGTAATAGGAGCGTTTTGGAAGAGTACTACTAGTATTACTAGGATGACTCACGACGTAGTATGCATAGAGATGGGATTTACTGACCAAGCAAGCGGCGCTCAACGTAGCAGCGTGCGTGTACTCGGAAGGGTTTGTCGGGCGCCCCGACTTTACCAGGTAGTCATATTTATATTTGTATATTCTTCAATTCGTTCTATATATATATATATATATATATATATATATATATATATATATACACGACCATAACAAGTGATTGACGGGTGATGATGTAGGTGGATGGGAAAAAACTCGACGGCCAACAAAGCCAAGCGGTTGCTTGGGGAACTGTCCATTCGCATGCGAGCTCATGCATCCGGCGCGCGCAATGGTATATATATATATATAATATTATTCAATATTTCTATATCTCATATTATTTATCTATCGTTAGCTATTCGCATGGATTACGTGCCATACATGAAGGAAATCCTCCTCACCAAGCTCTTGTCCGGGGACGAGGTACATCCAGTCACTCTTTGTATGATATCTATGTATCGTGCGAACCGAGGAATTCCACAATTAGAGCACGGACCAAGTGATTGACATGCTGGACGCGTGCGAAATCAGCAAAGACGACCTGACTGACTCGATGGAGTTTTTCAAACTGCCGGGCGTCGTGCGGCACTCGTACGCAGAGTTAGATGCTAAAGCCAAAGGCGCGTTCACGAGGCAGTACAACAAGGTCGCGCACAAATCGCAGGCGGTCGTGGAGGCCGACTTGGTGGCGAAACCATCGGCCAAGCGATCCTTGTCTAAAAAGGCTGACGACGGTCTGGACGACTTGGACGAGGGCGTCAACGACCAGGACGACGACGACGACGAAGAGGATGATGTGACGCGGTTTCAAAAAGCCAAAAAGGCCACGGCGGCGGCCAAGAAGGCGGCCGCGGTGAAGCGAAAGGCGGCCGACGGCACGACGAAAAGCGCGGCCAAGAAGGGCAAACCGCGTAAATAAACAAATAGTACTGTACATACTACACTACCGGTAGTAACATACCAGTAGTACTACCATCGTCCAACACGAGCATCCATAGGCACGACCAAATAGATTAAGGATACTATTGGATTGATTCAGTACGAGTTATTTCCGGCCCTCGTTTTCAACACATATTTGCAATTGAATCTCGCCAGACCGAACTGGACATGAAACTATCCCATTGGTCACTCCGAAATTACTTTCTTGTCGCTGATTGGAGGATTTTTATGCGATCTGAGGCACAGTACCAGTATCTTAGAATCGCTGAAATGTAGTAGTTATATAGCAATTTGCTGTTGAAACAGAGCACTCTCAGCCGTTCTGAGGTATTTTTGGAAGTCTTCCATTAGCTACAACCCAGTTTTGATTGTCTACTGGACAGGGCGAAGTGGATATTAGCCAATCGGATGTCTCGGACGACCCAGGAAACTTGGGAAAATTGAAGGAAATCGACTGTAATATATTCGAAAGTTGGTGTTAGGGGTCGATTCTGTTTTGCCGAAACGACCATTTAATTACTATAGAAACTAAGCAGGTACTACGTAGTATACAAAGTCCAAGTCCTGTATTCTAATTACGTGTACCAAAGTGGCATTTGATTGGCCACTTGAAAATTTTCAATTGTTTTGATTGGTCGGTTGATTGCCTGCCCGGAGGCTGCGGGAAACGATCAACTTTACAATCCTCAAACGATATGGTAGTAGTACATTGTTCATCATCTACACCATACAACACGCTAGAATCAAATCGAGTTCAGCCTGAGGAAGAAAGCAACGTGCATTGCTTTTAATTGCCATTTTGAAGGATTGGCATCGTCCTCAATCAATTGCGCTGAGTTGCTTGGCTCCCCACACAAAACGGTTGCATACTTTTAAAAATATGACATTTAAATGTTAGAAAGTTATAACATAAAATATCAATGTATGCTATAAATTATAGCTCAAGATGGCAATAATGGTTGTCATCTTTCACGCTATAGTGGATACTTTTCCAAAAAGCATCGTAACTGGCGGCCAAAATTTGAAGTCCATACAGTATACGTTTTGAACAGCGGAATCGAATACAAAATTGACTTGCATTAAAACTCGACTCCTTCGTCTAGACATACGCTTATCCTCGCTCATGTCGCCGAGGATGGCTATGTTCGTCATTTCCCACAGCCTCCAGTTCGGTTCAGCTCATTCAAATTCAGTCAATGATTCTGAGCTCTCCAAAATCGAATTGACAATAGTATTGTGATATCGCTATAATCTTCCAAAACTCGCGTGGTTTGTCGAACCGATATTGAATAATCACGCTGGAGTTGTGATTGGTTGAATATACTTGTCCTTTCGAGCCAATCAATCCACTCGAAATTGGATTAGCCAATAGCGTCGATTCGACGGGGTCTGGAAATCCGTACCGAATAATATACCACAATAACGTTATTCATTCTCGATTGTGGATTTTCGCCCTAGTACAAACCGACATCTGATTGGTTAATACAATCCACTTTGCCCTTTTGAAAATAAATTGTAGCCAATCAGCAACAAGTAATTTCCGAGTGACCAATGGGAGAGATGTTGCGCTCGGCGACGTTCGATATGGTATAGTACTCATATACATCCTCGTGGCTTTCTCCGTGTCTCAGTGTAATGTACAGGCAGACGTTCGTGCTATCGACAGCATTCAAACGATTTATTCTTCGTAAGTGTACACCAATGTATGGCTTATCCTGCCGCCTGTGGTCAGTCCACCATGTCCACATTCTCGTGCGAAGGCACCCTTCCGTCGTCCTTGCCACGTTGGTCCTATATCCATCATCACATTTCCCATACTGGTCCACTGTGTGCTCCAACATATATAAAAAGAGCTTATTTACCTTGTCATGGGCGTACATTTCAGCGTCATGCTGGCGCTTGGCGCCGTCGTGATCGGTCCGCTGGTCCGGGTCCGTCGTCGCGTCTTCGTCCTCTTCGCGCAGCACATAGTCGGGCGGCATTGTCGTCATCTGAACACTCGGCGCCCCATTGAGCATGCGCAAGTGCTCAAAGATCTTGATCCTGTCCATCAACGTTCATATATATATATATATATATATATAAATAGATTGGCCTACTTGACGTCCTCCAAATACGCGCGCGAGTTGCAGTTTTCCAGGTCCGAGTTCGGGTCCAGGTGCAGTTTGAATGTAGGCGCGTAGTACTCAAAGTACTCGTTGAAAGGGATGTCGTTGCTCACTTGCTCGTCCAAACACACGGCCGTCTCGTACGCCCAGCACCGACTCACGTTGCGGATCGTGTACCCGCCCCCGCCCAATACCATCGTGGGCAGCCCAAAGCTCTTGACATACTTGACGCATTCGCCGTGTCCTGATTGTATATACATATATTTATTTATATATATATTAAAATACACATGTGTTTACACTGTTAATATATATTTATCGTGTCATAGAGATATATAACTATATATATATATTGAAATACACATGTGTTTGCAC